TTTTCAAAAGCCTTGTTCCAACTTCCAAAACTTTTCAACCCGCCAGCCCGCTTAAACCGATGGCCCACATTTACACCTTTGAACAATAATACAATGCGTACGCACCCACGCCTCTTCCCTCTCACACTACCTGACTACCTGACTACCTAGATTTCCTAGACTACCACCTCGTAAGCCCTTGGCCCTTGGACGCCTCCGAGCCGTATCCACGGCCCCACGGTCCAATGGACTACGGTCCACGGTCCAGCCAATCCATTATCAGCGGTCAGCTTGGCCACTCACACGCTCCACGCTTCACGCTTCCATGCTCACAGGGTGTCAAGCAGGTCAAGGCAGGTAGGTACCTGAGGGAAGGGGAAGGGGAAGGGCAACCTAGTGTAGAAAAAAAAAAAAAAAATGGCTTGGTCCAATGGAACGCGCCAATCAAGTGTCGCTGAGCAACCACACAATCCAGCCAATCCGGCCCAGTCTCAATCCGGCTACCTGCTACTACTGCTACAGTACCTGAAGTCATCACTGCATACTCCAGTATTGTCGTGTAAGTCCATTGTACATACAAACAAGCCCTTCGTTCATTCAAAACAGTCATTCATTCATTCATTCATCCATTCATTCATAATATCTAATTCCGTACCCTGTCTTCCCTTGGAACATTCGTGACCTTACTATTTGTCTGTATATTACTTATTACTTTCATGATACCCCAAAGTTTCAATTGATGAATCCTGTTGTTCGTGGACCCCAGCTATATCTGCTAGGACAACCCTGTCGAATGTGAATATAGAAAAAGAAGTAAAAAAAGCAGTCGACACGAGACAAAGCCGGGAAAGGAGGTATAGAAGGGACTCAGTTTGGTAACCTAATAAGTTGCCCGTTTCCCTGTGCAACCGCAGCACTGCAGCATCACAGCACCTTGTCCTGTCTGCTATTGAATTATATCGAGTCTATTTCCTTATCCACATCGTCTCAACGGCAACCCACCAGCTGGATATTCTGGAATCAGGAACAGGAACAGGAACGATCAAACTCACCGAACGTTTGCCTCCTTCCTCCCCAGAACCTACCTTCTCGTTCGACATGGCTCATCAGAGATGACCCGTCACTAATAAAAATACATAATCGTACATAATCGACTGTGCCAAAGTTTTGTTGTACGACTTCACAGCTCAGACCGTCGTGGGAGCAACTCGGCATCAAAGTGAATGGAACACAACAGTCAGGAACTTACTTGTTACTTCACCAACGTCACTCCCCCCGGATACGGCTCCATACCTCGCCGCGACCCTAACCAAACCCTTCATGACTAGGGACTCCATTTAATTCATTTCTTTGTCTCTCCGGTCCTATCTGCCCTTCCCTCAAAACGCCAAACCAAATTGATCCCACATGTCTTCAGTCATCGTGCCCTCGAGCTTCCGCCCATACCTCCCATCTCCAACACATAATACGGCCTATCCACTGCGCCATAGCCAAGACTATAGCAGCGGCAATAGCGAAAAGCTACGAGATCATCTGCAGCTCTGCGGAACTGGCTTCTTCAAGGGCGGTCTTCGAACGCCCCCAACCGAGAATAACATGAACGCCGCATACCACAACCCCGTGTTATCGAACACATACAACAGCCATGTAGCTCTAGCAAGACAGCCGGCCGGTTTAGTGCAGGCAGATCGAACGGGAGGAGTGTACTGCGACGTCGTAACTGGATTCTCTGCAACTCATCCGACTCACCAATCGCAATATCAGCAACCTTATCCCTCCCAGACAATTGTCCCCCAACAATCGCACCCGCCTTCGAGACCATCAACTAGACCAAGCACTCCCGCCTCTACTGGCAGTCTCAGCGTGCATTCGGAAGGCACAGTCTCCAAGAAAGACTCGACTCTGGTGACCCACAGTCTGCAACTCCCCACGTGTATTAGTCCAAACGGAGGGAATCTGGATGATTTTGCTGCCCTAGTAAGTTCCAATTTATTTCTTTTAATTGTATATCGGCTAACGTAGTTGTAGATGACATGCTTCTTTTGGTTCGAATCCATGGACACGATAAATGCTGCGGAGCATATCAAGGAACGTTCACCCTCCGAGCCGATCCCTCCATTATCCGCATATACCGAACCTTGCCCCGCGTATAAGCAGTGGGTTAATAAAACCCTTTCCACGACCCAAGTAACGCAGAACGTGATCCTATTGGCGTTGTTGTTTGTATATCGGCTGAAGAAGGCAAACCCGAAAGTGAATGGTAGTCCGGGTAGCGAATATCGGCTTTTAACCGTCGCCCTAATGTTAGGTAATAAATGTAAGCGTCTTCCTAGTGGCTTTTTACCATAAGCTTTCTTTCTAACAAGTATAAATAGTTTTGGATGATAATACCTATACAAACCACACGTGGGCAGAAGTTTCGTCTATTTCGGCAAAAGAAATTCACGTCATGGAAGTAGAATTTTTGAGCAACATGCGATATGGCTTATTGACATCTAAGGAAGAGTGGGAGGAATGGCTGAAGAAGCTGGCCTGCTTCCATGAATACTACGAGAGGGCGGTTATGGAAGAGAAGCGTCGAAAAGCCCCGCCTCCTATGTCGATGAATATACCCTCGCCGACTCACGCCCGATTCGCTTCTCCACAACCTTCACCGACCGGCATCCTACCGTCAACTGGACAGGGTGCACCATTAGCTCTTGCGGCAGCATATTCTCCCAACTCTGTAGTTCACGCCCAGAGCTGGAATTCTTACCATGCTACCCCATCGGTTTCCCCGCTTGCAGCCAAGCCGAGTCTAGGTCACCCAATGGTGCGAAAGAGAGGGTTAGAGGGAGGAGAGATAGTTGAGCCCGCCCCGAAGCGAATCACTCGCCAACCGCTTGTTACAACGATGCCGCCGAATCAGCAAGTTCATGGGGGCCCCGGACCGCTTCGACTACCTGTGCCACACCTTACGCTTGACACGAGCCAGGCAATCGTCCCGCCTGTATACCAACCCCCGTCTACCTACTCCCAGCCGAATGTATCGTTACCACCACTCGGAGCTGGAATGAAGGCTATGTCGACAGTATATCCTGCAACGACTGGCTGGGCGCCCCAGGGATCGGTGCTTGCTACTTGCGGACCACAGGCGCCGTCTTATGCGATTCCGTCGAACTATGGCACTCCGACGAAGCGACACAGCCCAACGGGCTTAACTCAGTTTGGTTCGTCCCCGTTGGCCGAATCGTATGGAACCCATACTCCCATCTCGAATTCGCCACTGGTGTATTTACAGCAGCGAGCGAGTCCCTATAAACCTGTTCGTCGCGTCAATACCCTTCTCAACCCTCCGCCGTCCATTCCGCTTTCCCAGTATCACTTGGGCTCGAGTCAGATGCACTACCAGCCGCTGGGTCGACGATATGACTTGCGCTCTGGTATCGTTCCAGAGTTTCTCCCTGCATATGGCAATCAACGGCCTCCGAGTCATTCCCACTAATAAGCAAGCGCATTCCTGTTTTGATGTTTTAACAGTATGCAGCATTTCGACAAATGTATTTTTATTTTATTTTCACTTTCATCGCATCACATTACATTACCTGCATTGGCATTGGCATTGGCACTGGCGTTGGCCGGCGGTATACAGTCGATATCAACTCGACACCTCACGGATAAGGGCATGTCTTTTAGGGTTTGTTGTTGCGATACGGCTGGTATCGCACGATAGGCGTTTGGTAATTTAAGACGGAGAAATCTTCATGGCATCCGAGCACGAGTTAGAGGATGAGAGGCGTGGCGTATTTGGCGAGGCCAGTATGTATCCAGTCTGAGTTTAGGGCAAACCAGCTACGGTGGTCGGTGAAGAACAACTAGGGAGAAACAAGGGTGATATAGTCATGAGACTGGGCACCATTTTAAGCAATCAGTTTTTAGTAGGTTGCATTCATCCCCATAGATGATAGATGGATGATTACCAGCAATGGTAGCAAGCCAGAAATGAAGTAAAAGAAGAATTCTTTGGACGATAATTTTTATCTTGACGCGAAGTTTGGTTGAAAGTTTGACTCGTGTGATGTACTATTGAAAGTAATACTCCCTTTCTGATCAGAGCGTAATGATGTCATGTCAACTAGAGATCTCCAAAAATATCATCTTGATGCGGGGAATCACCAAGGTGGGGGTTTCCCCAATGAGGGGAATATTAGATGTTGTCCGTCATTTGATTGGTTCCGAGATGCAGGTGATATAACGAAGAGGTTAGGTAATCAATCTTGGGATCTTAAATGGTTACAAAATGTAAGTACCTTGAACTTTTGGAAGTTCATATTTTATACTAGGTATACATATACTACTATAAAAAATAACCATCCCTATATCCGAGTCCGAGGCGGGGAAGAAAAGCCGAAAGAATATTTCGTGCTTTGATGAGCTTAGCTCATGATCTTGGACCTTGGTTAACAGATTCTTCCGAGGAGATATTTATCCTATAACTTCAAAACAGGTCCCAACAGTATGTTTAAGGTTTATTATTGGATTATATGCATCATATATTAAGTAACAGTTTGATCTTGGCGTGAGAGTAACTAAGTGGTCTTATAAGAAATAGGTAAGTATATCCTGTCGGTATGCGGCGCATGATAGTTTGCTCTCTTTAGTATCGGCTACCTGTGTAACCCACATCTTTTCGCAAATTCGTCCCTTACTGATGATGATTCAGGGACTTCCCAGTTAGAATAGAATTCATCGTAAGGCAGTTTGGACATGAGGGTCAACCGAAATTTGGAAATAAGACGATGGTGAAAAGGAAAAGTTCGGGTTTTATTTCTAGCCTCGGCATTTCCGCGGAGATGGTAACTTTTAGATATATCTTTAACAGGTAGTTAAATATTGTTTAGTTGGATATGTCATAAAACACCACCGAGACAAATCATCATCGAACTGAAATCATAAATCATAAATCCAACAACTCACTTTCTAAGTTTATAATATTCGGTTCGAAAATTTAAATGAGCACGGCATACAAAAGACTAGCGACCATGACAGCCTCACGCATGAAGTCGTGGTTCCCGACCACCGCGTCGCCTTTGATAATTAGCGCTCCCATGGCCGGAGTCACTAATATAAAGCTAGCAGCTGAAGTAACAAAAGCTGGAGGTTTAGGTTAGTTACTCTTATAGATGATATAGTTAAATCCTTCTCTACCTAGTTTATTGATATACTTACTAATTCCCTAGGTTTCATCCAGGCTGGCCGGGACTTCAACCCGGATTCGCCTGCGCTAAAGAAACTTGATGATCAACTCACCCAAGCCTGGCAACTCCTCGACCTGGAGGCATATAAGAACGACAGCAGCCACCTACCCATCGGCGTTGGGGCCCTCACATTTATGCCATCTGCGCAGTACTTTGCTGAGACAGTTGTGCCGATTTTGAAGCGGCACAGGCCAGCTGCGATATGGCTATTTGCGCCGTCGCCTAAAGCACCGGACACTCACTCGACTATCGTAAAGGAGCTAAGGTCTCGGGGAGGTCCGTGGAATCCCAAGATCGTAGTCCAGGTCGGAACTGTGGCGGCTGCTCGGGAGGCGGCTGCTTACGGAGCTGACATAATCGTCGCTCAGGGCGTCGATGCCGGCGGTCACCAGTGGGCGAAAGGTGCTGGTATTGTGAGCATAGTCCCCGAAGTCATAGACATGTTGCGCGAAGAGTTTCCCGACAAGGAGATCCCGGTTTGGGCTGCCGGCGGTATCGCTGATGGTAGAGGGGTTGCGGCAGCGCTGGCATTGGGTGCTGAGGGCGCTGTACTCGGTACAAGGGTAAGTTCTCTTCGATACCGGCCTATCCAACCGATGAAAAGTCATAGGTGCTGTGCGACAGTTTAGTTGCTGACACCGAGCGCCTATATAGTATATGGTAGCAACCGAGTCCGATGCGCAAGACTATAAGAGAAAGGCGGTCATAACTACGTCGGATGGAGGCTCCAATACGGTAAAGTAAGCTTGGTTCTATTTCCTACCCCTTTCATTACCTTGATAGGTACCTATATACTAGGTACTCGCTAGAATCAAGTATGCTAACAACTCGCGCCTCCCCGCGCCGCCAAGGTCGCAAGTCCACGACCACATCACAGGCGAGATACACTGGCCCGAGATCTACGACGGCCGCGCCATCGTTACCCCAACGTACCACGACCACGTCGCCGGGGTACCTCTAGATGAGAACGCGAAGCGGCTCAACGCCGCCAAGGATAGCGGCGACGTGTCTAGGCTGGTCACTTGGTCGTAAGTACTCTCTGCTCGTATTATATATATATTGCTCTGACTGACCTCTGCCAGGGGAACGGGAGTCGGTTTGGTTAAGAAAGAGCAGCCGGCTGCGGACATCACGAGAGAGGTGAGGGATGAGGCGCTGAAGGCGATTAATAGTCTGAAGTCGTTCCTTTAAACGGGTTCGTGATAGAGCCCTGCAACGAGTGAGTATGCCTTTTGGTCTTATGGCATATTCTTTTCTCTTATCCATTATTCTTTATTTCTTAAGGGCAATAGTTCGTTGCCATACGTCTCTCGATGCTGACTCTAGATATTAATAGGTACACATAGTTTATGAGACATGACGGAGAGGAAGTTGGTAGCTTTTCTCTACTCTTCCAAGAAGCCAGACCCCTAGGTTTATTGAGTCTCCTCGCGTTATTCCCCTATAATATGAGGTTTCCATGTGCCGCCACTATGTCTACGACTTGTCTAGGTTAGGTGTCTAAGTGAAGCGGCCAATGTTTAGTTGAGCTGGTTTGAAACATTTTAGTAGCCATATATTGATATATATTAGGTATATATAGGATATAAATGACTGCGGACTCATGTGTACTCGTAATCCCTAGCTCATCTCCTCGTAAGATTAAATATACTTAAAGAGCAACTTATATACACTTTGCTACTCCTTATCGGGCCTGTGTTAGGGCCATCATCTACATGTTTCATCTCTTATATGAAATTGTATGCTGCGCACATCAACGCAATAAGTAGAGTCGCACTGCTGGCCCTACTCCCGACCGAACCGTCGTCTTTGTGAACAGTAGCCAGCTCAGAAACGCTATCATAACTAGGCTGCGGATCATCTGGGAAATTGGCAGGGCTGCTTGTCTGAACGAAACCCTCGCGGCCAGAGTACTGTTGATGACCGGGGTCTAATCGGGACTGGTCCTCATCAGTCCATGATAGACCGCAGGCACGGATTAGTTTGCCCGCATTAATGTCCTCGGGATCGTCGTCGTCGTCATCGCAGTCAGAGAGTACGCCGTCAAAACAGCGTATGAAAGGCGTGAAGGCGTAGTATCCGACGTCGCCGAGGTCTATATCGGTGTGGGATGCCGTGTAGTTCACGACGATCGTGGCGTTGAAGTCCGTGAGGCTAGACGCGGTGGGGTTTGCGTTTTCCCTTACGAGTTCGAATATGTGCTCCGACGTCTCCGAGTCGAAGTTGATGAAGCGGATTTCGGGGTGTAATACTAAGCCCACTAGAGTATTGTGTTAGAAACCCACCCACGTTTATAGCTGGCAAGTGGATTAGACGTACTACTGTAGTGGTGGAACTCGCAGGTGTTATTATTGTCCCCATCTCCACGCGCAAGCTCCGCTGTGCAGTTCGTCCATGAAGAGACTGGCATGCTTTGGTTACTTGTCGTGGTGAAACCATCGCCGCCGTATTGACCCCTGAACTCGAACTTCTCACAATCAGCCGCTACGAGGGGCAGCAGAAGCGCCGCGATAGAGAAAGCTGGTGCCCAGGTCTTCATTTTCTAGTATCTCGTGAGTAAAGTAGGTGAGACACTCGCTAGTTTGAGTATTAAATATTTACTCTACAGGCTACAGCTGGCGAGAGGCCGCGTCGAAGCTAAAGTATAAATACTCGAAGCTATTGAGACAAGCTATTGAGACCGCCTCGCGCGCCGTCAGTAGTGGAGTCATAATTGTGCTGATTATTCATCTAGGCAAATTGTTGGTTGAAAAAAAGAAAACAACCAGGGGATTTTCATCTGCGCCGCTGCTGAACTTCTTGGCGGCATGGTATAGCCTCAAGCATATCGGACAATAGTACAAATTCGGATTAAATTATGAGCTATAGCTGCGGATCATCTCAATCTATACTAGCTCTTCTGCTAGGGAATGAATCCCTCAATATCGTTGATGAATCACTATTAAAGCTGAAGTTTGAATTGCGAAACGGGACTGGTATACCGTATAACTACTATATAATTACAAATCCTCCACACTCCTGCTTCCTTATCTTACGTAACTTATAGCAAGCAATATTATACCAGTTACCTAGGTATATTATATTAGAGGATTATACGGTTATTCTGAGCTATACGTCGCTGGAGTGGATAAGGGATGAATCTGTCTATGGTTATACGATCTACTGGAGAAAGCCTGATGTTAAAGGGTGAAGCTGCTATATATTAAAGTATCTAATGAACGTTCCTAGATTAGAAAAAGCTTTAGTTAAGCTTAAGATGTCTTTGAACAGTTACATTTTGAAAATAAGTCAAGTAAAAAATTAGTCTCCTTAGGACAACTCCTAGTCTTCGTCTAGCTAGCCAGCTAGACCTGATTATTTTCGACTGTATTGGTATACATAATATAGCAAAAGCGAAACACATTGTAGTTAATAGGAGAGTAGGTGAAAAGAAGGTGTTTGCCTATACGGATTGCATCTATTCTCTGGCTACTACACAAACATCCTCTCCCGTATCTCCACGTGGCTCGTGGTTGATTCTCTAATCAAAAGCTGAACCCATAACTCGGGTTATCCCTTTCTATAATTTGTGACGTTTTCGTATACGTGATGGCACTCTGGAAAGGCTAAGCTGGAGCGATATCCCTACCTAAACTAACGGCCATGCCGAGACTTGTTTATTCCCCTAACCCATCAAAGGAGCATCAACCGGATTCCAATATTCTCTAGCTTTCCTAGTTTAATAGGGATTTAGTTTTCAGAGGCGTACCTACACTAGAACTCTCGACGTTTAAGAGAAGCCCGGGCTAGCGGGATGCGATATGGGATGGCTTTATTACTAGAATTCATCACAGGTCTAATGCTTGGTGTGAATATATCTGGGTATATTATCCATATCTTGATAATGAGAACCCGTTGAGCAGTAGGTAATGCTTTCTGCTATCATCTAGAAGGTGGCAGGCCCGAAGTATTTATAAGTCCAATTCAATTATCCAACTTCATAAGTCTTCTCGAATTTCAAGAGCACTAAGAAACCCGCTTACTGTTGATAAATCTCACTGGAAATTTGAAATAATGACCAAGAGTATCAATTTGTGTTAGAATGAGGTTTGGAGATCGCTTAAGAAGGGAAGAGGTTTTTTCTATCTCGACATATCTTCAGATCACTAGGCCATGGCCTCTTTGGCTAATGTATCTTCGAGTTAGGGGTGATGGAAAGACTGTTAATTGGCCCTTTAGTCTTCCCTTGGGTTGCCCGGTGATGAGCGTTGTTGTCGAGGTAGTAGAAGGACTCCGAATATTTCCTATATAATTTCGATGCCTTGGCTGTAAAAGCTGTGGTGATATTTGATATGTTGCTACTGCTAACTTATCAAGGGAGAATGGCAGTGAGGGGTAACGTACTTATAATACTTTCTTTCTATCCCTAGGAACTACTCTTGCCCATTCCGCCCTCGCTTGCTTGTTCCCCCGGTTCTTGTTAACAATCATAGTAATTAGACATACCTAACTTAAGGCGGGACACATCAGAAGTATACTCTTCTACTCAAGATAGGACATACTCCTTGACGATCTTAGTATATTCATTCTGATGCCACCAAGAAGCCTCGGTTACGACAGACATTACTTCATAAGACAGGTGTCGTACTTGCCAGCTAGCAGAGGCCCTAATGCCCGAGCATCACAAGCGCGTGTCTCGGCTGGATGCTGGCCAGTTTGCTCACAGCTAGTCGGCGGCGTGGGAGCCATCGGAGCGAGCGAATTGCGGCTGGCGGAATAACAATATTCTGATGTTAAGTAGTAGCACGAAGAAAGAGACGCTATAGGGCGAGATACTATAGGTACGCTACGGACGTGTCGCTTATTTGAAGCTGACTTATGAGATAAGAAAGAGTTGGCAACCTGGCCGTGGAATCGCGTCAGGGGTCCACCTGTACCTTATGCATAGAAGGTGAGCATCTGTTGTACGACAGAACGGGTCGTGGCAGAGAGGTACTGAAGTTGAAAGGGGAGCTTTGGTGGTTGGCTAAAAACTGACGTGATTGGTTCAACGCAGCGATCTTGCGAGACAACAGGGCTGAGTTGGCATGGGATGGAATGTGGCCGAGAGCCTGATACATTTAATGGTGGGTGCGCAAGTAAAGCGTTTCGTTGGGCATCAACGCCAGATTGTCGATCAGCGAGCGTGGGGGCAATGAGGCGACCTAGGCCCATTGATCGAGTGGTTGAACTCACCTGGGACCTTCAGCGTTCGGGGCGGGTTCCTTGATACGGAAAAACACGATCGCGAGATTGGAAATATAGGAATAGAGGTAGGAAATTCATCAAAACAATATCATAAGGGACCACCGCTCGCTGTGCCAATTCAACCCCAAACTCCTATGCCTCATACAAATCTTGTTCTCGTATCATACACACATGATAAACCCGATTTCAATAACCGTTACTCGTGATTCATAATAAAAGCCCGTTCATTCTGTTGTCAGCCGCCGTGTAAGTCGTTCTGTAACTATCCGATATATCCTTGTAACTAGAGCCATATGCCCATCGCATTGCCTCTCTACTATCTTCGTAGGGCGCTGCCGCTCGCCGTCGTAACTTTTACCAAGCCGCATAACTTCGTGAAGACGATCCAGATTCGGAGTAAATGAAACCTGCTACGCAGGTGCTGGAGGATCGCCGGCGCCACCGCCGGCGCCGCCTTCTGAGTTACCTTTCGAACCAGAAGATTTGCGGCGATGACGCCTCTTACGGGTGAAGCGAATTGACCTCCCGTAAAAGTATAAGAAAGCAAAAAAGCCGACTAGGAACACTGCCAGGAGAATACCAACTACCACGCCGATAGTGGTGTTTACGCTTGCCCCTGATCGCTTTTGTAGGTTCGATGCATGATCATAGACAGCCGGGAATATGCCAAGGCTACGGGCAAGGAGCCGGCGCGCCTGGGATGAGACCGACTTGAGAAGAGGGAGATTGTCATGTATGGCAAGTTCGTGTGTGGATGTGAGGCCCTGTCCGAGTCTTGTGGCCGGAGCCAGAGAGGAATCGGGATCGAGAGGGTTAGTCTGGGGTATATACATTTCGGGCAATCTGCGCACCGGCGGAGTGGAAGATTAAGAATGGTAATTTCGAAGCATGGCGCGCCATAGGCGCAGTGAAGGTCGAGAATCGAAGCAAAGGGGTTGGCAACGAAGAGAAACCGGCCAGAGAAGAAGAGGCTGGGCGAAGGGAGCGATTTTATTATCTGCAGCTTACTCCAACCAACTCCAACCAGGTAATTCTCTAAGGTCGCAGCGTGTAACTAGCGATCACTGTCTCGCGTGGGCCGACGGCCACTTGCTCTAGACGCCTACATGAGGTGTACAGCCGAATAACTGACGACGATGGCGGGGTCGTTGATGAAGGCTGGAGAGAATCTTATTCGTCTCGCTGTTCGGCAACGGCCAACGACGATCGACTTGGGGATGTAGTACATGGAGGACCTATGGCGCAGACGGGGAATTTGTGATAGGGTCAAAGTACGCAGATACGCAGATACGCAGATACGCAGATACGCAGATACGCAGACTCAAAGTAGTAAGACGATATAATTCGTCTATAGTATCTTCTTGAGTTGACACGCTGTAGGATCCCGTCTGTAGGAGCTGCTTCGGCGCCTACAGGAATCACCACAGAGGTAGGACGTAGGACATGACGATATGCAGACCCCGAAGCTAGGTACCTACGTAAGGTAGATCTCAGCGAGAAGTCTGTCATACCCTGGTACGCGGAAGAATCGATAGGCTAGCTCGAGCGAAGATGGCCGAGTGCCGGAGGGAGGATTCTATGAATCTATACTCTATACGTAGCGGTTGGACGAGCACTAGCCGGATAAAAGAGTCAATGCTCAGTGGCTGCCGCGGAGCCGTGGGTATGGTTTGGCGGCACATATTCCACGATGGGAAGGGCGTTTAAGTGCATGTCCAAACAGAAAAAGAAAAAAAATGGGGAGATGGATAAGATAATAAAATGCGACGGGGATGCCATAGTAGTGTACAGCCATAGTACAGCTCGTGCATATGTAAACCGGCGCCGGACAGATGCTTGCAGTTCAGATCGCCAGGTTGGTCGACGAGGGTTTGCCGGACCCAGGAATGGGGAGCAGAGTAAGACGTAAATTTTGTGCTCCTGCGGTGATTTGTTGCATGTCGAATGGGGATTGGATTAGAATTGGCGATGCTGCAGGCCCTCGTGCCCCTCAGTCAGATTGGAGGAGTATACCACATGCAAGGAGTAATAGTAGTAGTAGTAGGAGTAGTAGCATGGGCTAGCTGCCAGCTCATCGTTCAACCCATTGACCATTGTCCGTTGAAGGAAATGGCGAAAGTGGGAAAAAAGGACATGGTGAATGAGGCGAGCATCTGGTCGTGGAATAGAAGTTTAGAGGGTCATAGGAATAATTCTCTAGGTAAATGTTACATCAGTGAGAAGCAGTGAGAAGTCGAGGAGGATTTCTTTTAGGGGTCCATACAGGTAGCATGCATGCGTATGATGCATATGTCGGCTACCCATGGAAAATATGTGAAGCTCGTTATGTTGGCTTTTCATATAAGAGATTAGAAATGGTGTGGGTTCGCTGTGTTTGTTTGCTCTCATTCAGTGCTCAATTCAGGGGTAAAATGAGAATGTAAGGGTGTGGCGGTGTTTGTGGCGCAACTTGATCCTTTCTTTATCTTTATTTTTTCCCTTTTTAAATTTCATCTCACCAAGCTCACCTCGACTGATAAGCTTCAGTAACATCGAGACAGTTTCTATGTAATCTAATTCAAAAAAATTATTATGTTGGTTTAACTTCAAAAATCATCTGTTTTAAAAACTTCTCCATGTATTACTTATAATATTATTATTTTATCGTCATTCTCCTTCTTCAGCTCCCGGCGCGATCGTTGAAGTTATGGGAAACTAAACCGCCTTGGTGTCAATTCCACGGTAGCGGCGCCACTATCATGCGGCCTTTTCACCTTGGGGTTACAACGAGCCATAGCTTCCTTGACCCGTCAATGCATGGCCTCAACTCTCTTAGGGAGATCATTGGTCACTGGATATCCGGGCTAGACATCACACGCTTAGGATCCCTCGCCGCGTGCGTCGGCGCTGCCCCCGCAGCGTGGCGACTTTTAAAGACAGCTTGGCGTGAAGTGTATGGCTGGGTCAGTCACTTCTTCATTTCCTACGTGATAATACCTGGACGGGACCCGCTGAATAGGCATGTAACGAATTGGGTCTTGACCAATGTCGTACAATTTCGAAGCGTACGATCTTTTACGGCTCGCACTCACATTCAACCCGGTGCTATCGCGGACCGAGCCGCGTTGCTAAAGAAGACTCGTCGTGACATCCAGTATCTGCCTCACTTCGAAACGGTATGGTTCTGGTATGAAAGTAATCTATTTGTGGTTAGGAGGTCACTCGATAGCTTCAACGCATCTATGGTCGACTCTACTTACGATGGCATCGGAGGAGAAGAGCTGACCATAGGCTGTCTTGGACGGTCAACAGAACCTATCAAGCGGCTCATTCAGAATTGTCAGGAATATGCAGATAGACAGGCTCAATACTATGTCATTATCTATGCACGAGATCGTTACGGAATGTCCTGGCAGCCAAAGTCTCGCAAGCCCATCCGTCGTCTTGAGACCGTTCATTTTGACGACGCCCTAAAGCGGGAACTCCTTACAGATATCAGGAAATACCTCGACCCCAACACCAAGAAATTGTACCAGAGTCGTAGCATGCCTTATCGTAGAGGTTATCTGTTCTATGGGCCACCAGGTACGGGAAAGTCATCACTGTCGACTGCCCTAGCGGGCGAGTTTGGCCTCGACTTATACGAAGTTAAGATTCCAAGCGTAGCGACCGACCAAGATCTTGAGCAAATGTTCAACGAGGTCCCGCCACAGTGTATCGTGCTCCTAGAGGATGTTGATGCCATCTGGGTGAAGCGCGAGTTGGCGAATCGCGAGCCGCATAACGAGACTGTATCGAACTGTACCCTTTCTGGTTTACTCAATGTTTTAGATGGCGTCGGTTCCCCAGAAGGACGTATCGTAATTATGACGACAAATAAACCGAATCGACTCGACAGCGCTCTGGTGCGGCCTGGCCGTGTCGATATGAAAGTCATGCTTGGCAACATCAGTAAAGGTTCGGCTGAGCAAATGTTTCTCCGCATGTTCATGTCAGACACCGATACGTTACCGTTATTACCCTCACAAAAAGATAACGATAAATTGGGTGACGATCGCATGCCTCAAGTAGACCATGAGCTATTACGGAGGCTCGCTTCGGAATTCGCGACGCATATCCCAGAAGACACATTTACCCCTTCTCAATTACAAGGCTTTTTCCAACTGCACTTAGACAACCCTATGGAGGCTGCTTCAAATATCTCGGCGTGGGTTGAGAGGGAGCTGTCTGCAGGGTCATCGGACGACGATATTGAAATCGTAGGTAATGGGAAGGCCTGACCTTCCAACGTTTATTGTATGATATAGTTCAGCGAGATACTGTACCATAACAAGGTTTCTGTTTAGAATTGTTTTGGATAGGTAGCGGGGTTTGGGAAATGGTTAGATAACGGGTTAGAAGTAAGGATGAGTGGCCGCACGCCGGCGCTTGCAAATAGACTTTAGAGAATGTATATATTCATTGCTTGTAGGAAGTATAGATAGAATGGTGCTTTTGCTCAGGAATTAGGCTACATTTGATATGATGTATTGCCCAGAGTGACCGGCAGCCATCCTGTAGAAATATAATATATACAGCGTAGGTATTGAAGAAATTTGTTGACGCTTACTCCTATATATAGGTAGGTACCTATCCGCAAGCTCACTGGCAGTGATATTTCGCCGAACGTATCATCCTCATTACCTAACACATCATAACCCTTACCTTCTGATACCTACCTTTTTCGAGGCCGCTAAAAGGTAACATGGATACCACCAAGCTGATATCTCCCAGAGGTGATGCTATATGTAGTGGACATTTCAGCATCGTTCAGTTCTAGCCCGGTTGAACCGAGGGTCGAGATAATGCCGTGCAGTACTTACCCCCATTTTAAGTTTGCCATACAGGCACATTTGCATCATTCCAGAAACTTACGCAAGTCCTCGTGGACGTTGGGCATTAACGCCGATATAGATGGAAACAATATATATTTTTCGAAATGACCACTCCTTTCTTGATAGATAGCATGCCGTTAATACTGTAGAGATAATAATGGTTGTTTCGTGCCAGATTTGTTCCATCTTTTAGCTATCCATTATCTCTTCAGGCAGGTTGATTCCATGGGCATATCTAGTGGCTTTTAGTATTATAAATGGGAAACTCGGAGAGAAATTATAGAAGTAGAATTTTAACAATTAGAGTCCCTACTCTGTGGTAGCTAAGCAGACTCTTGTGGCGCTCGAGCCTGCTCGTATTCGGCTATATTCTTCAATAGTTGGTAGATAGGGGGTTGTTTGATATCCCTACTCCTCCCCACACATTTCCACGAAGAACAACAACTCTTCAAGTAAGGTGTTGATTTGGCCTTTGGAATATTAGCTAAATAGATTGTAGATGAAGTGAACTCACGCTTATTGCAAGATTTTAGTATCGTCTTACTTATAGGCTTAAACCTGGTGACGGTCGGATTAGTGGATATGTCAACGAGGTCATTCTCTGACTTCCCGGACAGACTTTCTCGAAGATAGGTAGCAGTCTCATGTCGGAATTTTGCGGCGGCATTCGCATCGTTCAAGATGCTAGAGAATTCAAGCGAATCGGTTTCTAGATCAAGTAGAAGATCAGTTCGCTACCCTTTACTTGCAAATAGGCACAATGATACTGTACCATCACCCCAGACGAATAATTGCGAAAATATATCTGTTAGTATTATAGATATATGTACGGTGTTGTTTTCCGGGTCTTACCCAAATCGATAAATATGTAACGATCCGCAAGGCCATAGTATTAATGGAAGAATCAAACCAATGAAGACCCAAGGTATGAGGGATGCGTAACGAAAGGAAAAGAAGGAAATATACATCTAGTCTATAGGCTTATAGTAGAATATATTTTATAATCTATAACTACCTACGTACCTGGAGCTAACGTATGTCTTTCGTCTGAATTTTTTATTATCCTTTCGAGGTTGGTACAGTTACATCAATGGGCTCATAATATCATTGCCCCTCTATTATAGGATGTTCGTCGTGGACAATTCAGCCCCATACTTGTCCGATATGCCAGTATGCTTGAACTTGAGCGTTGTAACAGGGGTTATCCCCACTACCTCTCCGAGAGAGTGGAAAAGGGGGGTGGGTTCACGTGACTAGTACTAACAATTAATTAGAAGTCTCCCGAGAGCCATTAAGGAGAAACTATCTAAATATTCCGTAGCGTTAATGGAGATCGTACACTATACTAAAGATCGAACTGCTAATGACCCTCCTTTTCGTTAACCCCTGTCCTTATGAAAAGGTGGTGGGCTATGGGGGCTATAAGGTTTAGGGTACGGAGTGGGGAAAATGGCGACTTCGACGTCAGATTACCGCATAAGGCTTGCGGCGCGGCCTCTGATTCGACGGCCAATAATTCTCAGCCAGGGAATACTTTAAATCCCGTATTGCTTCATGATGTAAGAGACTCAAAATCAGGGTTTAGTACGAGCCTTAAAGCATACCGCAGGGCTCATACATATCTGAATAAGCCACCTCATACACCTCATAGGTGGGAGGTACATCGAACGGTGACGTTGAATTTCAAGCCCCTTATCGTCGATTAACGTAAGTAACGTACATGTTGGGAAATCCTGATATTTTCAAGTTTTCTAGGTTGGACATACATGTAAGCTTCCTGTACAAATAAGTACCTAGATGCGCTCCAACGGACTGGTCGAAAAAGTTATCTTTAATTAATTTTTTCCAAAATACTACTACATATTCGCCTGTCGAAAGTTCCAATACTCTAATACCATAGGTATTTACTATATTGAACGATAACTTCATATATCTCGTTATAATACTACATAAGATACAATGTCTTCCAGTGGCGATGAGCAGCAGCAGCAGCAGCAGCAGCAGCAGAGGCGACAGACGGTGACTCAGGAGACGGACCACTCGGACACAGACCAGGTATCCGAAATATCTCGACCACCTCGCAATCGTCGCCGTAACCGACGTCGCCCCGGTTCGGTGCAACCCCTCCAACAGCAAGATGATCAGCAGATGCTTCAGCAGAGGCAGCAGCAGCAAATGATGCAGCAACAACAACAGCAGCAGATGATGCAGCAGCCGCAAGGTGGCAATGACAGCAAGTCGGACACCCTTAAGCTCCGTCTCGACCTTAACCTCGAGGTCGAAGTAACGCTCAAGGCCCGTATCCACGGCGATCTGACCTTGGCATTGCTGTACGTGATTCCCTTTCCATATTATATCACATGTGAGTGTTATCTAACCATACCATTTTCTCCAGGGACACTTAAGAATATTCTAAAAGAACACGGCACGAATATCATGACGTTTAATGAGGAAGCTTCATATGATGAACTGGGCAAATATGAAACCAAAAAAAGTTGATGGTGCTGTCGAATTGATAATAATATTAGAGGCATCTGGAACGTGGATTGCGTTATTTTTATCTTTCTTGTCGCGAAAAGATACACTTATTGCGGTTGAAATTGGGTTGTTGGTATGATGATTTGGAATAGGAACCTTTTGTCAGATATTAGCATGTAATTGAGTACGATTTGAGACGTACAATCTACCTCTCTCATTACTATATGAAGTTATCTTAAACCATCTTTTCAATTCTTACTTGGATTTCCGAAGCTTCTTCGTCCGCTTTTCTCTCATGACGGGTAGTGATGTGATACCAGGCGTAGACTGTGATCGCAGTGAGTCCAATCGCGAATGTGGCGAACAGCCAGATATACTTGGACACGACAGACCCTCCATCCTGGGCATTCCAGTCAAACATATCCATCGAGAATATAGTCTAATACACCTTAGCCAAGTTTCTGGAGTTATGTTCGTGTCACTAACCGCAACGCTGGAAAAAGGCAAGTAAATCATCGACAGTATAGCAATCGACCTCATTTGGATGCCTTCCCGTTTTGTTTCAAGGGCGACCCCTGTGTTTACGTGAGCAATGCGAGTATTGAGGTCCGAATCGTGCATCGCGATTTGATTCCAGACCTACCAAGATTAAGTGTTCTGGACCTATTAGAGAGTGTTGAGCATGACTTACCGTCTGCATAGCCAGAGTAATATTTCCTAGGATCATATTACATTCGTCTATCTTGCCATCATACTCATTGATGGTATCTTGCAGTCTCTTCTTCATCTGGGCTCCAATTTTCTTGAACCGATGTACTCTCTTACCATCGTGAGAACGCTCTCCATGTTTATGAGATGAAAGATAACCTTCGAACTCTTCTATCTCGGCCAGAAGCTTTACCACTTGCCGCTTTACGGCGTTCATGTGGTCTATAAGACTTCGGCTTTGAAGACAAAGCGCCAGGTATTCTTGTGTCTTCTCCTTACTCATATCTATAGACGGGTCCCAGGTCCCATTCTCTAGATTCTCTGATCGCAAGGTAAACCCATCCAGGAGTTTGTCGGCTATAGACACTAGTCTTTCTCTCTCTAGTTCGACGAAGATCCCGATCATTAATAACGGATATTTAGTTCTGTCACCAGCCGATTGAATGCGCTTCTCGATTGCCTGTATCTGATCTTTATTGCAACCATACATAACAGCATATATGGATTCGGTGCTTGGGATATAAGTGACAGATAACGCTAGGTCTCCAGGGAGATATTTCGACATTCGGGCAGTAAAGCCTATAAGTACCACATTAGAAGGTAACTCGCTATGCTTTTGAACGATGGGCTGTGTACTTACATATCTTCGTACTTGCCCCTTTTTTCTCCTCGTAGAACGACGAAATGCAAGCGACCTGTCTAGCTATCGACCGTGTGATACCCCGGTGGATATGGAATAATCTTGTAAGCCTCTCCCACGTGTCCCTTGAGACTGAGACGTAGGAAACTGGAGCATCTTCCCCCTCAAAAATAGGCGCTGCCCTACTGCAAAGTCTAGTTGAAGTTCCGGTCAGTACAATCTCTAAGAGCTATAGATATTCCTCTTACACGGCATGGAACTCGTTCGACCCAGGAGTGGGATTCAGGGCCTACACCCATAGTCATTAGCCTCTGACACCGACCGCTCGCAATGATCTTCGCATTTGGTTTCCATACAATATCAAACCAAATCTCCCAGTCGTTCTTATTCTGAAGTATATCCCGTGTCAACGTCTGGTATTGATTATATTAGCAATATGACATAAGATGTATGCTGGTTCACTTGCTGTATGTGATTCCGATTTTCGGAGGGCTACGGTAGGGCGTGATTCAAAACCAAACGTCTCTAAGTCGATGTTAGACCAAGCCGAGTCTTCCATAGGCCAGTCCATCCTGTCTATTAATAGCCAGAGTAAGCGTGGGTAAGGGCTGGCAATTGAATGCTTGCTAATAGCGGGTATCTCTGAAGGTTAACTTATTTGGAAATTTACTTCTTCTAAAGGCATTTCGGGAAGAATAAGGGCTTTCTGGAGAGCCTTGCTGGTTACTGTCTTAGGTTGCACGCCTAGGCTTGCTGCATATTTTACTCCGCAGATCATATCCGATTGGTTCTCAAGGTTGCTTAGATTGTCGTGATGCAGATACCTATGCGCTGGCCTGACATTTTATTAGGCACTCTGTCCGACGCTCCCTGCTGCTGGTCAGCCGGGAGCTGCCGTTGGACTGATTTGCTTTTTTCCATGTATTCCAATCTACACACAACTCACCAGATTAACCTTTATTCTCTTCAGAGCCGTCCCTATTTTTTCCCTTTTCAGCCCGCTTGTTAACCTCGGATGAAAAGCTGTCGCCAGTCTCTTGCAGGGGTGGGAGCGCTGGAATAACCTAAGAATGTCTGAGCCGCAGCCACCATCAAACACCGCGACATGGTACGAAGTTGTATTAAGGCAGAAATACAACGACCCCTTGAAGCTCAAGAGCTCCCTCGACAGTATGTACGGCCCAAACAGGTATAAAGTGAAGGTAAGGTCTCTAGGTATAAATTTCAACGGAAGACACGCTAATTCTCCTGTCATATAGATAAAATCTGGTAGATACATCCTTCAATTACCAGAGCCACTGAACGAGGTAATAAAATCCGCAACCGTTCTATGATCAATGCTGAGATTCCCCGATCCACAAGAGCCAAATAGCTGAGATAGAAAGGACAATTCGCTTCCACTATAAGGTATAGTGGATGACTAAAGAGCCCCAGGGGCACATGGCGTCAATGGAATAATTTGTAATGCTATGAAGGTTAGCTTGGCTATCAATATCCAGGATTATGAAGCTTACTAGAGGTATATGTGGTTGTGGAATATAAAGAAACTCTGGTATCAAAACCCTAACGCCGACCCGTGCCATACCTAACCAGTACTGGACCTATCTCTCTTGACACTGCTTGGGGCTAAGGATATTTGATGCTGAATATCACCTCGCACAGTATTCTGTACAGTAGGTGCGCCTGGGTTCAACTCCCTTCTTCGTCTAAGTGCGTGGGCACTTCAAATAAGTCACCTGCGGGCCTGCCTTTTCTAAACGTCGCTGTTGGGGGGAGATGGATAAAAGGGGAGCATAGTACGAGAAATGACAGGGGAGTGGAGACAGCGACTGGTAGAATAGGATAAGGTACACGAATAAAAGACTTTATGCTCGATAAAACTAAGATTCACCTTTCGTCTTCAAATAGAAGCTGTCATTCCTCTCGCATGCTTGACGAAGCAAATCCATGTCCTTAATAAGTTCCCCGATATGGATTCGATTCTTGCGATCTGGTGCTAACATCTTATCCCTTATGATATCAAGGAGTTGATGTAAGTACCAACTACAGTTTTCGTGCCCTTGGAGCTGTTTGATCCAACTTTTGACGCTTTCTTTTAAGAAGGGCTGCTGTTCGCGAATGCTGAAGAAAGTATCTGACTCGAAATTGTAGATATCTGGCTCGGATCTATGGGCGGGGAACCCTTCTGTCAAGCCTGTGTTTCCTAGCATGAACCAGGTAACGTATTCGAGAAATACGCATCCAAGGCTAAAGATATCGGATGCGCGAGAAATTGTACCATTATTTAGGTCAAACTCTGGCGCCCTATATGTCTCCGTCCTGGCAATGTTCCTTGGGTCTTGATTCGATCGAGAGACTTTAGTATGCAATCTTCCAAGCCCGAAATCAGATAGAGCCAGTTGACCTAGGTTTCTTGGCAAGGAATGCTTTTGTTCCGATGATGAACTCTCTTGCTGAGGTGGTGGTAGCTGAGGGGGGACGAACCAAAGGAAGTTATCTGGCTTAATATCTCCATGACGCCCATATAAGCTTTTAGCATCATGAAGTCTTCCTGATAAGTTTTTTTCAAGCTTATTTTCGTCAATGGACTTCAATGTCTCTTTACGCTCATTATGAACACACTCGAGCGCCAAACAGAGCGAATAGAACTCACGAGACATCCATTTACAATGGTCCCTCGCCCCCACGAGATGATCGTTCTTCTCCCAGAAATCATTGAGATTCCCCTCAGCCCAGTCGAAGAGAATATAGTAAGTCGACCCACGAACTGCGGGCTCTTCAACTTCAAAGGTTGCGAGAGGTTGGATTATGTGATTATCGGCTTTTTTGACAATGGATTTATCCATACAGAATAACAGGGATGAGAGTTCCATGTTGAAGTCGTCCCGATCATGAGAGATAAGCTTCTTCAGAGCGAACAATTCCTCGGGGTGGCGTATCTAGTAAGAAATTAGGCTCGACATCCATAATATTGTCAAGGAATCTCTATAACGTACCCCGATATCTTCAAAACGTTGATGACTCTTGTCAATCTTGACTTGATACACTTCACTAAACCCACCACACGCAAAAGCCCCCTCTGTGATTTGGGGTTTGTTGCCTTGCACGGCCACCTCTTGCTTCGTCATCTCTCTTCTCGTCACCTCTTTCTTCGTAATATCTTGCTTCAACGTCTCTTGCTTCTGTAGCTTTCTCCCAGAGGGCATGGGGAAGATATCACTGGCGTGTAGACGGTAGTGAGAATGTTTCTGTTTCGTAGACGTGATACATGGTGCGATTACACTGTATGACCACTGTGTAAATTGAATCCTGTCGTTAGGTCGACGAAAACTATCGATAGTCGCATGGTGCGCCTTGTGGCGTTCGCAGTAGAGAGGTGTCGTGCCATCATTGGGATTTTCTACTGTCATTGGGAGGCAACCGTCATCCATTCCCTCTTTGATACATTTCGGGAAGTCTTGTAGTTTATCAATCCCGATCAAGACGGCTAATAACTTCAAAAGAGGGTTTGAATCTGAGTTTATTGATCCATAATATATGCGTGTAGTTAAGTCGTCCTTGTTTGGGAAGTCTTGGAAGGAGGGTAGGTTTACAATGGTTCGAATCCTCTCGACAGTGAGGATGTCTCGAAGCTTGTCTCTCGGAATGTATCTTTTACCTTGATCCATAACACTGGGGACTTTAGAGAGGTCAAGCTCCTGCTCGATGGTTTCATGTATTTTGGTAATGTCGTGGGTTATTGGCTGGTATATCCGGGGTTGGACATGCTGATGGGAAATATTAGGAGGCTCGAAAAGGGTTTCGCCCCGGTTGATGATATGACAAACCCTAAGTTCATTGTCTAGCACTCTCTTTTGTCCAGACATAATGATACTGAGGCAATGTAATGTATGTGGCAGCAGCGGTTGATGTGTAGGTTGTACCTAGCTAATATGGCTAGAAGTAAGAGAATGACTGGATAATAGGTATACTTTCAAATTGTAGCTAATAGAGGACAGGATACTCCAGGAAAATTATCCTGTCTAAAAGGAACACTGATGTTCTAATATTTCCTTGGATGAGAATATAATAGTGTGTTTTAGACAGAAACAGATGAGAGGGAATCTACAGTTAAATAAGGCTGCGAAATAAGGTCTGGCTTGAATTACTGCGCTATTAATTGTATTTCTCACTTGCAGAACAGCATTCGGAGTGACCGGCTGCCTCAGTAGATGCCTTCCTACACTTACCACATTGAGTTGCCTACTATTAGGCTGGCGTATAATCATTGACGGCTAAGCAAACGGCGCGCGAACACTCCGAGAAGCAGGCTCTGAAGCCACAAGGTAGCACCGGTGTGAAGCTCACCTGCGCCGTCGGTAGATGCCGACCCTCCAGATCAGATCGCCGAGCATACGCACCGGCGTAGCTTTACAGCATCACATTCGGCTAGGTCAATGCAGGCTGACAGTCGCCCCTGGACACTGGCAAACAGGTATTTGACCGTCTTGTCCTGCCACAGAAGCCAATCGGGCAAGGACTTCCTAACGAAGTGCAATGCATACCTAGCTGAGGCTTCTGCATTGTGTGAGGTGCTGCAAAACCTAGTCGGGATCTAGATACGGTGGTATAGGACAAATCAAATAGGTGCAATGAGAACGATTGGAGACATGAGGCTCACATAGACGCCTTACGTACCTGTACTTACACCGTAGTATATGTATGTACAATACACACACAGCTACACACATACATTGAAGAGACACACATATAGGTAATACGCATGATAATAATGAAGTAAATTATTTTCAAATTATCAAGTATCGACGTAAATATATTTGGACTTATAACTTATCATAGCTATAGCTTGGTTATAAGCAAGCAACATAACAAAAATCTTCATTCAGGGTAGATTACTTGGGTTAGGTACTTAGGTACCTACCTAGGGTATATCAAGTATTAATATTGCGCAGTATTCGCCTTTGATGGCAATATCGGGGTTTTTTTTTACGAGAATGCGACAGTGAGGCGTATTCATGATAAGGCAGAATACCGTGATCTTAACGATTTCTGCCCATTTATTGATATATAAGCCTACTGGTCTTTATTCATATCATATGTTTGGATGGCCCTACTTTAAGCGAATTGAAGTGCGCCGTGTGGACCAGTAACTGACCTGCAGGTTTCTGATTCTTTTATAAAGAGTAGACGAACTCCTAGAAAATCAACTTTCAGCTCATTTCTTTAACTTTTTCTTGCCACAAGAAGCAAGTCGTATTTTGTGGCTTTGATGTCACACGATACCGAGCACAGACTAGCAAATTTTACAAATCCATCGCCCCTTGCTTACTTCTTCTAAGACATATCTTCTAAGACATATATATAGGAGGTATATGTATTAAGCTACGAAGTTGTCTTCGTCGTTCCTCTTCACTAAAAACACTCAAAATCTGTCGACTGTCTACTATCAGGGATATATCTTGAAACACCAGATACTCCAACAATGACCGTCAAATCACGAACATCGTCGGAATCGCCATCAGACGAGTGGCAAGGTCCCTATATTTTATCCGTATCAGCATCAAAAATAACATCAAATCAATTGAAGCAGTATCTTGATCGTAAATATCCTGGTCAATACTCTGTACAGGTATGCTGACAGACTCTACCACGTGGGAGGAGTAATAACAACGGAGCAGTTAAAACGGGACCGGTTCACGATCACCATAACAGAACATAAAAAGGAAGTGTTATGAATGTACGATTGGCATCCACTTGTATTACCTAAATATATTGCCTGAATAAATTACCCCGCTAATCGGAGAATAGTTACGATAGCACTGGCAACGGCACTCTACGGCCAAGTTTAGAGGATTCAACATGATAGGACGTCTATCAAGCTTTGACGCAAATATTTGTACACGTGGCTATTATACGTCAATATTTATGTACACAAGACATAGTCAAATATGCCCAACATATTGTTAGGCAACTGGGATATCTATAGGGAGAATTGAAGGTTGTGGATGTGATGATGGCTCTTAAATTCTGGTTGTATAATTTCATAAAGTTCAAATCAAGTACTAAAGTATATTTCTGATCTCCACGTCACAATTAAATTCACGTAGCTTTGGTAGCTTTATCGTTTCATGTTTCCTTGTGAGTATTAAGAGAAAGGTACAGGCTTTTGAAAACAGAGTGAAGCTCTGAATGTAAGAAGAAAGCAAATTTCATCGAACTACTTACTAACTGGCTTATATTAAGCTCAAACTAACAAACCATTCTCTTCTATCAGATCGTTTTTAAGATTAGGTTGAAAATTAATATGCCCCTGAGATAAAATTCTTGATCGTTATGATTCAATTCCTGTTGGTAGTAATAGTTCATACCATTACCACCTAGTTACTCCAAGTTTATCTACTACTTCAATAGCAACAGAGAAACTTCCAAGAAAGAGTTTATATCATATTGAGATCATGTTTCTGATTCAGTAGGAACTGACAAAAGAGCACGTCACTATTTTCCACTCTGTTCACTGTCTAACGTTTAACGAGACTAATACTTCAAACATTTGCTACTTCTTGACCTCTAACTACTGGTATCATGAGGCAGTCGTACTCTGAGTAGCATTAGGGCTGCCGTGATATCAGTTAATTCTGCCTAATCTAGCACAGCCCTGATCAAACGAGCCGCCTTTGGGTTACCACGAGTTTGTGTGCCAATACCTCAGGAGGTACATATGGAATGTGAGGACTGCATCACCTATGAGGTACTGGTACATGTCCTTTTGCATTTATAGCAAGGTACGTAGGTACCTAACCCAAACACTCCGGAGTAGGTAGGTACATAGGTACCTGTACGGCCGCGGACACCGGCCCCACAGGCAACGGACACCTGAAGGGTACTTGGGTACTTACTAGTGTATGTCGAAGGCTTTCTTCAATTGCAACAATTCACTATTACCCTACCTAAGCTTCGCAATGATAGTTCCCTACGAATTATGTATAAAACCCTCACTTAAAAGATATGATACCACGCTAAGAAGGATACTGCCGACGAAATAAATCACATTCCACCCAAGCTACAAGAATCAAACCATGTCCTCCCAACAGCGCGACCCAAAAATCACCTCCAAGAATCTTGCCTACTCGAGTGATCTACCTCCCTTCCTAGCCAAGCTCCGCGGCCAGCACCAGCAACAGCGCGACTCCGACACCCCGGACCCTATCCTAGCCGCGCGACGACGAGCAGCACGGCCGCGGTCCGCAAGCGAGGAGGCCGAGGACGCACCTCTTGTCGTCGACGAGGCGGGGAACACCGTTACTCTCCCGTCCGGCGCAGACGCGGATGTTCCTGCAGATGACGACGCAGGTGGTAGGAATGACACCGGTGCAGACAACGCGAAAGAGAGGGAGAGAGAGAAAATAGCCAGCATTGGGGCGGGTAAAAAACGCAAGGTAGGACGGGTAATTGGCGGCACTGAAGAGGACGAGGAGCAAAAGCCGTTTAAAAACATTAAAGGCCGAGAGAAGGAAGAGAGCTCTTCGGCAAAGAACAGCGATAAACCCGCCGTGGATGCCAAATCGGGAACGAAGCAGACCAAGAAGAAGGCCAAGAAAATCAAGCTCAGCTTTAATGACGACGGAGACTGAAAGGAGCTGAGGATTCCGAAAGCACGATATGGTCCATACAATATACGGTGCGAAGCTCGGATATATGCTACCAATATTAGACGAGTCGGTATTTTGATATCCAGCGTGGTCTGCCTTGTTTTTAGGCTCCGGTGCCATCGCTGTTGACGATAAGCAACTGAACAACCGACATCTATAACGAGCCTGGTCCCATTGCCAATATACGGTAGAGCGGCGTTGCTTAATTCGAGAGGATGGTTGGGTCTAGAAAAAAGAGACGGCAAATTCCCCATCCCCTAGGGCAAATGGATAGGCCGATACGAGCTTTAGCTCTGGACAAAGCTGGAGCCTCATGAGAACACCTCAAGGTCATGTCAGGGCGTTCTAAGCCATTATGATTCTTTGGATCTGATCTGGACTCCCAATTCTAGCCCTTCGGCCAAAGCAGGACCTCGATAAATATTGCCAGTGGAGGCTTCACTACATAAACACGACAGTGTATGATGCGGAGACGCCCAAATCGAAGCATTTGCAGACAATCGATACATACGCAAAAGCTGCAAGAGGATCTGTTCATCGGAATTCCATAAAGATTCGTATATTCGTGGTAGCTAAATACTCGGTATGTACAATATAAATATTACTCGACTTCTGTCGTCGCCGCTGTTTCCACACCAGGCACATTTTAAGCATGCACCCCCAATTCAGCAATCGCTGCAAGTGCCAATACCCTAATATTGAATATGTTCATCTATTGCTCCAATGGAACCCATGAGCTCATCAGCCAAACCAAGACGCCTCGCAAATGCAACGTGCTTTTGAACGCTTCAGACTGCCTCAACGCAGATAATCTCTCCTTTCTCGCAGTCTCCTCCCTCGGATACTTCCTCGCCGTGCGAAGATTCCGCAATACCGGGTAACTAATAGCGGGACATTCGGTTTCTTGAAGGAGAAGAAGAATGGTCGTAAGGGCTAGGGTGACCGTAAGGGTCGTCCATATAGACAGTAGTAGCACGGCGTTCTTCCTCGGGAAGAAGCTCTTTCACTTCCCAGTTATTCATCCGTGTACCCACGGAGAACTCTAGGTCTTCTTTCGTGATCGAATCCCAATACTACAAATTCACTGTTAGAAAAAAACCTGAGCGCTAAGATAAATGTGAATAGGGCCTACCTTATAAACCATCATGACGGCAAGCAGATTGCAGGTTGTTGCAAAAAATAGGCCGTCAATATAGTGACTAGTCGCTTGGCAAATCGTGGAACTAAGTGCATATAATATGACTTGCCCCACAATGAAGAAGAAGAGGCCGAAGGCGATATCTCCCAGCGGCCAGCGGTCTTCCAAGGTCCGGGCCACGAGCAAAATCTGCAGAGCCACATAGATGACGAGTTGTACGCCATTCAGGAGATATAGAACCGTGAACAGGCCTACTGTATTCGACGGTCCCATGCCGGCCCATGACTTAAACGTAGCTAGCGATACGAGGAACGAGACGACAAAGGCCGCAAAGGAGGAAAGCCGGAGCATCCATACGGATAGCGGGGTGCCGTCTTCGTAGAGCTGAAAGCCGACGAATCCATTGATTAATAGACATGTGATCAACGCAGACGTGAGGCCGGATTGTATGGCGACGAAGTATGGGTAAGGTTCGGACCCCGGAGGAACAACACCGGCGTCGACGCAGAGGGAGATGAACGATAGTAGCATGTAAAAGTAGAAGAACGCTAGGATTTCCTTGCGACCTGCAAACAAACGTCGGTTAGGATTATACGAATCGCTCTATAGGCTACTTAATAGAAATGCTGCTTACCAACGGCAGTGAATTTCCCTCGGATATGTAAAATCATCACTATAGTCATGATCAGAGCGATAATGTGTATGAAACTAGATGCGCCCTGGAAGATGATGGTATTGGCCAGCTCGATATTTCGCGCGAAGCAATCGGTTTCGACGCCGACACCGCTCGAGATGGAAGTGACGGGCCCGACAGATGGACACAACGGCAAGGGCGCCGTGTGGCATATATCCGTGAAGTCCCCGAAACCACCCATCTTGTCGGCGACGACGAGCGGTTTGCTCAATATCTATTCGGCGCGAATATATGCGAGAGGGGAAAACGCAGGGGATAACGAGTGATGCGGGTGAGATATATGGTAGTCGTTACTATTGGACGGGATTGCGCCCGACCGATGATCTCACGGAACCCAGACGATGAGGGCTCGAAGAGGAAACGAAAGTAAAGCGAGGAGAGGGCACAGTAGAATTAGTAGTATTATTAACGGTAGTATTGTAAATTGGAACGAATGACTATTAAGGTGTCCTCCTACTAGTACTATGACATGGCCAGGGCTGAACGACTTGTCCTTGCGTTTGGCTTCGTTGCTCGGCCAAACGTCTGGGCTGGGCTGGAAGTGGAGGAGTGGTGGTTGGAAAGTTGGCTGAAGAATGGAGTTTTAGCGCTTCGTTGCCATGGAAAAAAAAGGGTGGTGAGACAATGGCTGCAATGGCTGGGAAAGTTCCACTAGCCAAAGTTTGGAAAGAACTAAAGGTGGACCGTGCTCGTGTTTAATGGTGGCAGGGGTTTGGGGGTATGGCAAGATCTACCAATCAGCAGGTTATATACTTTGACACTTTACCGCTTTCAATAGTAAAAATAAATTGAAAGTTTAGCGCTACGTTTTAGCGCGACTTACTTCCTCCAGCCCTTACACGAAAGCCTGAAACCTGGGGTATCGAATTCATATCTCCCTTTCTTCGTCTCGTCTTGGATTCGACGTCAATTATAGCCGTACGGTCGCAGCCATTTTCATCAACGTTGTGATTAGCCGACACAAATACAACTTGGCGAGGTTGCTATATGGGATACCGTCTCGAGTTCTTGATTCTTCTCGACTTATCAGACGAATCTATCTGCCTGTTGATGTTCGATGTCCTATTAATCTTGAGATGCTACTCACCCCGCTTCCCTTAGCTATTCTTTACCTGCATAGATACCGGTAGACTTCACTACGTTGGAGTTATTATGGACTACCTCCGTCATTCTTTGTTCATTGATACTCAATAACCAATTGCCTTTTAGGATGAAGTCGAACAATCTAGATCGCCCCAATAGAAGCTTTCAACCTCCAACCCGCTGATATCACAGTGGGGGGTCAACCCTCAGCTGACATGGCCGATACACTTCGCTATACATATATAGGCGGAGGTCCAATCGGTCTGTAAGGTGAATGAGAACTCAAACCTTCAACCTACAACCTACATGACTTTCTAGGTTTAACTTCAAAGCCACCTGAGCATCATACCACCGCTTGGATTGAAACAATTGAACGTAAACCCAACATGTCAAAAGCATTTCTCGCAGCCAAGGAGAAGTACCAGGCAGTGATCAACGACGCTGGAAGAGGTGACTTCGCTTGTGAGCATCACCAAATACCATACTACATATAGAAACTACTCAATACAATATACTGACCTTGCTGGTGAGGCCGGACAAACCGCATCGGTGCCACTCGGCACCCCTCCAGCGGTGACTGCCAGGCCACCAACACGGTTAATCATCAGCGTCGGCGAAGTAGCACAAGCATAAGAGACAAGATCAGGGATCTGACGAATCGGCCCGCTTATTAAACTAGGTGTATTTAACGTCACGGAGTAGTTAATGTCAATTGATGATGTTGGATATTATGAAATGACTGGCCAGACCGAATACGTGATGTCTTGATAATTGGTGTCTCGTCAACGTCGCGGAGTCTTCCCTGGAACACTACATGAGAGGTACCAAGGGCCTTAACGATAGTCAATATATATCTTCGCTCTATCTACGAGACTATGTCAGTAATTGAAAACCCACCACATATTACATAGTAGACCACCCTTCCGACAGCCAGACAGACCACTGTTTCGTGGGCGGGGTCGAAATAGTCGCCAACCCTTTAAGTGGAATGAACTATTGGGGGTAGACAGTAAAGGGAATACCCCATATCGACAGATACATCGATTAAGCATTTTCATATTACTTTAATATTAGCTTCAAGTATGGCATTATATCAGGATATCCAAACCAAGACACCTGCTTTTAATTAACTATTATCCGCCGACTTTAGATCCTTCGGCATCCCAGGTGATTTTAATGGGCTCGTGGTTCCCCGAGAACTTCTGCCCGGCAAACCACAACTCGAATCTCAGCTCCGCAGGGGCTACGATAGCCCGGACCTCGTAACTGCACAGATAGAACTTCTTGCCGTGAAACAAGAACCTTCTTGACTTACGCCTCATAACCATATCGCCGTGGCTTATCCCCGTGATGTCGCTTTTCACTATGCAGAGCTGTTTGAATCCTTCTACTAAGAGTGAGTAACTGCGATATACAATTCGTTGGTTCTTACGACATCTTAGACGACTCACCTTGATGAACGCTGCGTGGTAAAAGGCAAGGATCTAAATCGGAGATCACGACGATCGAATCCCAACTGCGGTTCGAATCTTTCGGGTCCACTTTCTTCGTGTAAGTCGTACTGATGGGGACGTTCGTGTTTATAGAGTCGCCCTATGTAAGCGAGTAGGCACTTTAGCACTTGTCGGAGAAGTAGAAGTTTAGAATGCATACTTTTCTAATAAGCCAGTCGATCTGGCCCATGGCATATTGCTCTCCGTCGTAAGAGTCCGTTTTAATATCCTCACCAAAGTGTATGTCCGGATTGTACTTGGTCTTGCATACAAGACCGTAACTCGCCCGAGCTACTCTACTTACTATGACCGGAACCAGCCCGGACTCTAGATTTTGCAATCTGTCTAATAATAAACCCTTCACGACAACTAGTTGCGGATCAGGGGCTTGTAGTACCTTGACTTGATGGGCGTGTGGGTATAAGCTAGTCATCATTTCATGCTGAATGCGATCACGGACGTATTTGGAGCTCCCAAGTCCGCCGGAGAGAATCATATAGCTCTAGTTGATTTCAATGTATCAGTCTCTAAGTCCTGGGTGCAGCTATTATATAAACTTACTATCGGCCGATTAATACCATTAGCCAACATCCAATCTAGCTGTCCGTGTATCTTTTTCATGATACCTTCGACGTGCGGGTCAAAGAGGGACTGCATCTCTTCCCTATTTCGAGGTTTGTTAGATCCAAACTAGTATGATATGGCGTCTAGAATTGATGTACCATGAAACTACTATCCTACCGAGCTCGATCTGCGCGCCACTATGGTTAAGGTTGTAGGGAACACCGTCTAGGGGGAGTTTATAACAAGTTGATTGGTAAACTCGCTCCCCGAACTTATGCTTTGTCGTTCGATATCTCTCACTCTTGACAAGCCTCTCGGCACAGTCAGGAGGGAGTTGGTCTAATAAGTTAGGAAACCGACTGAGACGATTATTTATCATGGCTACGAAAGCCTGGTCGATTAAGGTCGAGCCAATACCAATACCATCTACTTGATTCAGCTGAGATAGCAACGGGAACGGCTGCCGCGCTTCGACAACTTGCATTAGGGCGAGATCTGTAGTTCCCCCTCCTGCATCTACAGACAAGAAAATGTCGCCTGCTTCGAAAACTACGGGTGAGTTCTTGATGGTACCGACGGCTGCCGCCTCAGACTCTGTCAACTCAACTTTGGCCGTATGGTATTGTCCCTCGATGCCAAACCCCGCATCCTCGATACACTTCTTGAACGAGTTGATTATCTCCTGGCTTCTCCACGTCGTCGGGACACTAAAGATGAATTCGACAACCAATTCCTGCCATCCCACGTGGCTTATGCCAGTATGCAACTCGACGGTTGATTTGACGTGCGAGTAAACTTCGCGGAGGTAGTCAGAGACTAATCTTTGTGCATCGCGGACGGAGTTGGGTACCTGACCGATGTTTCGGCGGTGCGCATCCTCCAACGTTTGCTGATCGAGAAAAATCTTGAAGAATTCTCTCTTCTTCTTCTTGTCTATCATATCATCATCTTCGCACAAATAGCCCCATGATGACAAGCTCTCGTCATCATTATAGACAAGACAAGTATGGACTTTCTGTTCATTCTTAGTCGAGGTGCCAGGCCAGTTATGTATAATCTGAATAGGGCTTTGCAGAGTCTGATTCCGCTGCGGTCGCGCCCATGCCACACCTTTTGCGCGGAGTGAGCACGCTATAACGAAGATTGAGCGGTGAATATATGCCACTTGCCTGTGTAAGTTGTTCCTAAGTCAATGGCTACAAGTATATCAGGTCGTTCGCTTGCCATGATGGGCTAGTACGCGCATTTACGTGCATGACTCGAGAATTGTCGCGTAACTAGAAACATAGGTATCTAAGGTATCTAGATATGTAATAGTTGTAAATTCTGTTGATTTCAGTCTAGCGACGGCAACAAGGTATCTGTTAAGATTGCTCTACAACGCCTAAGAGCCTCAACGGCCCTACAGCGATATATCCGTTACGACCGATTCGCGTTGAAAGAACAAGGGTCCGATCAAATCCCGTACCTATCCCTTAATAATAATAGGGCTGTGTATTCCGATTAGGTCGATAGACGCTGCGCATGGATCACATTTTCCTCTGTCTTAGGATTGAGTAGATCTTAAGGTCTGAAGGTCTGGGTCGTGTGGAGGTAGGATCGTTTGTTGGCTCATGGCTGTGCTAAGACCCCTCGACAAACTTCTATTCTTGTTCATTCAACTCGTGATCCAGTCGTCCGGTAACAAAGAATGTTGGCATTGTGATAGAATGGTACGACACCACAAGCAAACATCGCTACTTCGAGTCGTTCAAAGTGTAACCCCTGGAGGTTTAGTTGTGCATTGCTCAAGAGTAGCAAATCTGGTAGCGATGTGTATCATCTCAAGTGGTCAAATTGAGTATGGCTTTAGGCCCCCAATTCATTAGAGCATGCATCTAACAAAGCACGCTGCGGCTGATCCCTGTTCATCTCCATTTTCGCCTTATCTTTCTGTCTCCCTGTCCTCCCTGTCCTCCCGTCCTCCTGTCTCCCCCCTGTACATACCTAAGGCTCAGCACACGTCTCACCGGTCATTTAATGCTAAAGGAATATGACCATGCGTCTCCGGAAACAGCATTTATTTTATCTATATAATTTAAACTAGTGTGAAAGGTCTTGTGAATCGATTCGAAGCCAATAGTGAGGTAGTAGCTATCGCGAGTTGTTGTTTGCTTTTTAATGCTCTATTATTTTGTATCGTAGCAGAGGCTCCTTAGTAGACAATAATACCTTGAATGTCGTCGTACCGCAGATCACTCGTGCCCTACCGTAATCGGGGCTGTGTTACTCGGCCCGTGGGATACTCTCTTGTGCTATTTTGAGTGTTATATCCACATACCGTACAATAACGGTGTTCTCTATCATCTCACAGGGAGTCTATCCTACTTCTATAATCACGAATCCAGGTGAAATCTGAAACCATCTAGATTCTGGTACTCGGCACAATGGCAGAGATATCGATATCGCAGACAACGGTTTCTACCGTATTTACTACAGGGACCTCTTATGAAGCAGTCGATGTATGGACTAAGGCCCCAGGACAGACTACCTTTGGCTTTTCGACGGAACTTTGGAACGCCTTCGCTACCACTTCTACTACCACTTCTACTACTTCATCCTCAACTACGTCTTCTATATCCACAACGGATAGTTCGAGTACGTCTTCGAGCCGAGTATCACCGTCGCTTATAAATGCTACCCCAAATGCTACCCAGTCGGTCGAGTCAGATGGCAACTCAGGTCTCTCCAGTGGAGCCGTCGCTGGGATTGCTATCGCGTGCGCTGTCGCGGGGTTGATAATGGGAGCTATATCGGGGATTTTCTTATTCCGACGGCGACGGCGGCAAAGGCCGGGTGATAGGCCACGCGGAGGTGAATACGATAGCCAGGAGAAGCCTTTGCAGAGTCCTATATCAACAGATAGACTGCAGCTGGACCAATTTCTCTTAGATCCAACCCCGGATGCTGAAATACGCACGGAGCTTCGTTCGTTGAGCCAACTGCTGCAGCAACATGTCGAGAATAATTACCATAGCCTCCCGGTTTCGCGTAATGTAGATGTCCTATCTGCGGAGCTAGTTCGTCTAGGAGTAGGCCAGAGTGATCCTTTACTGGCCGATAGACTTGCTTCTTTAGCCCTAAGCCCGATGAGTCGATACAGTGCTATTCAGCACATCATTTCCAGAGTTGCATTTGCCAGCGTCACCCTTGACGGGACTTCACCTTTATCTCTACTCCCACAACCGGTGTCTTCGTTCGCCTCTTCGATACCGGCTGCGGAGAGCTTTAGAGGAAATCCAGAAGGTGAGCAGGGTAACCCGGTGAACGATATTGCGAATACTGATATATATGTGGTAATAGCCGTCGATGCTGCATTCACTCGATGGCGACAGTTATCTGCCTTCTTGCTTCATCCAAGCAGGAGTGATAGGACACCATTAGTCCCATCTGAAGATGTTAGCACTCGCCAAGCGCAACGGCTTGCTGAGGCCCTGAATGTCTTCCTCGAGCCTTTCGTGGCGGGTGATCGCGATGACAGATACGAACAGGAGAACCACTTGCGGGAAGTAATCGTAGAATGCGCTACGTTTGGTTATCTGTTATTATCTCAGCCCTCAGAGTATCGATTCCGTTTCGAAGATGACATGGACCCGAATCACATAATCGTTTTCCCGGGGTTAGATAGGATTAGTGATGAGGACGGCCATAGACATCCCTCGATGGCTCAACCGATCGTCGCGCCTGTGGTTGAAAGCTTTTAAACGAAGACTTACTAAATCTAATGCATTCAGGGATGAGGAGGTACTAATGAAGTAGGCAGGCCTTGGGTTATTATTATCCGTTCGGTTGTATATAGTCCATCTGAGAGTAGTCTCGGTCATGTGTATATAAAATAGAAGTGCACGTCTAACCTAGGAACTGTACCGTAATATTTTGAAACTGGAAGCATTATGCATATATAACTCCAAGCATATGTGTTCCTCCTCCTATACCTATCACGCTAGAGCCACATCAAAATGGCCCCCACCCGCAAGGTTGATTTATGACTACCTGTTGTGTGGAAGATATGGTTCGTTCGTAAGCAATGTCATATTATCTGCTCAGCCCAATTCCAATATTTCTTACCCGAGCGGATTAACTTTCTATAATGGGCTGACCTACGTCGTAGATCCGTAATCTCTAATTTAGCTAAGACGCCATTGGGACATCAAGCGCTGACCGCCTTAGACTCCTGAATTTATTGTCCGAAGGCGGTATAATCATTCTTACTTACATAACATATTCGTCCGAGGGTATGAGTGAAAGTCTAGCTGGCTAATTAAGTCTAGCCACGCTTCCGCGGTATTGGATTAGGGTCTTGTTGGCAACGTGTTGATAGGCTTCATGGTCAGGTGTGGGCCCCATCATCGTCAGCCTAGCTCTATGTATATATATACTACGCTGAAGATATATAGGAATATTGCTTCCTGGAAACTTTTATAGAGCTCTGAAGTGAGATAGTAATTTGTGAAATTTTATATGCGACGATGTTAGAAAGGATCCGATGCTTCAAGGAGCGTCGGTCAGATAAGTCTCCAGTCACGATGAGGAAAGCACGTAAAAAGGAATTGAAGAACGTTTGTGTCTTCAAACGTTTGCTGGGAAATAAGGGGGAAGAGGGATTAGGTATTATGGGCATTTCGATACGCACATGATTCTTTTGCAGCGCTAACTCAGGCACTTAGGTCGTTCTTCCACGTCGTCTGAACAGCCCCCAAATTTTGGTAGTTCGATTTTGGGTCAAGCTACGATACCGAATAGCAATGGTACAGGTTGGAAGACATCCATTCCTTCACTTGAGTGCGATCGCAGTGATGTAGCCCAGCCATGGCACAGTCCTGTAGGAATTCCTTCGCCTTACCAAGATTCCGGGTTCCCGGAGATGATGGTCTTGGAAACCGTATCATCAAAACTTGTAGATGACTTTTCTGGTAGATATTATATGTCTCCAAACACACAATCGCCAACCTTGCCCAAACAACCACCTCCCTGGATTCAGAACCATACCGAGCTGGTAACAGGACCTAACACTGATCTAAGTGTTCTATTTCAGCAACCCGTCCGTCTTAGACCTCATACAGAATCATATCCAAGCCGCTTACAGAACCATTCTAGTAGTTCTGACCCGAGTAGCCCTCCTCTCCAGACCTTCTTGTCCTTAACGCCAAGCACAAGCTGTAGCTCTATGGTATCCGAATCAATCACTAAGCCAACGAACAGTCTTAGCGACGATGGGGACAGAAGCCCGCGACTAGCGCACTCGTTAAGCTACAGGATCGCTCTATCTCAGGTTTTCATGTATCAGGCTCGAATGTCTGATCGACCGCCGAAATCTACTCTGGCTATTCCTGGGGACGACATGTGACTCGAATATGAAGGATTTAGAGTACAAGGTCCGCGGACTATGGAGACTGAAACGAAGCAAGCTAGGCGTTTAACGATATCGTCAGTCACTACCACGCTCGACTCACCGCAACTATTTCAGCACACAGCAGTTCTCAATCACTACACTCCAAGTTGACACACAATTACATACAAGAAGAAACGTAGGTGAAGGGTCAGAGTGGTAAGGGCGTAATTGACGCCCAATACTAGTCCAATCAGGGGTACCGCTGGCACATATAAACATTGGCGATAACGACGAACACGACTAATCGATATGACGCATTCTACGCTCGGTGGAAAAGTACCTAAGGTAATGGTGATGGTGATGATATAAACGATTGGGTATCACTAGGTTTAGGCAGGTAATTATGTATAAATAAGAAATTCGATTCGTCATAAAACCTTCGTTTGTCCAAGATGGATGATTGGTCCAAGCATCATTAAAGAGTCTTAAATGGCCTGATAAAGTGGGTTGAGTGGGTAGTGCCCATGAGATTTTCCCACCCAACTTTTACATAAAGCTGACAACTAGGTTAGAACAATAGAACAGCTTCTACGATATTTATTGATATTTGTTCACATCCATAAAGTTCTAATGTATGCGTAGGTAGTTAAACATACCTAGGACTTACTATCCTTAAATTAGGTAGCCATACTTCTAGACTTAGCCTTGACATCTTACTGTTTATAATGGCATCTCAAGATCTAATATGCCAAGTTAGCCAAAACCCATCATCACTTATCCAACTTCGGTTCCAAAGCTGACATCATAATAGGCAGTGAACTTGTCTGATGGCCAGCCATGCACCGCTATCGCCACAACGTGGGAAAACCTTTTCTGTAGGTTCCACGGAAAGCAGTGTCATGGTCTATATATCGGCTATAAGAGACGAAATGCTAGACTGGATGCTTTGTCGGACAATGCCCCTCTTTACCTAAAAACAGCTAAGGTTCCGCTGGCCAACGAGACGTTTGAAGATGCCAGCGATGAGACTGTCTTGCGAGAGATACATGCGCATCTCTACCAAGAATATGTACTTCTTGGAAAGGTGATTGACGCACGAAAGCTTCATCATAAGCACTTCTTCCCGCTGCAGATGGACTATGGCCATCAGGCTTATCTGGATACTCTTTCTAATCGCCGCCATATCGTCTTGCGTGCGCTTGAGAGACTCGAGACGCGCACTGCTCAAGTTCTCTACGAGAAAGAAAAATGGTATAGCTGGGTCCGCCAAGTCCAACTGGAAGAAGAGGCGACCCGTGAAAAGGAGTCCAAGAAAGCCAAGCTCGAGGCAGCCATGTTGAAGCGTCACTGGAAGAAGATGCAGACTCGCTTGAGAGCTCAGCGCGAGAAGGAAGAGAAGCGGCGCCAAGATGCCTATCTCGAAACAGCCTACCAGGAACGCATATCTATGTCTGTTGATAGCGAAGAAGACGCGGAAATGTGGGATCCTATTGAAGATGTCGTTGACGACGAACGTAGTCGATATGTTGATCTCATAAAGCATTTCTTATGGATGGAGGTCCTCGCTGACGTCGACGAAAGCGAGAGTTCTGCTCGGAAGACTGCCGATTCCTCTGATCCTGCCGTCGGCATAGAAAACCTCGCAATATCCGAAGAGAAGCAGCCCAAAAAATCAAAGAAGAAAGCGAAATCCAAAGCTACAAAAGCTGTACCTATAGTATATAAAACTAAACCCCAGGGAGGCACCGCCTCATCCCGCGATCGTCTAACAGGCCAAAGCCGAATCATGGAGATGATAGATGATGATTTGGAGCCACCAGAGGAGCTCCCAGAGCCGAATAAGAGCAATATCGAAACTGAGTCTGAAATGAGAAAACGTCTCAAAGAAGGCGTAGAAAAGAACTACGACGAAATCGAGGGTCCGATTTTAGTTGGAACCTTGGAAAACCCTCACGGCACCCATCTCAAGACAGCTCCTTTGGCGGATGAAGAGATCGATTCTCTTATGAGAGACATCAAAGAGATTAAGCTGTTCTTATTCTGCCGTCTCCTCTTGTCGCATGCCTCATTACTCCCTGCGGCTGTACGGTCCTCAAGCGTGGAAGCGTTCCTTAATGACCCTCAGATTGCCGAATCTGACCTCCGAGATCTCTGCCTCAAAGTGGAACAGCCCAGTCTCCAAGACATTCGGGATGCTTGTGCGGATCTCATTAGGGGAGACGAGCCTGAGGTAGAGGAAGACGATGAGGAGGTCCTCGAGGAAGAGTCATTCGAAGATGTTATACTCCAAGAACATCGATATGGCCACCTCCAAGGCCCTGGATGGTTCCTGTCTAACATGATTGCTCAACGTCAGAAGATCATTGGCAAATACGGTGAACTTGCAAAGTTTAGGAAAGAGTTCCGCAAGAAATCCCGTAAGCAGGGCAAGATGAAAGTTCATATATGTGGTAAAAGCATCTGGAATTATTCAAGCGAAAACTCCATGTCTCGAAACGGCTGGCTTCAGTTCTCTGTCATGGCAAAAGACTGCGACTTAAAGCATGCCGTCCAGCTCTGTAGAAACTGGGACGAATTCTCGCAGCTTAACTTCCTCACCGTTTGGCAATACTTCCCGGCGTCGAACTGGGTTTCCTGGGGAAGCGATAGGTTAACGCAACAGCTACATGAACTTGTAAGTATAATCTATTTTCCCTTTATCATTCCTTGCTACCCTGGCCATGTAGGCCAAGCGTTGGGAATAATACTCTAACTGTAAAGCAGGGATTCTTCCCTTATTTCAAGGACTTCGAGGCCCGGAAACATAGCCGGCATTTTCAGATTGGTGCTCGGAGCCAGCACCGGCGCCAGCACAATATTGTCGAAGCTAGAAATATTATTGTCGGTCACATGAGACGTAACGATTCGGTCACTCGCCGTTTTCTCCAATATTGTACGATGCGCTCCGGTGAGTTGCTCGTCCTTGTGCGAGATGGCAAGACAGGAAAGATAATTACTGCCCCCGAAGAGGAGCACCTGTGGACCCTACGCCGTAAGGAAGGGCTTGGTCGCGCCTCGAAGAATGAGTGGGATATACTACTCGAGGTTGGCCCTGAGTACTTTGACACGGTGGACATACTCAGAAAATGGCGCCTAGGCTTCGAAGATTATTATGAAGTCTGGTTATGGGACTTTGTCCCCTGTAACGAACCTATCCTTCTTTACAACGTAATCGTTACGGTATGACAAACGCATATATACGGGCTATCCTAGTACTAATATTGTTTAGGAACTCCGAAAGGCATGGAGAGTAGCCAAGCCTTTTGACGTGTATCGACATAGGGAGCCGTTTCTTAGCGGTCTCACAAGAGATAAAGAGACGATGCGAGTTCGTTCTATCCAGCCGGGAGAGCAAGTCGCAAGCTTGTGGGACGACGTCAACGATCCGTCAAACACATTCCTCACAGCAGACGTAGTGAATAAGACGGTCCTCGAAACGAGCGGTGAAGCGCATATCGAGTCTTCCCCGTACTTATTCTATAACGAAGCCGATGCTGCTGAGGACTTGGTTCTCTTTTCCGATGAGCTCATCACACCTAACCGAAATGTTCCTTTTAAAGAGGTTACAAATTCGATTACTCGACTAGAGACGACGCCAGCTACGATGATTAACATCCTAGCCGAGGGAGCCAGAGAGATGAGCAAGCGAGCCAAAGACTTCTCTCACCTCCCTGATTCCGACAACGACGATGACTGGAGTACAGATCTCGAATCTAATAGCGATGAAGGCGACGAGAAGAAAATTGTAACTCACTGGAGTCTACCGCAGATATGGGAAGACGCGATCGCAATGATCAATCATAACCATATCAGTAGCGAGAAGAAAAAACTCCTACGTCGAGTCGGGCTGCTTAGCGAGACCTCGGCGGTAATTCGTGGCGGCATCAATAGCCTTTACGGCGTGGAATCCAAGTTAAAAGAATCCGACAAAGTCATGGTTATGGAAAAGGATCGTGGTGATGGTAAGTTAAACGTGCCATCCGGTGATAACAATATTTGCTAACAGTCCATTTACAGCATTTATCGAGGCATTCCATGCCGGAGACTTAGAACCAGGTGCTCAAGAGAAATATGCTGAAACCCGCAAGATCCTTGGTGGCATACTCGAGTCTCACCAAACCAGCGAGTCGACAGACTGGGTTTGGTTCCTGGTTGACATACTCGACTGGCTCGGGCTCAGAACCGATTGGAAGGACTACACGCGCGATGCACGTGCAGCCTGGCCGCACCCGTTCATTGCACAGGACATTATCAAATCCTTCGTTTCCATGGCCATGTTCTTCCCCAACTTGGAGCTATGCAGACCTGTGATGGACTTTTTTGAGTCGGAAGACGGTCGAAAGTATAAGGATAGCCCCCTTTTCAAGTTAGACGAGCGCTCCAAGAAACTCCCGGATTGCCGCATGAAAACGAGCTTCAAGTACCGGCCAAAAGAGTTCTGGAAGGAGTGGGAGGGTGTGCTGAAGGAAGCCAAGACAAAGCAGAAATTCTATGCGGATATATATCCGATGGAATGGAGCGTCGCCATTCGGCCCATCATTGCAAAGTGTAAGTCTTATATTTCTATATAACTAACAAGATAGTTGCTGATTTTATTTCAAGTATACCTCGCTGGAATCATCGCCCCGGGATATCTACAAAACGACCCGCTGGTTGTTCCCGGCTTTGCCGTTGCCAACACCGAGCCGCACCGTCCGGGGAAGCTAGATCTATTCATGGACTACGCCGACCGTGCGAAGGCGATCCAGTATCCTCAGAACATCCCCGGCTTCGTCAGTCCCGATAAGTGGCCCGTCTTCCTCCCGCTCGCCCGGACTTTTGCCTCTAATCACGATAAGCCGAGATTCGCGGTCCTCCGCGTTTGGTCGGCGCCGCACTTCTACCCGGCAATGTTGGGTGACTGGAACCGGCATGCTACAGCGTTTCTCGACAGCACAGCACGGTCCTGGATCTGGAAGTTCATCCCCAAGGACATGCCAATCAGCGAATGGAGTATGTATAATACTATGAAAATGCGCCTCGAGCTTCTAAAAGACGAGCTTAAGGTCGGAGAACGTGTCGTGCACCGCGGCGAGACTATCCTCGTTATGGGTCTTGACGAGGTCGAGCTACTGAAGTACGTCACGGCAGTTGTATTTGCTATCCAGACGAAGCCGTGGCACCGAGAGATCGACCTCTGGAAGAGTTTCGTCAACGTTGATTTGGAGTTTCTGGAGGGGTTGGATCCATACTGGATGGACTGATTACCGTCAATTCTAGGTATATGATATAGGTAGGTTGGAACAACTGATTGGGCAGAGTAAACGCCGGTTACGAAAATCCAGGAGTAGAAAAGAATTTGAATATATAATATAAATTCACGCCAATATTTCATGAGTCGCCCTCTCTGACAATGCGCGTAGGTGATACATAGCAAATCTAGTCAGCATTATAAATAGCAGCCCAGTTACAGATCGATGAGAATAGACATTGTAGCACTACACCACCATGCACTTAGTTTACTGTCCAAGCTAGAAACCCCCAATACTGTTATCTGACGTCTCCGATGTCTCCGAGCCGAGACACGTCGGAGTAGAACCTATTACCCTTAAACCCCATATTTGATGCTCTCCGTGCTGTCCCGAGGATGTTGTAATATGTCCTGGTTTGGTTACTATTGATCTTCTATCGCATAATCATACCCATGAGGGTCCTAGATAATACGTATGGGTATTACGTGGGTATACACGTAAAAGAATATATATAAATAGGTACCTATTACACAACAGTTAATCTGATGTCCAAGGCGAATAGTTATGCTGACCGTACAATATCACTCAGCAAGTAGAATAAGTGTTTGCCCATCACACACATCATCTATTTACTTTAATTATAGTACTGTGATAAAATATTAAACCTTCAAACATACGTTATAATGGACATCACCAAGATAACCCCACCGGTCCTCGAGCTCTTCCGGCAGAATAGAGCCCTCTGGACATCTATCGCAGCCGTAGTAGCCGCCGGTGGCACCGCCTCGATCTTATCCCGCATCGTAGCCGATTACCGTGCCTGGTATGCTCTCGGCCCCAACGGCCTGCCCCTTAACATCCTCGGATACCTATTCCAATCGGCCGGCCGTTCTTTCGCTCGATCAGACACTCGCGTCCCCGCGCCCTACGACAACGCCAAACTAGCACAGTCAGCACGATACGGACCGCTAAGCCAACGCTCATTCTTCTCCGGCTCGATACCGCCGCGCAAGGGGACCCGGCCTGAGGTGCCCGCGTTCGTCGGCCCGCACCGGCAGACATCACAGCAAGCCACGCCCGCGATGCGAGCTCGACAGGAATCTTTCCTAGACGCGCTTGCCGAAGCCAATTCATCCTTAATACGGGTCCGACCGTCAAATCTCGAAGGGCCGCTATTCAAAAGCGTATGGCTACAATCTGGTCTAGCCCTGCGCGACGAGATTAAAAACCTAAACGGCGAATTTGCGCATCCGCATGCCGAAGGCAGCACGCATATGGTGTTGAGTCTAGCTGATGCTGCTACGGCTATCGAGCGCGGTTGGGCGGAGAGGCATCGCATGAGCGGTGTCGCTAGTCTAATGCCGTGGAGTTATGTCATGGTATATGCGCCGCGGGACGATGAGGAGTTTCGCATCTGGAAGGAGTTCATGATGGCGAGCGCACGGTACGTACTCGGCGGAGAGAAAGAGGTTATAATGCCTTAAAGTGGAGGTGGGTGAGATGAGAGAAGATTGGGGACGGTACATTATATATGGCGGCGTTACTGGAAGAAGCTCCTCTCAATGGCGAGTCTGTTCTAACTCCAATGTATATATATCAATATAAGATGTACCGGTATTATTGCAGTCTCTTTATATCCTACGTACTTCGCTCATGCCTCTTGTGTTTGAAATATCTATACGAGGGCCAGGCCACAAGATAATAAACATTGCCACTTGCACTACAAATAGAGAGCATAGTGATAAAGCCAACTAGACATAGCTCCGTTTCTTGAGTTGATATAAATAAGACTATGCAGTTATATTTTCTGAGCACCTGGGTATATGTACTTGTCGTTAAATATCACATCATCTTCTGAGAACTAGCCTTGGGTTCCATGATGCTAACTCTTGGATATGCTCTCGCCATATCTGAATCGGGTCTTGAGCCACAGCACTCCCGGTTCGAAACTCCGTTGTATTGGATCCGTAAAGGTACGGCTTTCCGTCCGCGTAGCAAGGTGTTTCTTGCTCTGCAGGTAAGGTGCCGTTGAGGATGAACGCCCGTATGATAGAGTCGGTGCAGCTGGATTTGTCCCTGGAAGAATGTCCATAGCCGTGATGAACGATCAACCTGGCATTCTTACCCATTTCATTCAAAAGGTTCTTCCCGTTCCGTAAGGGTGTCGCCGGGTCGTGTGTCTCCGCAATTAGTAGCAACGGGTTCTTGAGTGTGTGGTTTAGGTCTCCCCGGTAGAGCTCAGCAGGCGGAGGCCAATAGGTGCGAAAATGTTGGCATGGGAGGACACTAAAAAACTCCTCGTTCCCTGATATCCAAGATCGGGTAGTCATATTAGCCCAGAGCGACTGCCACCAGAGTAGGCCGTCTGGCGGCAAGGGAGCATCGTATGAGTCTGCACAGATAACTAAGGGGCCTAGCTCGTGAGACAGAGGCCGGGGCCGAGGGGAGGTCGGACATGAGGTTGAAGGGTGATACTCCCATTCCGAATTGTCAAGGAAGGCCGTAGCTAGTGTCGAATTTCCTGCTTCCAGTTCGTATAACATCTGGGCCAGCGCAGGCCAACTGTCGGCATTGTGTAAGGCGCCATATATAGCAGATACGACAGCCGAGTATGTAATGAGAGAAGGTCCACTCGATTCGAGATACCCCGTGATGGGTCGCTGGCTAAGCGAAACCAATAGGTTTCGCATTCGATCCTCCAAGTTCTGTAATGACACGGTTTCTGAGCCTCTGGGCTGTGACAAGGCGCAGTATTTTGGGCCGGCGTTGAGACACTCGCCTAGAAATCCGTCACGCCAGACATCAGTCGTATTATCTAGCGCAGCCCATCCAAAACCACCAAGCTGACGATGATCACGAACATATTCTAGAGCGTCTAGAATCAAGCGGCCCACGCTATGTGGAAACATATTAGCGTATGTTTGGCCGATGCTGGTACCATAACTAACGAGATAGCCAGTTACTTCGTCTTCATCGAGGGCTTTACGGATTTCTTCCATGTCACGCGCAACGAAGGCCGTGCTGAGAAACTGGGGAATATCGCCGTATTTTTCTTTGCAGGCATGAAATGTAGCATTGTTCATGGCGTCGGCGAGTTCGAGTTTAACTTGGGGTGATCCAGCCGCTTCACGGTACTGCCCCGTCAGCATAGACCAGCGGTCCCTGAAAGCATCGTGGGGGAAGCATGCTATAGAAGGCAACGACGCGTTGACACCTCGCGGATCCCATCCTAGGATGTCAAATTTGCCATCGCTCAAGCGCTTCGTGAAGTTCTCTGCAGCTCTCCAGACTAGCGATGTGCCGCTCGCGCCCGGACCGCCAGGATCAACAATAATAGTACGTTCACTCTTGGATCCCGCAGCCGGAGAACTGGATTGCGCCGTATTAATCGCCGTATTAATACGCACAAGGCCCGAGACTTGGTATTTGGTTACCGCGAGCCGAACAATGCGAGGTTCGGATTTGTTAGTGTAATCTAGGGGAACTTGGAGATAACCACAAAGATAGATCCCCCGTCCAGAATACGGATCTCTGCCCTGGACGTTCTGCTCTGAAGTCGGTGCCCCCCAGCTCCAGTGTTCAGGATTCGGGTCAAAAAGGCGAGCCCAGCTCTGGACCGGGTTAGAATCGTCGAGTGCGGGTAGTAAGGTCGCATTAGTGCAGGGAATGAAGTGGAATGGGTCGTCAGGGAACGGGAACCGACCGTAGGGAGACTGGGCATAAGACTGTAACGCGCCACCTACGAGACCTACGAGGTCATGGTAATACTGTTGACGAAATCCTTCATACGATAGGCCTGGGAGGTGGCTATATAAAGTGAAAAAGGTAGCGATCCCAACTAAGCTTATTGCAACTAATACTTTCGGCCATGATGGTCTGTATTGTGAATCTGGATTTGAACCACCCAAGGATGACGGCTTCTTCATCGTGGCAACCGGCAACCGACGAGAGATAATAAGATTATTTATCACCGGCTCATGATGGTGGATGAGGGTTACTAATATGTTTGCTCGGTAATGATGGCATATAATGATTTGAAAGAGGTTGGAGTTCGTTACCTTCGGCTAGGTATCGATAGATTTCATATCCCTTTATTCTAGGTATCCCTTTATTCTATGATGCATACGTAAGTAACCTACCTCAGGTATAATACAGTACAGTACGTAGGTCACAGTAGGAATTCGGAGCGGGGCAGATACTCTCCAGTCTCTCCTAGTCGTGCATTTATACGATTCTGTCTGTCGTTTCTTCTTATTTATCCGGATATTTGAAATACTTATGGATTACTTGATTAATATCGTTTCTTTGTTAATCGGTAATCGACCTTGTTATCATTATACGATTTCATTTCACTTAAGCTCATTATAATTATAATAGGTTAGTTAGTTATAACAGATGTAAAGAAGAGCTGTAGGGAACTAACTTATTACAGGGCCAAGTTCACTAATATGGCTACATTAGTATATATACTTTATATAGGTACATTATATGATAGAATTAAGGCTAAAATGGTGAAAGAAAGTATAGGCAATAAATATATTACTGGCATGTTGGTTGTCTATGTAGGCTGTAGCAATGATTTCTCCCTGTCTCAGTCTAACTTTGGTATCATAATATCTCTACCTCTACCTCTACCAGTACTATCGCAGATATATTCAATCCACTCCGGCCTGACCTGCTCTCTACTCGATATTCGACTCGGCATTCGCCCTTTATCTACATAGGTATCCGCCTGATTTCCTCGGCGGTCCAATACTTCCTCATGTTCTCAGCACCTAGCGTCGCAACCTCTTGATCGAGATGGGTCCAGAGTATAGCTCCCCAGCCCTCCATTTGTGCTTTTAGCGTTCCCATGTCTAGATCCTGCTCGCCGTCGCGACAACCCCTGAGGTACTTGCGCATACCCTCCATGCCGTCGTGAATCTCGCGGTGTTGTCGCAACAGCTCTGCCGCGTTCTTACCACCCTTCCCGTCGTTTCGAAACTCGGGCATCCGCCGAGCCAGTATAGGGAATATGTATGTTTCCTCGATGTTGTGGTGCACTTCGAGTTGAGCCACGAAGGCTAATCCGTCGTTAATGATAGACCGTCCAGCTCGCGACGACGATTTGTTTTTGCTACCGTTCCCCGCGCAAGCCGCCGCCCATAGCGTATTCCACGCCGTACGGAAATGGGCGTGGAATAGATCCATGTGCTCAGCTAAACGATTGTAGGCGCGGAACTCAGCTCCCTTGAGGGGGGGAAGTTTCTCTTCGTCTTTTTCCTGCTTCGTCTCCTCATCCTGCCTTTCTTTCGAGATCGTGGCGATATCCTTGGAACTGCTGCTAGAGGCTGCTAGGGGATCGCTCGGCGAAGACGTGTCGGTAGACGACATATTAGCGGCGACGAGATGGATGCGGTACACGAGGTTATGTCGCGAAAAGGATAGCGGCCGAGGACGAATTCCGATTAGAGCTTGATGATAATTTCTAACGAGACGAAGTCTAGCAAAAGTAGCTAAACGTCGCAAAGTCATAGGCGGTTGGTTCACTTCGTTACTTAATCATATTTCATATCGTCGCGTGTGTTTGTTTATATACCTAGAAAAAGTACCTAATATACTTGACATTATGTAGTATATCGCCGATTATATCTCGTATCGAATAAGTCAGCGATTAGAAAGCAGCAGAATTTCTACTATGGTAGGTTCTATTATCTTTGTTAGTAGGGGACTGACGCTTAGTGATGCAAAATCAAAGTGGGATGCTTTCCCTTTAAGGTTAGCCTCGGACTCGCTCCTTTTACATTATAATCCTATCGACATGCATTTATAGAATACATTCAAAATATATTCACGTGTCATGCGGAAATTTAGCAAATTATCGCGACATTAGACGCTCCGAGCTGCTAAGAAGTCGTCAAATACGCCGTGTTACAATAAATAAAGTCAATTCTCTAGTCATAGCTACATGACCATCGTAGGTGAACCTCCACCAGTGACTTTACTAGTCCCATACCGAGGTTTTTTTATCATTAAATGTCAAACCTTACCGTATGCAGTGGATACAAACGCGAGAGAGGAAAAGAAGAAAATCCCATGCCCGACCAGCCGTCTAAGTGCGGACTGCACCACTTAGTACGCCACCTGTAAACTGTGTACCACCGGCCTGTCTTTGACCAGTCCCACCCGTTCTCGGGCCGCCCCGACCCGCCCGCTGTCCCCCACCTCGGCCACCTCGCTGGTTCTGTCCGCCTCTCCTGTCGAAGGCGTTGGCCGTACCCTGTGTCCGTTGCTCGAGCGTGCGTTCGTTGGTCTCGATGAGCTGCGCCGCCTTGTCCGATAGTGTGAGCGCTAAACTCTGAAGGCGAGATAGTTCTACGCCCTTTCGGAAGATGACCGTCGATGTGACCTGGTCGAGTGCAGCAGCTAGCTCTTCGTGGCTGATCATCTTGCTAACAATGGCCGAGACCTTGCGGTCCTCAAGTTCGAACATAGAAGAGAGGGTGGAGATGGCAAGAGTGTCGTAGTAGGGAGCATAAGTGAAGAGGTATGTTCGTAGACCCTCTTCTTGGATCTGCTTCGATAGCATTGTCTTGATCTCTTCCGTGTTTGGCATCAATTCCCATATCTTAATGCTGTGGATGAAGTTGATTGCCTTCTTCCATTCGCCAGCAGCCAAGGCACGAGATGCTTGCATAACGTGATCACGCGTGTTCTCGGGAGGTCCGGTGAAGATTTGTCGCTCGTGATACTCCAACATACGTCGGTAGGTCTTGCTGATAACTCGCTTTTTGATATCCGGCGAGGAGCCGGTTTGAGCGAGGAGCGGAATCTCGAGAAGCATGCTGCAAGTTAGGTAGACACACTCTAGAAGCTCGAGGTTGATGTGCATGTGGAAGGGCAACTGTCTCTGTTTTTCTAGCCTTTCCTGCTCGGGGGAGACCTGTGCGAAACGCTGGATCATAACGCCCTGAGCTAGCAATTCCTTCTGTCTGCCGCTACCGCAGATTTCCTGCAGCGTGTTCTGCGCCTCATACACCAGACCTTTACGGAAAGCGCACAGTCCAACTTGCACCAGGGTTCGGTTGTAGAGTATCTGCGTCTGGACGTCGAAACTGCTAATTGTTTCCTGCAAGTGGGACATTAACATCATGTCTCGAGCCTTGTAGTACTCGTCGTGTAGAGCGAGGAAGTATATCTGGCACAGCATCGCACGTGCTCGAATGATGCCCTCGCTGTTGACAAACAAGTAATTGCAGAGAACGTTGAGGAGATTAGTAGCATCTGAGATGCTTCCTCTGGGGGTGATAGTAGATTCGACATCTGCAGGCACCGGCTTCCAAGCATTTTCTTCGAGGATCTTGACAACCTGCGCAGGCTTGAAATAGACATGCTCTAATCTGCGCATTACAATGCGGTTTAGACTGTCCTGTGGCGTCTGCAAAGATGTGTCCTTAGCGAGGGTTTCGTAGTACAAAAGGCCGCGGAAAATAACGTTGTACAGGGAGCCCTCATCAGTTAGTCGTTCGATATATTCCGAAGTGTGAGGATCAATATTTTGCAGCGAACGTGTGAGCTCGTCGTCGAGCCGTTCAACATACGACACAATACTTCCAGGGATCTTAATATACTTCTCGTTCGGTTGCAGTGTGGGTGGCTTCTCGTCGTCATCCCACTCCTCAGCGTTCTCGATCACAATATACTCCCGATTTGACTCGAGCACTTCGAGCAAGGTTGAAATTTCCTTCTCGGCAGCTTTCCAGTGCTCCAATGGCATAGATGCCGTACCGCCAGAGCCAAGATCGAACCTCGCGGAAACAATAGTCAAAAGGACCTTGATTTGTTGGTATGGAGTGGCGGCAACTTCGAGAAGCTTTTCCATGATTTTGATCTGCTCGATCCGGTCTGTATTCTTCTTACCACGGGACTCTAAGATTGCGCGTAGGTGCTTGAAGATGCTCTCGGGTGTGAACTGGAGCGTCTTGCCACCCTTTCCGACGGTAGCAAAGCCTTCTTGGTCTTCCTCGACTTGGTCGACGTATAAGTCTGCCTTATTAGCCTTCTTAGGCTTAGGAACAGGCATTTCCTCTTCTTCATCTGAAGCGAGGAAGTCAAGGGGATCCTCTCTGTACGCATCGACCTGGGTTTGGTAATCTTGTTTGAGCTTCTTGATCTTTTGCTTAACGGCGTTGAGACCACGAGCACTCGTGGCGTTCATCTTCTTGGGTGTGACCTTTTGCTTCGAAATGGTCTCATTCATCGCATCTTCCAATTCGACTAGGGCCTTTATGTAGAGTTTCGGTGTCCTGCCGCGCTCGGAAATCTTGGCGGCTTGTCTGTTGAGCTTGTCGAATTCTAAATTGAAGTCGTTAACAAGTATGAACTTGACCAGTATTCAATCAACTGAACTTACCAACAGATACGGCACCCCAATCATTAATCTTCTGACGCTTCTCGATGGTATCAATCGTGGATTCAAGCTCGGCAAACTGCTTGTCTTTCGCGCTCTTGAGGGTTTTGGGAGCGTCATCGTCGCTTTCTTCACTCTCGGAATCATCACCACGTAAGAAACGAGCAGCACCGGATTTTTTGCCACCCTCCTCATCGCTGCTAGATTCTTCTTCGGATTCATCTTCATCCTCCTCCTCCTCCTCTTCAGATTCTTCCTCCTGTTCTTCCTCTTCCTCTTCCTCGGAGTAGAGCTCCTCCTCTTCGGAGCTGCTCTCGGACGAGCTATCGTCGCCGCTACGGAAGAATCGAGACATTTTGTCGGGTGTTTTCTCTACTACTTTTTAAATGATTTCGGAATTAATGAGTGGGATATTTTGTGTCAATGTGTCAATGCGACAAAGTAGGAGTTGCGCTCGTATGCCTGGAAGAAGGCAAGAAGTTGAATGTGGAGGGGCAAAGGCAAATTAAAAAAGGTGCACACAGTTTTTTGGAAATCACAACGAATTTTTGGTGCATGTGGGGTCGAGGGGTGGGTGAGCCGACTTCAGCGGGCAGTCTGCTAGCCTTATCAGCCTATCGAACTCTCCTTATTTATGCAGTCCGTGCATCATCTTACCTAAGCAAGAGGATAATTGTTAGTAACATGAGTGTGTCTCTGATTTTGGCTTTCTTTTCCCAAGGTGAACGGTCCGACATCTTACTCCAGAGCATATAATTTATTGGGCGGAATTATCCAAATCATGCATTTATTAAGTACGTATGTATTTGAATTCCTGATTCATGTGTTAAGCTAAAGTCCTAAGCTCAAATTATATAGAATTCTCCAAAATAGGTCTGTTTTCAATGACTCCTTTAGCAGCTTAGTAAGGAGGGATCTGAATACCACGAAGATACGAAGAGAACCAATCTCGAGGGATGGAATGAGTAGACCAGCAATACACATATACACAGCTCGCCCATGTTAAAAGATATCTAGATTAGAAAACGTGGTGGAGTACAGCATGGTTATACCCGACTACCTAACCCAGGGTAGTTCCTTAGGATAGCCATATATAAATGATATAGTACAATAAGATTTCAAGCACAATAACACTTTCACACCAACGTCTTTGTAGCGGTATTACGTTAGGTATCTACGTAAATATGAACCCACCGTAACACCGTTCCGCCGTAGACCAAACGCCGCCGTAATGTCGAAACACTGGAAAATACCGTAGGAAAATACCGTAGCCCGGGCCGCTGATGTTGACTGCCTTCAAGACATATCGACTCCCATTGATCAAGCCGCGGAACCTTTACCTATTGAGCGAGATCCAACCAGTCAGGGTGGTCTTTAGCACGCCAAGGTTTGATTCCCTTGGGGTTGGCGTCGCGACTCTTCTTAGCTTGGTCGAGGACCTTCTTACTCTCCTCGCTGTTGTAAAGGGCATTGAAGTCCTTAATCTGAGTGGTTGCGGCGACGACTGACTTAACGAAACACTCGTAGACTTCCTCGGCTACCATGTGTCAGCATGCCCAAGTGCTAAAAGATACGAATACAAGAAAGAAAAATACAGTACCAGTAGAATTATTCGGGATAGCCTCTAGCATGCGCTGCACAGTTGTTCTCAACTCCCGGCACTGTTTTCCGCCATGTGTCAGTAATACGATGAAGGTGCGGAAGTGACGATATGGAAGTATGAGCATTGACCATTTCTGGTCTAAAAGGCAGGCAAACATCAGAAAAGTTTTTTCTCGCACCTTGACGTGTAGGAGATTCAGCTGCTTCATGCTCAGCTCCAGCTGCTCCTCATCTGGCATCTGTCCGTCTTCCTTACTCCGTGCTGAACCAGCAACGCTAGACTTCTTTAACTGACTCCCGACCGCAGCCATTATTTAACCAAAGTCCAAAGCATAAGATCAGCAATTTGATTTCTTGATCTTACAACAGTAATTTGGGAAATAGATATAAAAATCCAATACCCTCCGATTTCCGATGGAATATTTCAAGATGAACGATCAACAGCGGGTCGTTAATCCTGGATCAGAGTTCCAGCTGCCGGCACAGACGAACAAGTGGCAGGTACCAACTCACGTAGCTCAAGCTCAGCCTCAGCCGGAGATCGGCCGAACCTACCTTCCTGCCCAAATTCAATTGGAAGTGGCTCGTGCACAGAAGGAGGCGCGTACCCACTTGACGCGTAAATGTGGCTACCCTCTGCCTCACAAGCCTCTGCCACCTCTGCAGCCTCACTTAACAGCTCAGGTAAGCAAAGTGCCCGATTTCCTTTTCCCCACCCACCAACCAATTCTTTTCTTCCGTCCCGATCCTCGTCCCCAATTCAACTCTTCCCACTGTCCTACCGCAGCATTCTCCGCGTCAACCTCACCAAACTCACACGGTGACCAGCAGCCGTATCCGACAACCCACCCCACCGAGAAAACCGAGGCACAGCTTAAGTTTGGAGATAGCCTCACCTACACACCTTCTCCTTCTATTCCCTCCCTCTTTTATACTCCACCTTCAACCCCTAGCTGTTCACCCCCAACCGCCAACATTTCGTTCCAACAGCCCCCCCACCACCGTGCGGTCGCCCCGGGCGTCGTCGTCAACGGTAACTCGAGCGCCTTAAACACCCCGCGCCCGGGCCCGACGACAACCCCAGCGACCCCGGTGAATATGCCAACCAACGATCCCGCTCCTTCCGGAGCCCTTCGATCGCCCCCCGAAGGCATATTTCCAAGCTTCGAGGACCTTATCGGTTCCATCCAGCGCGTGGCGAAGGATCAGGGTTTCGGAATCGTAAAGCTTCGAGCCAGTAACTATCGCGACCACAAGCCTACACGATATGATTTGGTGTGTGACCGTGGCGGCGTCAAGTACAACAGCACTGCCAAGAAGCGTAACCCGAGCACGAGGAAGGTTGATTGCCCTTGGAGGGCGAAGGCAGTATGTGAGGTCCAGCTCGGCAACCAGTGGCGTTTCCAGGTTCAGTGCGATCAGCACAACCATGAGCCCCGAGTTCACAGCAGCAATCCGGGCCAAGAGAACACACCGACCGCCCAGAGTATACGAAGTCTAACGAATAAGATGGACCGTATGAGCCACGAGATGACACAAGCCTTCGATCGCATCGAGCAACGCCTAGACGGCATTGAAAAAAGAATCGAAAATATGGAGTCGCGCATGGGTGCGGTGGAAGCGCGCATGTCTAGCATGGAGACCCGAGGAACCGGTATGGACGTGCCCATGGATAACATGGAGATGGGAGGGCCTATGCTAGATGGCCCTGTCATGTAGCAACATATGGCGGCCTCGGTTTATTATTAGCCACACTACGAGACACTTCGACGGGAACAACCCAGCTTTCAGCAGTCGTTCCTCAGTTGACAGCCGACCCTCCACGGCCATCTTCCTCATGTTGACATAGGTCACAATGAGAGGTTGGCTCTGGACACTTTTTCTCCCCATGCCCATAATAAGCCACTTAGACGTGGCGGTTCCCTTTTTTTATTGCGACGGATAGAGGACCAGGCAGAAGCGAAGTTTATCACACCGGCGTTCATCAGGCAAGGCTTAATTATGCGCGTATTCTTTTTCCACTGCGATTCGACGCGTTTCGGCGGCGCTTTGACTACGACATCGAGGGAAAAAAGCGGCTCTGGTTTCTATCATGACTTCTCAGGCGTATGGCAAGTGAGCGATGCTGCTAATTCCTTTTTTTCGGGTTGGCTTTAGGTCCGGTAAATGCGAAATAGGGCAAGGGGGTTCGTCAACTCTTCTCCATTCAGGGATGCTTGGTAGTGGCAGTTTTATTCGACACTCACGCCAGATTCGGATTCAGATTCGATTGCCTTCAGAGGCTATTTCACATCGGGTGGCAAAAGTGAGGGCACAAACATCGTGGGATACTTAGGTATTCACAAATTTCACCGCATTGCGGCGGTTATTACTTAAATAGCATAAATAGTACTTCTATAGCCATACCAACATGTATATGTTTCCACAGCTGTGTTTGATGTTGCAAAGAGACAAATACATATTTGTCCGGTTCTTCCTACGCAATGGTTATGAAATGCTTCTCACGCCCAGATACTCTTCACAGTTGTTTGTTACTTAATAAATAAGGTGTATAAATCGCCAGTGTATTATGTTACTTCGACTTAATACCTATTTATGTACGGCGGATACGGCATGGTTTTCAATAAGGCAACAAGCTGGGCACTGTCTTATTTGCTTATGTAAATCCCGAAATCAGTGGCTTCTTTTCCGATTGGCTAACCCCAAGAATTTAAGTCCCGAATTGGAAAGACAGTACATAGTATGCTTAGCTCGTGTGTATATATTTGTACTGTATTATGCACCACGCGGTTTTGTTTTGCTAGCTTAATACTGTGTAGATTGTAATCCGTACTTATCACCATCACAATTAGTTTTGCCGTCGGCTTAACCAACCAATTCAGTAGTCTATAAATTATTGCCAATTTTCTATACTAGCATCGTTCAAATATGGTCATTCCCACCATTAACGGACGTTGTAAAATCTTACCCTTATATTACCAATAAAATTATTGTTTGCTTTTTACAACTAGTGTTAAGTAAGCCTCTTTGGAAATGTAAAATGAGTAACAGTACTTAGTTGACAGGTTTATTAAGAGTCTAACCCGAGTGCCTACATACAATAGCAAGCCCGCACCAGAAAGGCTTGTAAATTACAAACATTTCTAGAGCTGGCCGAGCTGAACTCGAAATATTATCATAATTTTTAAGATATGCGTAGGTAGAGTCGCATGATATAATATAATAACCGCTTGGAACTATCAGTCTATAACTTAATATAAAAAATCAGACGCAGGCAAATAACTTCGTCGTAATAAGGTCATTGTGGTGTTTTAGTCCTCCCGTCAAATGCATAATAGTCATTCTAATACGGGTACGCTAACTTACCGGAAGGATTGACATGCTGGTGGCAGCCCATCACGGCAAGTGGACTTCTTACCGGGTTTGCGGACTCCATACAGTATTGAATGATAAGCATTCATTTATTAGCGTAAATAAGAGGTTTAAGCAAACATTCAAACAAGCAGAAAGGTCAGCCGAGCTACCTAAGTACATAAGAGAGATCGTCACAATATCTCCATTAGAAGCCCATTAGCCTTTTCCTAATGTGGTGTATACATACATACGATGCATATGTAGTAAGTTGTATACATAGTGTAGGTAGGTATGTATTTCTTCCCAAGTTGTGTTCAACTAATTAGTACTACCAGTCCCAGTTAAGGTTGCATCTTTATCCGGCAAGGATTCCGAAATCCGGTTTGGTGTGATGGTATCGGCTAGGTAATCTGATGCCGCGGTATGGCTCAGTGCTGAGGGTGAGGCGAACTGACGATTCCATATTGCTGGTTCTGGTTACGAGCGTCCCTTGTCGTGCCTTGTTACGTGTGTAGGTACTTGTGGATGTTCATTTCTCGGATTGGGTAAGCACAGTCACATACCGGCAGGGAGAGGAATCACTACATATTTACATAGACCCTTGAAGGCCCGCTAAAGGAGAAGCATTACCCCAGCTTCCCGAGCTTTCTCTTCAATAACCCTTGTTTAACACATAGGTCAATGCGTAGAGAATTTTCCGTTGCGTGATGTTTTGGATGGCCCTACTGCCTCGTGGGTCTCGCTCCGTCACCGCTGGCTCGTACGCTATGTGTTGTGACAAGACTAACGAATCAAACACTTCTAGTTGGGACTTCTAGTTGAGACCATTGGCCTTTCTAATACCACAGAGGGTTCAGAATCGGCTACGTGAGGAAGCCAAGTCGAGTGTGTAGAGTCGTGTGTATACTCTTAAAGGCCAAAGCTGCTGAACGAAACCTGGCTTATCTATCTACTGGGGTCCTGCTTCGGAGTGTTGGTTCTTCATAGAAGGTCCCCCTGTGCTTTGCCTGCCGGGCCACCCAGTAAAATACATACATACCATACTGCTGGTTCTATAGGCCATTGCGACGGGATTACCTAGCAGTCGAAAATGGCTACAGTTTGCAGACTTATCTAAATCTAGAACGCAATCTTCCAGCTATCAGTTTTATTTTGCTTTTCAATGATCGATGAATTGTGCATTTCTATATTCCATCCAAAGGAGTCATTCGTTTCGTCCGTTCATCCGAATGACTTTAGGACGCTATTATGCCATTTATCTTCCCCATCGAGACCCAAGATCAAAGGGCCATCATAGTCTGCGGCGTTGTATTTAGTCTCCTGGCGGTGGTATCCGTCGCCTTACGCGTCTTGGCTAGACGTACGGCGAATAGGGTACTCGACTTGAGTGACTTTTTCGTTATTGCAGCCTGTGTATGTTGCAAAAGTTCTATTCTTGCTAGCAAGCAAGCTTGGTCAGAGACCTTTGATCATTACTGATGCTGTGCCCTAGGTTTTCGCTGTCATCTATCAGGGCGTGTCTATCTCATGTTCGTATTAGTTCCCAGTAAACATCGTCTAAGATTAAGAGTTAACGATTTATACTCGATAGCCGTTCTTATAGGTGGAGTAGGTTACCATATCGAAGATATAAAGAATAGGTTTGGCGTCGAGTCCGGAGCGGAGATATTCCTCCAGGTATGTTTCTCAGCGCCACGATCGTTTGCAATCAATGAGATTTACTAACTCTTGTGATGGGACGCAGCATACAGTTGCCAATCAGCTACTATGGGCAGTTAGCCTTTGTCTTTGCAGAGTTTCAATTCTCATACTGTCTACGAAAATCTTCCTAGTGCAGAGTTTTATCGTAACCGCCAGAATTACTTACGTTCTTGTTCTTGGATGGTATGTGCCTGCTGTCTACCGCATTCTGCTAATTCTTTATGTATCCCATTACATTACCATTGCTAACGGTCCGTAATAAAGGGGTTTAGCTGCCATTCTCACCGCCTTCCTCCTCTGCAGACCCTTCGCTTATAACTGGGACAAATCGATCGAGGGAGGAGTCTGTGGAGACCCGACAGTATCATGGGCTGTAACGGGGGTCCTCAACATGATATCCGACCTGGTGATTCTTATCATGCCGATGCCTTACTTGCTGAGGCTTGAGTTAGCATGGGAGAAGCGGCTTCGGTTAGCAGCAATCTTCGGCATATTGGTGTTGTGAGTAATTGGTATTGAATTTGCCTATTATGTGCTCCCCCTAACAAATTATTCCTGGTAGGCCCTGCATTGTTAGCATCGTCCGTATAGTTGAGATGATCAAAATGGACTTCAACGATATCACGTTCAGTTCTCCGCATACTCTTCTGCTTAGTTCGCTTGAGCCCTGTCTCGGCGTGATGGCAGCGTGTGCAATGACTATGCGTCCCCTTTTCGGCGGTCGATACTCACCTGACGGAACGGCAGATTACAGTGATCCGCCTATCGCACCCCTACCGAAGAAAAACAGCAATCGTCGATTCCAACCGCTCATTGAGAATACATCGGAAACACGCCTGCGTCCCGAAGAAGTCGGGTATCAGGCATCGATAGCGAAATCCCCAGAGCCACCCATGGGTTTCGGCACTCTAGGCGAGATCGGTCTTGAGATGGGGGCAATTTCGATAAGGCATGAGTGGATTGTGAAGGAGGAGCCTCGTCCAAGGAGTTCAGATACAGAAAAAGACAAGAGTTTAAGATGATATAATCACGTAAACCAAATACTATGATACCCCTCTGCAAGATACTTCTGTTAAATTGTGTTAAGGTTGGGTTACTGTTGGAAACAGTATTGCCGAAGTCCCCCTGAAGACTTGAGGGTAGAACAACAATTCAAATTGATATTTATTACGGGCGGCAACAACATCTAGACGAATACCTAAATATCGACGAGTCTGAGCGTACCATGATATGTTGATATAATTCGAATATATTTTCACATATTAGCGAAAAGATACTTCATCCCTTCCCATATCTCGATACCAGTTGGGAGGATTTGATCGGCGGGTAACGTGAATCCGTTTCGGCCAGTATCACGGAGTTCGATAGCCCATCTTGGTTTAGGTTAGTAACTCAGGTACATGCTCAGACAGGATTCTACCCTATATAACAGATCACTTAACTTACCCATATTCTGCCTTGTCGACGTCAGTCACATAATCGTTGCTCCCGCCAGCAGCGGCATAGAGCGTAGAGCAGATCGGACCGGTAGTGAATCGAGTCCCGTATGGCTTTGCGATAGCGGAAGCAGTATTTTTAGCTAGTGAGTCTTGCTTAGCCTGATTTGAAGCCGCTGCTGTGCATGAGTAGCCGTAGGGCCTGCAAAGTCCACGTCAGCTCTCAGAACTATAATAGGGTTATAGATGTCTAAACCCGGCAAAGAGAACTGATCGAAGTTATACTGACGTCAGGATATATTGTCCGTAGCTGTGCCAATCGATGTACAGCTTAATACCATTGCTTTTCGCAAGTTGGTCGCCCAATGCTATGATGAAATAAGTCAGATACTTTCAAGTCGACATAAATGTTGAATCTTACTTCGGATACCAGTGTTCTCTGGAGTATCGCCTGCTGCAGCGCCACGGTACCTATAGGTAACCCAATTAATATATGGTCTTTCGCTTATCATATCTTCATTTCCTGAACAACAATGAGACTCGGAGAGCTATTGTGTAGTACTTTCAAGGCAAATTTTATACTCGACTAGGTACTCACGTTTCTAAATTTCGGTCAGCAAACGATGCATTTGATCAATATTGGAGAATCACAAGATTAACTGACCTGACCCGGGGCTCGTAGAAGACCCCTCTCCATCCCATTTATAAGGCCAGTTCCGGTTGACGTCCGTGCCAATAGCAGAGGTGCCGGATCGCGTCTGGCGATTCTTCCGCCACAACCGGTTCGTAGTTTGTGTATAGAGGAAACCTAATAAAATGAGCTAATATTTAAGATCATTAGAAAAGGGTTAATTTACCGTCGGGGTTGACTATAGGTAAGATATAGAAGTCGTAACTATCGAGAAAGCTCTTGACCGTCGTGTCATTGTTGTAGTTAGCAACAAGTTGGTATGTAAGATATTCAACAACCTAAGGTCAAATTTTAGTAACATATAGCCAACTCAAAAGCTATTTTGGGCTTATAGTCACCTTCGAGGAAATCCATTCGCGAGCGTGGACATTGCCATTGAAATAAACAGCAGGTTTCGAGCCCTTGCCACCGCTTCCCCAGAGGTGAATACCCTGAATATCGCGGCCCTCAAATGATTTCCCGGCTGTGATAAGCTCCGAGTTAGAGGAGAAAGACGCCTGTATATCTTTCAAAAACGTCAAGTGGTCATTATAAGCATGGTACGCGCTGAACCATGAAAGGCTTGGAAGAGCAGCCGCGCTTAATAGTCCTGAGTACCATTGGAATTAGCCCGCGTACTTATATATATTTAATCTATCTAACTTACCAGGATATTCAGCAAGCTCTCCTTCGAGAGCTATGTCAACTCCAAGATCATCGGTTAACACCTCGGAGGTGAAGTTCAGCGCCTCAAACGCTGAAAGATTCTCAGGCGGCACTGCGATATCGAAGTGCTCCTCCTCCACATGGCCATGGTTGTGGGTGAGGTCGATAGCCTCCAGAGATTCCAACTGGGCTTCAAAGGCCGCAATATTATCCCCTGGTGCCACGCGGAATATCTTATAGCCATCATATACAACCTTACCCCGCCTATCCAGTCGCAAGGCCACAGTTAAGGGCGCGATCAACAAAAGAGGCTGGAGGAACTTCATGATGAACGGTTACGAGTTAAGGGGCGCAGCCTTTTGGAAAAGCTTTTGGAGGGTGAACTCGACAATATACTTTATAGTTCCAGCTTTGGTAATAGCAGCTCGTCGCAATGACGCTGTGAAGTCTACAGTGATAGCGTTGCAATGGATGTGCTTTACATCTACCCGATCGGGCAGGTCGTGATTCGCATGGGCGACACAGATCTAGAACGATAAGCTTTAGCCTAGATCGTATGAGCAATGAATGTGCACGCTTGGCAATTAGTTACAGAAGGTCGTAAGAAGCATTTGCGCAAGAAATATGGGAAACGGGGAGAATTCCAAGCAGGGAATGTCACTCGAGTTACGTCCAACCAATTTAGCCTACCGAGGCCTAATAGCACCGGAGGGTCGAGTGGTCCAGCTTCTTCAACATCAGACTATTGGCCGGAAGTTTGCTGGTGTTTTCATGCCAAGCCACATATATGATCTCGTCCTGATTAATTGTTACATGCAAAGCTACATGATTGACCCGAACTTCCTCATCTGAGATCTCTCAGCGCTTGTATTCCCCACATGAAGATGAGATCGTTGCCATTATCCCTATCTTGTTCATTGAAGATATTCTAGGTAGGTACCTAGATGGGTTTTCTAGAGATATCACGCCATGGAGACCTGCAAAAGGGGACCTACTACACAGCATGTAATGAGAGAGTAATATCACGTAATTATAATATGGCCAGCCTACCTACCTAATACAGGGGTTGAAGCGGTAGCCAGTTAGCATTATACGCTTTCATTATTTAGTATTTTCATCCGACATCATGGAATGCCGTGGAAATCCAGGTAGCCTTTACGTAACCACCCGCGAGTCATGTTACCCTACGTACGCAGGTACGCAGATGGGTATGTGTATAGTTCTCTGTCCCGTAAGTTAAGAAACGCTCAGTTTACGTATGGTCACGTGCTCTTTATTAGAAAGCTCGATCTTAGACAGGATGATTAGAAGCTTTATTCAATATTAGCTTTGGGAACACATATCAAAGAGGCATTCATTACAATATATTAGGGTTATTGTCCGATATTCCATCTGTTCGATACATATAAAAAGTAATAGAATAAAATCTGTTACTAAATAACCTTTTAGTGGTATAGCGGGTTGTTCGACAGTTATGGTTTTCGGTTGAGTAGTAACATGTTCTACGGCATGGCTTACCATTGGAGTATACAAGTTCTCGGTGAAAAGTATATGAACTAAGTAGTGTATAGAATGGCTGTCCCACTTGCTATCATATATTTCAATGAATTTAATCGTAATGATATTACTAACCTAAACGTCAACCAATGGGGCTTTATAAGTAGGGGGTTTCATGGAAAGATATCGTGTATAAGACTTTATGTTAATTCTTAATCCATATTTGAACATCTACATTTACGTATATATGTACAGTCATAACTTCCTATACTAGTTCCCTAAGGCCCGTATGGTGATTTAAGCCCATCCTTTTACTATTTGCGGGTTGACTTAGGTACTTATAGCCGTGGTCACCGCTTTATTAAAGCCCATATCAGTCGCTCCAAGGTAACACGGATATCTTACTAATGATATATGTGTGAACTATACTAAGATAATGGTCTCTCATGGCTATTTTATATAGAGCGGGGAATAAAGTTGGCTGAATCTCCTCCTGGCTGATCAGCGTGTACATCCATATTAATGCGAACGCTGTTGACGCGTTTCATAATTTGAATACGATACTTATATATACCTGAGATTGATCTCTCATTCTATGAATGTAAGTTTTGGAGTCACTATCGGGGTCGCCTTCTGGCCTCTCTGTTTCATTAGGGATCATTCCTTACCCTGGCGCAAATCAGAGATCTCGTCGACGTTCTTGGTAATCGCGGCTTGGCTACCTGTGGAGCTACCCCTGTTCATCCTGTGTAGCACTTGGACTTACCTAGGTAATTAATCGCATTTATAAATACAGCGTCATTTTCACGGTGACGTTAGAGCACACCTAGATAAATATTAATCAGAAGGTAAGCGATGAGGTATATAAATATATAAGGAGGAGAATGATTGATAGTTGTATCAGGGGCGTGGGTTTGATACACCTTAGGTACTTGAGGAAAACTTTTCTTCTAAGAGAATCTAAGAAGAGCGATATTATGCCTAAGGTTTACCTTAGGATGTTGTGTTGAATGCGAATAAAGATTTCCTATTTGGGATACATGCCTTGCTACCTTACAGATAATTTTCCTGCCTTATAGAAAGCAATGACAGATAAAAGGAGTAGGTTTGCATATGCATATATGTAAGGCTTCTTATATTACTCAAGTCTCGAGGGTATTGGGAGTATTGTCCAGCCGTATAATAGCAATAAATTCGGGTTACTATAGGAGTGCCCTCCAGTTTAATGGGGGGTAGATCGCTAATATATAATGAAAATAGGTAATAAAAATAGTATAGAAACACGGTGCGGTGTAAACCTTAGGCTTTTGTGTTGCCCGGGGGGTAACCTCTAGTTTCAATCATATGAGGGTAGAATGGTGGCCGAATTGAAGTTTGGCCAAGGTCGCGTTGTTTCGCAGGGTATTTTAGGTAGTCCTGATATATCTATGACCTACGACCTAGGTTAGGTTCCTTTCCCTGCTATGAGTGCATGAGCAGCTCGTTTCATTCGTACGAGAGATTACCTCAAGTATATGTAGTCAAATACTATAAATCGACCAATAATAATCTTAGATTATTAGAAATTAGAAAATTATTTATCTCTTATAAGAAACAATTGATTGGAACTTTCAAGATTAGAAAAGGGAAGTATCTATAAACGATCTTTGATCCCGGTGACGATCATTGCGTCTGTGACAAGCGTTGTTTCGTTAATTCAGCTTAACCCCGAGGCGAGGGCGCCGTACAATACAGGATAGGCACACTACCTATTCCTTTCTGTGACCCTGCATAAACCCCCTACCAATGTTTAAGTATGTATGCAATGCCGCCACCAATATCTTGAGCCAAGCTTCGCGGCGCTAAGAGAAACGTGGGCTCGCCAAACTTCAAAGGCTCCTAGGGAGCCGCTATGAAACTTGACACAAACCCCCTCATTTTAAAATAGGGAGTTGGATATCATCTCCTTGATGAGGTTCTTCTCTTTGCAACGTCGAAAAGTTCGGATATAGTAAGCTCACGATGCGGCGCTTAGTATTTATAACTGCTTCGTGCCCGGTGACGCTACACGATGTTGTTACCCTCACCATCTGTCACAACATCGCCAGGTCTTGGGCAGGTTCTTAACATTCGCTTTTATCTCTTTTCTATTCGTCACTCATTCCTGCTGCGCAGGCTCTTCTATTCTTACTATACTATTGTTCCAACTCTCGAACGTATATTTACGGGAACTGTTCTATATTTATACCAAGAAAAAAAAATATAAAAGAGCCATTGCCGAACTCCTATATTGGGACTGCCAGTAACGATGTATTCATTCATCTTCGCCTTTCTCAGCTTGCAATCATGCGTGACTGCATCGCCTATCGCGTCGCGAGGCTTGCTTCGGAAGACAGTGACAGAACTCGACCAGGCGGCGTTTGAAGAGGCGCAACAGCCGGATAACACGGCGACGAGGGCTCTCTCAGGAACGCAGATACGGGTAAGATAGCTCTGGACGATAGTCAGCGCTTTGTGCTAACGAATATATATTATAGACCTCTGATGGGCGATGCTTATTCGTTGATGAGCTGTCTGGAGATTTCCGGGCAAATCTCACTCCGATCCAAGTAGCCGAATGTGACACTACAGACGGCCAGGGATGGGACATTATTACCGCAGGGAAGCATAACAATGCTGAGAATTCGATGCTTATTGTTAGCACCTTGGTTAGTACTTCGTCTTAAACTATTACTTGGGAGGTAGGCATATACTAATAAGTCTCCAGACGAATGCCTGTTTCAACTTCGATCCGCGACGTGCGGATGGCAACCAAGTCATTCTTTTTAGCTGCGGTGGACGGGCGGATGGTGGCGGCGAAGTCACTGATTCTCAGCTCTTCCCTTTCAACGGCGGTAGTGGACCTCTCTCGTTTTCACCTCAAAATGACCTGCAGTCGTGCTTCACTCTCAAGGGTAACGTCATCGATGTTGCCCCCTGTGCCGCTGGGAGTTCCGATCAACTATTTACATTTGGCAATGCACCAACAACAGCTGTTAGCAGCGCATCGAGTGGAACAGGTGTCTCATCTACGCCAATTAACCCTCAAGTGACCGTCACATCTACCGCCACCGCTACTACCGTACAGAATCCAAGCCAGGGATCGACGACATCTGTCTCGGATGCTACCGGAGCAATTCCTAATCCCACTGAGGCTGTCCCCGTATCTCGTGCCGGTGGCGTGTTACAACCCACCGCAGTAGCAGAGTCTCATCAGCGGGACGACACAGCGACGCGTGCTTTCACCTCTGTCAGCATAAAGGCACCGAACGGCCAATGTCTCTTCATCGATCCAACTGCTGGTGACTTTCGTGAGAACCTCATCCCGGTCTCGTTGGTGGAGTGTAGTGGGACGCCTAATGAAAAGTTCGACATCATCACGGCTGGGAAACACAACAACGCTCAAGATTCGGCTTTGATAGTGAGCAGCTTGGTACGTCGGACCGGTTTCATTATATTAATAGTCGTTTCTTCTGACATTTCTCTAGACGAATGGTTGTATCAGTTTCGATGGACGACGCCCAGCCGGTGACACAGTAACGATTTTCTCTTGTGGAGGCCGGGCAGCTGGGGGTATGTACATAACTATTTTTCTATGCTGATGCTATAGCGCGTTCTGATGCTAATACTGAACCAGAGGGCGAGACGAACAATGGCCAGTTGGTGCCATTTACGGGAGAGACAAATTTGGTCTTCGCGCCAGAAAGCGAACGAAATGCAACGTGCATCGTGCCGGGCGACGGTAGGCTTGATTCTGCCCCTTGTGCTGGCGACAGCTCTCAAGTCTTTACGATTCTAGCGTAAGGGATGTCTGGGATGTTTTCGGCAACAAAACTATCGACAGCCCCTTACAGCGAAAGTCATTGGTATTGTCTTCTTTCCCAATTAATTTAATTAATTAATCAATCGATCGATCGATACTACTTGATTACTTCGTTACGTGCAACTCTGCTCTATGAATTGTGTAAAAGTCCTGTATTCACCGGTTTCAATGTCTAGGGGGATAGCATCATACCGCGCTATGCTACATCTATTGCGATACGGATCGGCACACCTCTACACACCCATTACTAGTGACGGACTGTCTCAAACGGACTTTCTTTGACTAGCCACTCCTCCAATGTCAGCATTTGAGGATGATCCTTGCGTCGAGCTGTAGCATCTGCCTTATAGCCATCGCTAGCAAACCATCCAATCATCAGGGCCATCTCGGTGACCATGTACGTCAGCGCGCTCCCGAGAAACCAGTAGCTCACCGGTACGGGGGACCCCGTCGCCTTGGCGAATGAGGCATTAAGCTGCTCCCATGATAACTCGTCGCCTGCGAGACCGACGGCCCTTCGGTTCCAGCGATCCGGGTCAGCAAACGCCTTGGCAGCAAAGATGCCGATGTCCGACGTAGCGATCCATTGCATACGTTTATCTCCCAAGTGATTATGCAGCGCGGCCATGAAAACCCTGGTTGGAAGCCCGGGAGCTAGATTATCCATGAAGGCTACCGGACGTAGGATTGTCCAACCCATACTTGCTCCCGGTTTTCCCGGGCCGGTGGCATTTCGGAGACGCCGCTCAATGCGGTACTTGCTCTGGAAGTGAGGTATAGGGGTCGGATTATCCCACGATGCTTCGTCTCCGCCGCGCTCGACGCTACTGTAAACGAAATGTCTGATACCGGCCTTGATAGACTCGTCGATGAGAGCCTTACCCTGTGAGACTTCGCCCTCGAGGGTCACCCCCTTTCCCATAGAGACCTGGACAGAGTAGACACCCCAGATAGGTTGAGGATGTATCTTTCGAGCTTCGTTGAATAAGCTGGGCACATTATCAAGATTTCCCTGCACGAGTTTGATCGAGGGTGATTTCTGGGCAAGATTCTTAGCGCTGATGCTGTTGACGTCGCGTGTGACGGCGAGAATCGTGAATTTGCCAGGGTCCTGGTCGAGAAGTGCACTTATCACTGCACCACCCTGCTTTCCTGTAGCACCTGTGATGAGAAGGACTTTGGACATGCTGGGCTATTGGCTGGATCTGAGTCAATGATGCGTCAGTTGTGCGGCAGTTATGCGGAGGAGGTCAGCAGCCACAGCATGGGATTATTTAGATTGTCAAATAGCGGAGTCGCGTTCACATACCCACGTCGGCATATCAGAGTTCAGTCTGACCAACCCCCTTTTCGGTGTATGTATGCATCAAGGTAGGGGGTATGATGCCGCGTCAAACCTTTCGGCTCCCGAAGCTGCCAGCGTCCGTTCTAAACCTACGCGGAACGCTTCGTGACATAGAGCACGACTCAGCCGTCTTGGGGGACTTACGGAGAAGTTCAAGGATTTATTAGGTCCCTCCCGTCCGATGTCATGCAAGCCTTGCATGCCCTGCCAGACTTGCTTGATGAACAAAACCGTTGTCCACCACAAAACTATGAGCGGCAGCAACTTACAGCAACTTATCACCTAAACTTATACGACGCTTAAAAAAACACACCTTATCGGCCGTCATTATGGATGAGGCTCAGGCTCGGCGGCGTAACACGGTTAATGCACTATTAGATGGCTACGGGAGCCTCTCGGTTCCGCAGCTTCTCATGTCAACAGCACCTGACTTTTACCATCAGGTATTACCAGAAAGCCTAGGCATGATGCCCCGGAATAGGGAGGCATTCGCCCAGCACGCCGCTGGCATCTTCAACGTATTCGACGAATTCAGAATGATCCCGAAGTCTATCGTCGATGATGGACCGGGAAATACGGCAGTAGTCCACGCACGAATGCAAGGAATACTAAAGGGGGGAGCCGGAGAGTGGATAAACGAATGCATAATGATGATCCAGCTATCCCCTGACGGCACTCAGGTTTCCAGGGTGACAGAGTTTGTTGATAGCGCAAAGGCTTTAGAGATGGCACGGAAACACGCACCCGATAACTTTGAAGTGAACTACTCAAAGCTAGATGATGGCATGAAGACGGAAAAGGGGGAAAGGAACGAAACAACGGGTTCCAAGTCGATAACACTACTGTTTGGGTTAGGACTAGCACAGGTTATCATGACAATATTTTTGTTGTATCAGGGTCGGCGGGCCATCTTTTGAGTTTCTACGGGGAGTTTAAATCAACTTTAGTTCTAGGATCTCGGGACGATCTTTAATACACGCACATATAAGCTTTACCCAGATACCTAAATTCGCGTTGCCGAAATTACCTACGTATAAGTTTAGGTGTAATGGGTGATTCGCCCCTGATACGGTGAGAAGCGTATGATGTATTATGAGCAGCGCGTATAGGTTATGTATGTAGAAGCGGAACGTATAATACGCATGATTATATGTTCAATTATGAAAGACAAGAAAGTTGAATCACATGTTAAATATTAATTTAATGGTTTAAACGGGTTTTAATTGTTTCCTTGCTCAAGCTTTCAAGGCCGAGCAACATCCGTTCTAAATAACATATGGTATAGAGGCGGAATCAATAGGGACTAGAAGAAAATATAGGAGAAGCGTGTACGTGAATAGGTAACTTATAAGTTATACAACATGTACCAGTACCAACAATCCGGACCAGATGAAACCTTCCTAAGCGCCGCAAAACTGAAGAGTACCCGCGCCCTTGCCCATACTCTAATGTAGTTTCAACAACTGGAAGAGAGCCAGGGACCCAGCAACGACCGGCGTGATGAGGCGCACGGTGTTGAATTTGATCCATTTCCGAGCGTAACTCTCGGCCTCCTTGGGATCGACCTTGCCCTTAGGCTCACGCAGGGCGTCGATTTTCTGGTTAATAGGCTGCATGTTCACCGCGGAATGGACAACGGTGATGAGATGGCACAGCGCCGATACCGCGTACGGTCGCCAGTCACCAAGTCTGCCATCCGGTCCCTGCGCAGCGGCTGCCCATGACGTATAGGCGTAGCCAAAGATGCCGAGAGTGCTGATCGGCCTAAAGAATTGGTTGCCTACAACCCAGAAGACGGGCCATTGCCGACCGAGCAATCGCGCGCGAGCTGCGTGCTCAGGCGATGATGGCGGCGGGAAGTCGACTAGCAAAGCGGGAACACCCATGAATGATTGCGTGATAGCATTTCCTATACGAGTGTTAGGACGGTTAGGACTAATATAATCGCTCAACTAATGATTTAATCTATACTGACCGAAGAGGATAAAGGAAAACGCAACGGTAGTTCCAAGAACGGCCTCGGGAGACACAGCCATAGTTGATGATTGCGGCTTTATTTTGGATTATGTCTTCAATTTATTGATTGTAATGACGACGAAAGAGATGCTCACGACTTAATCGACTTGATTCTTAAAAGAAGCCCTTAAATCATCTCTCATCGAATCTAAAGTATATTTATATGTTGTAATGCTCTATGTCGCTGTCCGTGCCGAGAGTCTAAAGTCGTCAGTATTTGCTCGTTGAGCGGGACATCGCAAGTCGGAGCTCGTCGTTTGTCATTCGATCCGACGAATCCGCCCGGTCCCAAGTGGCTTAAGTGGTATAAGTGGTATGACAATGAAACACCTTCAGACAATTCAGATCCACGGGTCAGATATTGGGGAAGCTTTTTAGGGAATCATTAGTCGAAAGTCTTTGTGTGCCTAAAGGCTAGGAAGAGATAGACATACTATAGAAGCTTAAAAGACATATAGGGGGGGGAACAATAGCGAGGGGTTACAATGCTTATCGTTACTCAAGGTTTATTTGATCGGTACCGACAAACGCTATAACCCCTTACAAGCAAGTACCTAACGTTGGGACACCGAAGCTTGCGTTAGACAACACGTCAATTTCTGACGGCATACGGTAGCTGCCGCCTTTGCCGCCGCCGCCGGATTACGAATTATAACCCGTAACCCTTACTTGACCGATATAATATCGGACACAGTAATTACCGTGGCTCCGTCTACGTTCACATGGTCCTATCCTACTTCAAGGGCCGACAGACGGGATTTATAAGCACCTTGCTGGCTTCAATATAAGCGAATAGACCTATTATATAGTTGGCTATTAATGAGGCAGTGAGGGTAGGTATATATGTATGCATACTTCGCAGGAAAATGCGACACCGCATGTAAGGTCTCTTTTTTTCCTTCCTTTTTTATTTTACTTTCCCCCCTTTTTATAACTTCAACTATTAGCAGTTAAAGCTGTTATTCTTTATCTATTCTCGGGTTTTAGGTTTTTTATTTCATCATTGGTTCACATGCAGAAAAATGCTAACATGGTTCTGTAAAAGTAAGAAGTTGAGATGAAACAGTAAACTTGGATTCAAGACGTAAGCAAGTTGAAATACATGTATATAAGTAGATATCTCTGGTAGGTTAAGTTAGGTAGATTCAATGTTATATAGCGACCGTAAATTCAGCCGTCCCAAGTCCAACTCTTAATGATACGCCCACCGTTCTTCTCTCATGCAATCTATACCACTTATAGTCTTCTACACCTCGTACATCTTATACAACTCATACAACTTCTATGTTTTGACTCTTCTTTTCGGCAGCTTTAAGAAACTCTTCCTTTTCCTGCCGATACTTGGCGTCGGACTCGGCCCATAGCCTGAGCGCCTCCTGCTTTCGGGCTTCGCTCCTAGGCTCGAAAGCCATCTGGAAAGAATTCGGCTTGATAATCAGTAGAGAGTTCGACTTATCGTGAGGAACTGGTATCTCCTGGCCCGTGACCGGATCCTTCTTCGGCTTAAGGTTGAAGCACCAGCTGAGCGCGCCGCAAGCCACTATAAGCTCGTCTTGCGTGAGCGACTGTCCTAGACACTGACGCTGCCCCCAACCGAATGATGTCATGCCTTTAATAGTAGGATACATGGTAAGCGGCTCCTGGTACGTCGGCCATCCCGGTTCTAACCAACGCTCGGGCCGGAAGTTATCCGGGTCGGGATACTTTTCTGGGTCTCGAAGGAATGCCCTGTCAAGTTTTAGTGTTTATAATAAACTTATAAATAAGACTGTGACGGAACTGTGACGGACTGAAGAGGTTGGGGGTTTCACCACTTACCAGTCTAATGGGAGTATCCTTGTTCCTTTGGGGAGAAAGTAACCGCGAAATTCATCATCGGCCTCCATCTCATGTGCAACACCTAGTCCTCGCGTGTTAGTTGTCTTCTTCTATTCCTATATCTTACTTCTTACTATCAACTAACCTGTGGGCACGTTTGGCCTCCATCGCATCGTTTCCTTGATGCAAGCTCGGAGGATTGGAAGCTTAGGCGCGTCGTCGAGAGTCGGTATCCTTCCCTCGCAGGCCTCGTCAACTTCCTTCTGCACGGCCGCCTGCCACTTTGGATGATGTATCATTGACACCAAGAAGTACGATAGGGGACCGACGACGGTAAAGATGCCGACGAGAGCCATCATCCCTATAACGCAGGAAGCTTCATAGTCGCCAGAGATATTTGAGCGCTTCTCTCCTCTTTCGAGGTATTGCTTGGTGAAGCAGGCCCTCTGCCGTCCTTGTTCTAGTGCGGCGCGCGTGTTCATCAGGCGATCCATCCACCATGCCTGCTGTTCGTCGTGTCGCTTGCGCTCGGCAATTTTCCAGGGGTTTATCATCTCGGGTAGATGCCAAAGGGGGGTTATAACGTTAGTGATGGGCCCAGCTGGCGACATCTGGTTTAGAAGGCCACAGGCGCTCTTTGTGCAGGCTTCGCTGAGATCCGTATCGTCCCAAGCTAGCTGGCACATAACCTTGGACGACATATCCTCCAAGGAGAATTCGAAGCCGTCGGGGTTCTCGATCAACCGAGCGAGCCAGCGTTTAGCCTCATGGTACATAACACCGTAGTAGTGAGCGTTGGTCGCTTCTGTCAGGTATGAATGGGTGAATTTACGTTGCCTCGACCAGTACTCTGATCCACGTCTTGTTTAGTACCTAATGAGATTTGGTAGTTAATCTGTTGGGCACTCACGGTTCTTTCCCATCAGGGGGAGATACTCCATCGATCCATGCGTACTCTTGGAGTCGAATAGAGATCTTACCATAGGTCTGTCCGAGTTGTATTTCGCACGCTTCACCAAGAGCTCCTCGGCCACCTTCTCCTTCGTAACAACTAAAAACTTTGCCCCGAGCATCTCGGTGAAGAAGAAGCCATCCGTACCGCTATACTGATCGGCCCATTCCTTGAACTTCAGCCACATATACTGAATCGGAAGGTCATGTATACGGCCAATATATGGTAGTAAGGTCGGACCCGGTATCTTACGCGGGTGGTTAATCTCCCTGAACAACTTAACCAAGTGGAAGGCTACCACGCCGACGAGAGCGACGCAGAGGATTGCTGGCGTAAACAGTTGCATGATCAACCACTGGGTATAAACAAACAAGGTCGTGTGTGCGAGTGTAGCAAGAATGTAAACTGAGGAAGGGCTGCGGAACGGAGTGACCAGAACACTTCCCGGAAAAGATGTGTTCGCAGGGCTTTCACACGATTTAAACTATATACCGTAGGTACTAAGCGACCCAATGATAAATCTACTTGTAGTAACTACCCTCGATGGTGTTGAGCGGCGAGAATCGTCCGGCCTTCGAAGGCGATGGTGCCATGTATCTATTCTTAACCGGGCGTCCCCTACATAGGCTTACATCAAAGTATGACCGGGCATTCAGCTACTATCGTATCCAGTTATGCTTATGAAATTATGCTTTTTAAAGTTTACATTCTTCTAGAAATAAGGTACTTCCAAGAATAGCCTCAAGTGTTAAAAGTCCGAAACATTCCATACAAGATAGCCAAGGATGTTCGAGAGCCCATCGCCCATCGCCCGATTTCGTCGTGGCAATAATGAGATCGCAGGGCGAACATCGATAGGCCGGAAAGCCACTTGCATATGTCGTAGAATATCACCGAAAACAGTCAAGTCCGGCTAACAAAGTCCGGACAATCATAGAGAGCTCCGTTGACGATGCTAAGCCATGATTATGGTGATGATGTTGCTACTTCGGTATTATTGTGGAATACCTAGCAATATATCACGGGTTAAGGGGCTAAATATTTATCAATAAAAACTAGAATCGAGAGACACTGATGCTAGTAAGTATGAAACTCCCCATGTGTTTGAGCCCTTCTGTCGAAGGTTCGAATATCAATTGCATACCTATTAATCCGTACCTTTGTTGTAGGTTGGAGTGGACCGTCTGTAAGCACGCGTAAAACTACTAAACTATCGGTGTTGCATACCTTCCCGCGTACGGTATACATGTACATACATTTGCAGACGGATGGATACACATATGTATGTAGGTGTAGGCATATGTATATGTATATGTATATGTATATGTATGCATGAATGTATGCATAAGGTGCCGTAACATCCTGATGGTGTTGAGAGGGTCGATAGGCTGGATAAGCGACGACTTGTGATGGTTGGTGATCCAATCAAGACTTCGTAGCGTAAGTTTAAACTCAGCCCATTAATAAGATAAAAGACGTTTTATGTTCCATTGCGGTTGGCGCATGCCGTGGAACCAGCCCATCGACGGTTCGCCGCCGCTGCTATGAAGTATGGCTGCTATAAGGTATGGGAGGGTATGTACCGCCTCCCTTGGCCCGACGATCTGAATAAGACTAGCATGTTGGCTTATAAACTATAGTCAGCCGCATATACGTCGGTCTCAGTTCCTTGATGGTTTGGGTACCTATCTATGCAATGCATATAGGTATATATATATCCATTAGCGGTATTATGTTTACTCTTATAACTCTTATAAGTAACATGTTTTGCCCGAGTTTACGAGTATGAGGGATATTGTCTCGCTCATCTCGATGCCCGAGTTCACGAGGGATATTGTCTAGTAGGGGACTTTTTTTCTAGTCAGGGACCTTTTTTTCTAGTCAGGGACCTTTTTTCTAATAGGGGACCTTTTTCTACTAGGGGACCCTTTTTCTATGCAGTAGGGGACCTTTTTGCGAACCTTTTTGCGAAATAGAAAGTTCGTCCGTACCTACACAGCTTTTAAGCGTTTTTATTAGGTGCATCCTCCAAAACGATAGGTTTTGTTAGATTCTCCACTTTCATCTTTTTTTTCAAAATACGTATCTTTTATTTATTTTTTTAACAATTCTTTGCTATCGGACGGGCGGTCGACCTACGCCTTTCGTAAACTCGGGCTATTGTGGCGCACCACAAAAGTGCCCTCATGTTCCGAAAATGAAAGAAATTTTATTTAAAGAAGTTCGTTCGTGCGCAGCTTTAAGCCTTTTTATTGGATGCATTTTCAAAATAAGTGGAATTTGCACGTGTTTTGCCAGCCCCTTTTTTACTCTCATTCTTTTCTCGAAATACATATCTTTTTTACAACAGCTTAGGTTCGAATCCCATATGTTCTTTTTTTTTTTCCATCTCTTAATTTTGGTAAAGGAATTCTAGTAAAAGTAAGTGTTTGAGGTTTCCAGCCGCTGCTGCCGACCGCGCCGACCGACCGACCGACCGGCCGACCGCCCGCCCGGCAGCAGCGGCAGCAGCGGCACGTGATTGACGTACGCAGAAGGACGTCAAAAAAGGTGGCGCACCTCTCTGCCTCTACTAACAATTATCCTGGTAGGTGCGCCATGTTAGTAGAGGCAGAGAGGTGCGCCACCTTTTTTGATGCCTTTTTGGTACGACTTTTATAAACTCGGGCTATTCTGGTGCCCCCCGCAGAGTTGCCCTCATGTTTTATGATTAATGATCAGTGCCGACTGGAGGAGTTTAAACGCGTATGCGGACACGTAGGGTATTGCCTAGGTCACCGTGTCTGCTGCAATTATGACAGGTATACTGGCATACATCTGGCATACATCGAGGTGAAATGAGCCAATGAAGTGTGTTGGCACATTGCGTTTGGGTGGTCAGGAATATACTTCGGGTCCGAATAGGATTAAGGGTCGGCACTTTGTATGACACTTCAACCTCCGCGACGACGGTAGACTTTGAGTTAATGACCGAGTGGCGCGAAAAAAAAGCATTCTGAGACTTGGTGGTGACACCCGCTGTTCCGTCATGTCATGTACGATTGCTCTCCTATTTCCATGTTATATTCTTATATTATGTTCTTAATGGAGTAGCATCGTCGCCAAAAAGGACCTGGCCAAGAAGCACTTGATGAAGAGGCATATTATTCCTTTGAGATTCCATCACTGCTTATACGCCCTGTCTGAACTTCACTAGGATTATATCCAAGAGTTCAGGAGTTCAGGAGTTCATGAGTCCAAGTCACATACTCACAAGTCACAAGATGGGTTCCCTTAATGGTACCGACTGCAGGCCCGTAGGATCTTACCCGCCGTCGGGTATCGATGTTTTAATTGTTGGTACCGGGCTTGCGGGACTAACGGCGTCTATCGAATGCAAACGCAAGGGACACAACGTGCGCATTATTGAACGCCATGATGATATTAATACCGCAGGTATGTGGCTGGACTTAGACGCCCTCCCCCCCTGCAAATACCTGCAATACGCTGAGAACGTGACTTTACTTTTGCCCCCATCTAGGCGATATGTACTTCATGGGCCATAGTGCTACCAAGTTCTTTCGTCACTGGCCCGAGCTATCGAAAGAGTATGAGCTGATATCTATGAATAATGCCTGGATTGAGACCTTCAAGCATGTCGGCGAACGGATGATAACGCCACTAAAGGTTTCGGAGCGTTTGCGTCAGGATGGTATGGATCCGAACACGCCACCCGGCGCTTTTCAGATGCGGCCGCTCATCTACCGGATGTATCTAAACGAAGTCCAGAGGCAAGGAATTCAGATCCAATTCGGCCAGCGCGTTGTTGACTACTATGAGGACCAAGAACGTCAGAAGGCCGGCGTCGTGACGGACAAGGGCGAGCGCTTCGAAGCCGACGTCGTAATTGCTGCGGACGGCGTAGGTTCTAAAAGCCAAAAGCTAGTAGGTGGGCAAGTTAGAGCGATGAGTGCCGGCAGAGCCATGTGGCGAGCAGCTTTCCCAATACACCACTTAGACAAGAACCCTAAGCTCAAGGAGTTCTTGAAGATGGGTGGACCGAACAACGACGAGCCAATAGTCAGAACATGGCTTGGGTATGTGGTACCCCCGTTGCCAGTTGCCTTCCCATATTCCCGTGCCGAGCGTTATTTGGCTGATAGTTACAACCCGCTAGTCCCGGAATGTACGCCATGGTCCTGATTCGTCAGGAGACCTGCGTGTGGATTATGAACCACGATGTAGGTGATACATTACATAGACTAATGCTCAGCTCGGCTCGGCGTGCTGATCAGGTACAGATTACCGGCTCCGAGGAAGAAAGCTGGACTCATACCGTCGAATCAGACGATGTGTTAAATAACATCGATAAAGGGCTGGGCCCATTAACTTGGGACCCTAGAATTAAGGAGCTTGTTAAGCTGATACCATCTAAGACCATCGTAAACTTTGAACTATTCTGGCGCAATCCCCAACCGACTTGGGCTTCCCCCGGAGCCCGCGTGGTTCTCATTGGCGATGCCGCACATTCTTTCCTGCCTGCCTCGGGCAACGGGGCTACGCAAGCCATCGAGGATGCCGTTTCGTTGGCTTCCTGCCTTCAGATTGGAGGAAAGCAGAACGTACCAGAAGCAGTAAGCACGCATGTGCGTCTCCGCTTCATCCGATGCTCCTGCGCGCAGAAGATGGGATTCACCAATGCAGAGCTTCTCCAGCACACCGACTGGGAGAAAGTCAAGTTCAACCCAAAGCTGGCGCAGCCTAAGCTACCGAGATGGATCTGGAAGCATGACCCTGAGAAGTACGCATACGAGAACTACGAGAAGATGGCCGAAACTATTAGGAAGGGAATCCCCTTTGATAAAGTCGACACGGTCCCGCCAAACTATCCTCCCGGATATAAATACGAGCCCTGGAACATCGACGACATGCAGAAAGACGTGGATAACTCTACGGTTAACATGGGTTCGGGTGACTGGGACTAAAAGACAGGCATCCGCGAGATGTCTGGTCCTTTGTGCTAACTTGGTGATAGATGGACCTGGAGTCAACTTCTTTGTCCCCCGGTTGTTTTCTATTCTATGGTCTTTTACGTCTTGTATGGTATCATATTGCATTGTCTCGAGTATACGCGAGTAGGGTTAGATGCGAAAGATCTCCTGGCGAGCAGAGTAACAGAGTAGGTCAGGTGCCTTCGTTATTATTACAGAACCCACATTCGTGAAAAGCCGTCTCGATGGCGGACAATTAAAGAGAATTTAAGTAAATGTCATTAATAACATGATATATGTCCAGCAAATAACTTGAATCCATAATGAAAAAGACGACCGACGTACTTCCAGTAATGATGGGACAAACTCAGAGCTATAAGGAGAAAGAAATCAAAGAATTATAGCTATAGCTAACTGGTGAAGAAGCCCAGGTGAATTAAGCAATGAAGAAAATCAGACTGGAATTGAGATGAGCGTTTTACATTCTAGGTATGTATGCTACTTCCAATAACTTCGTATTGATGTCTCATATTTGCCTTCCCTCTCGTGGCTACTTAAGCAATTAATCGTTATGTGAGTACGGAACAGGTTTCTAAAGCCTAAGTCTCCCTTCTCCACCTTCGACCTCATCTTCGTCATCCGATTTTCCCCTCCAGCCGGGAAGCCCACGAAACGAAAACCAAGAGATGAGGACTGTAGCACAGAGGACAAACCATGAAGGTAAAAGGAGCCATCTACCGAGCTGTGATCGGTGACAGTTATCCACCCAGATAGACCTGTCTGAATTCGATCCCACATCCACAGATAGTTGCGTTAGGCCACAACTCCAGCTTTCAAAGTCCATCCAGTTGCGACCGTACGGGGAGTATGCCGTAGGAGATGCTGCTACGTACAGGCCGTAAGTATCCAGACGGCCGGTAATTCCATGCTCGATAAAGTTATAGAGGAGTGCCGTAGTAGCGAGAGTGATATCTGGGATAAAGAGGGCAAGGAGAAGCCAATGCTGCCAAAAGTTCTTTTTATCGATACATGTTAGCTCTCGTATCCGTTGGTGTGATACTAGGAGACTGACAAACCTTCTTGACGTAAACGCTGGTGGCGAAAAGGCCCATTACTAGAAAACAGACAATAATATTCACAATAGACGCTGCGATAGCGAGCTGATGATGAGGGCTTCGGTACAGGAGAGTAGGTAGCCAAGATGTCTTGAGGTTTTCCTCGCCGAACCAGATACTAAATCCGCCTGACCAGCCGCGGTCATGTTCTCTCATCCATTCTATCAAGTAGACATGTTGAGACAAGATATTTGCATGAATCAAAACCGCGACGAGGAGTGTGATGAGGAGGGCACTGCCGCCCATCCAGGGGCGAAGGCGGGGAATCGGAATTTCAATCTTGCTCAAAGTCATAGTGTCCTTATAGTTAAGTTAATATGTGAGATTGATAGAATACCATAGATTGCCCAGGTAGGCGCTTTGTGCAAGCTTGAAAGGCCAAAGAGGTTTGTTTTATCTCTCAGAATGCGGCACAGCCACCGTGATCTTCACTTGACTCCTCAGCGCCGTATGTTTCGGCCAACCAGATATTGATGATGTTCAAGAATCGGCCTGATAAAAGCGTAGAATTGCACTGTTTTCCCTTCTGCCTTGTCGCAAAGAAACACGGTTGGGATTTAGGCAGCAGGATTAGACGATCAAGCTTAGCAGATGAATTAATTTACTGTCTACTATTTACCTAGGATAGGTAGGTACATATTTACAAGACTCGTGGAATAATATCTCTTTTAAGCGTTCTCTACTCCTGGGGCGGCAGCAGCGAGTAATTTTCCAAAGTCGGGGGTACCTAATCCCGTAACAGGATCCCATCCCGCAGTGGCATTCCACCTTGCTCCGTTTCTAAAAGCAGAGTTACCCGAGCAGCCGCTTCCGTATCCGGATGTTATGTCTATCAAGGCGGCGCTGTTGTTGTATAGCCACGGGTTAAGGAAGCCTAGCGGTGGCTGACCCTGGCTCTTTCGTGCGGCGTTTAGGAGAGCTACTACACCGGCGAAGACGGGACTCGAAGCACTCGTACCCGATAGGAGCGCAGATCTGCCCTTGTCGATGACTATGAACCGACTCCCCTGAGCCGCAACATCGGGGAAGCCTCTGTTGGACGAGTTGAAGTACGCAGAATAGGTTTCGCCTATTGATTCCAGGTACGAATTGACAGCATCTGCCTGCCACGCGGGTTGGGCGTGAAGCGAACTGAAACCACCGCTCGAAAAGCTCACACCTTGTTCGGGCTCGACGTTGTAAGTAGCACCGACGGAGGTCACGTACGGGCAGCCAGCGGGGAATGAGGGTTGGAAATACGGTGCTTGGTCTGATTCTCTTATGCAAGAGTCACCTGGTCCAGAGTCGCCGGATGAAAACAGCACGCTTACACCGCGGGCACCGAGTTGCATGTACAGATTGCATACTCTCAGCGCGTACTCCGCTGGTACCGACTGCTCCTCCTCTCCGTACGAGGTAGAGATTGTCTGCGGCAAAGCAGAATCGTCTTGATCGAGGAGGTACGTTAAGAACTCCAAGTAAGGCTCGTTTGACGAGGGCCCAGGCTCGTCATGCGTAGGTTCAAGCGGCCTTCAATAAGCTGTCAGTTATGTTTAAATCCCAGTTATAAAAATGGTTAACAACTTACCCACGACCACCAGTGCTGTATTCGAGGATCGGGATAGGGCTGCTAATGGCCAATACATATTGCACATCGAGGTTCGCCTCTCCTGTGTGGAAATTTAGTAAATGTTTGGTCTGGCAATTCCTGACAAGGGACGCAACATACCACTATCATCGTTACTACTCTGGTCATCTAGACCCCCATTGACCAACTCGACGCTGAAGTTCTGGCCCTTGGCCCCCGGTAAATACTGGGTCTCGAAGGACTGCAGATCCGAATACCGCGCGTATTCCTCCAAGTAAGAGCTGAATGCAACCAGGTTTCCCTCGGTGGGCGCGGTGTACTTGATATTGTACAGTGACTTGAGACAAGCGGGCGTGATCCTTGAGGTGTTGCAGTCGGCGGCGGCATCGACTGCCATGTCTGCCTTTACGGCATCCTCTTCCTCGGGCTCAAGGAGTTGCATCTCAAAAATGGTCGACCTCTTCGCGCCGAGCTGGCCGAATCGAGTGGTCGGCTGTATGAGATCAATGCTTCCCGTAAGCTCGTCAGGGACGCTGTACGACAACGTCCGCAACTTAGGACTGCCGCCCTTTTCATATTGGTACCAAGCGAAGTTCGCGCCAAGCAGGTCGTTTGCGGTTTTCACGTCCGTCTTGAAAGTAATCCAGTCGTTATTCACCGTGGAGTTGATGCCGCTCTTGTTTAACCAATCGGCAACCGACGAGACAGACCTCTCTGTCGGCGCCGTATAAGCCCGGACTTCGTCACGCGATAGGTGCATGCCATAGTTTGGATGCCCCGGGGTAGAAATTTCGATCACCGCTTGCTCCAGTGCGGCCGCATGCTGCTGCTTGAGACCAATGCGTAAAGTAACAGGGTCATTTGGTGAGGCCTGACGAACTTCTGCCCAGCCTTTAGGGACGGAGGCGAGACTATCCATCACCTTGGCCGTCGCGGCCGAGGCGAAGAGGAGGAGAAGGGAGCGCATGGTGAGAGCTTTTTCCTCGAGGGTTTGCACGGTGAGCCTTTCGTTGTGGCTTTCTTCCCTCCCTCGCCAAATGAAGGTGAAGGACAAACGAGTGCTCTCGACTGCTCCGTGAGGGGAGCTGGGAGCAAATTAATAAACATTAAGGTAGTAGTAAGTAAATGGATATTTACATATTGCAATGGCGTGCTATGCTATGCTCGACCAATTGATCCTACCGTTACATGGGTTCGACGTCAAGGTATCCTCCCAACCATGCCGGCTGGTTCCGTAATCTAAGGTCCCGGCCACTCGAGTTGTATCGACTTGCCAAGTCCGGGGTGATCTCCCGCCCATCCTCCGCGAATGCTACCTGATCTAGACTATATTCGGCAGGAGGGTGGTATCTGAGTTATGCGCCCGGTTGTGATAACTTGATAAGGTCCTTGTTACGAGAGATCTGATCTCATCTAGGTACATACCGGCATATTAACCCTCGGAATGTGGTTCTGAGGGCGGGCAGAGTCTACAAAAAGGGCTCGTTTGAGGTAGTTTGAAAGTATACGGTGTTACCGGCCGACCTAGACCTCTATAATCAGCAGGGAATGCTTGTTCGATTTCGTATTTATTACTAGGCTAAATCACCCGAGTAGTTGTTGATGGGATGATGATCGTGTAGGAGCTAAGGTAAACTTACCAACTTCATTTCTCCGCTCCTCAATATATGCTGTCCATTCCAGCAGTGCTTTCGGCTGTCATACGCTTCACCTTAAGCAAGTGCTAGTTAGAAAAGTGCTGTATAAAATACCATAACGATCAATTAGCATAATAGAATTAGTTTTGAATTTTGTTAAAGTTGATGATTACCTAAGTACTATCGTAAGGAATAGTAGTTGATTGTGTAGTCGTCGATAGTCAAAACGCGATACAGTATAAACGCTGCGCCCTAAAGAATATAATTCTTGCGTTTAATTAGCCATCTTACCAATTACAAGGAAAAATAGATCGTTTCATGATAATATCGTATCTTATGAGAATAGCACTTCTGTTGGTTTCGATACTTTCTCTCCTAGGATAGAGTGATATTTTAATAACGACTAAACTTTTGACTCTATCAGCCAAGCGCTCCATATATTGTTCGCGCCGTACTCATCGTAATATAAACGGGGTATCATAGAAAAATAACATCTCATATCTGGTGGATTCACAGGACCTTCCCGTTCTCATCTATCTTCCCAATAACACCCTCAAAGAGTTTCGGTAAGAGTTCGGAAGCGTCTCCTTGAAAGAAGAAATCTTCCTCCAATAGGCTTTCTGCTGAGTCAGGGTCGGGATTCACCACCGCGATAATAGCTCCCTGTTCTACGGCATCGCTCGCATAGGCTGCAGCAGGATAAACAACAGCTGCGGTTCCAATCACGAGCACAATATCTATACGTCCTTGCCATATCCAGTTGTCAATATCTGTTAGCATCTGCTCGTCGAGAGGTTCTTCAAACCAAACGACGCCGGGCCGGAGCAGGCCCGTCTTGCACTTCGGACAATGCGGGAGATCCTCGACCTTGATGGGCGGCGCGGGAACGTTAGGGTCGAGTAAAGGAAGAGTTTGGCCAGGCGGGTAGTCCTCGGCGGCAGGAGCGAGAGCAGGGCACACGGGATCGCTCAGGTTATTCCGGTCGATGTAATCGCAATCGTCGTTGAAGCATTTGTTATCAAGTATGCTCCCATGAAGGAGTCGAAGCTTAGACTCAGGATGTCCAGCGCGTGGCGACAAACCTAAGACGACGGGATCGCATTGTTAGAGGCTCGCCATGATACAGAGCTTCGCCCTAGTTGGGAATGTAGGCTTACCATCAACGTTCTGAGTCAAGCACAGGAAGTTGTCCTTCTTCTTGGCCAACTCGGCAAGAGCATAGTGGCCACGATTGGGATTAGCCTTTAGAGCCATGTGTTTGCGCCATGCATAGAATAGCCAAACAAGGGCAGGGTCTTTCTTGAAGGCCGTTGGGGTGGCGAGGGAAGTGGACTCGTGATTGCGCCATAGACCGCCAGCACCACGAAAGGTTGGGAGTCCAGAGGCTGCTGATAGACCGGCGCCGCAAACAGCCAGGACCCTGTTGCTAGATCTTAAGAGCTCCTTGAACTCTTCGATAGATGTTCGCGGCGCCATGGTTTGCGTATTCTCCTCGTGGTGTGAATCTAGATTCTCGAGCGGACTGTGTGAGATGTGGGGGGGATGGTCTTATAAATAGGTATCTAACCTAGCAGTTGAAGGGTAGGTAGCAGCTACATTTTGTTTGCCTGTTACTGCCTGTTTGTTGATGATAAAATATCATGATTGGTATAGTTTTCACTTTTGACTTTTGACTTTTGACTTTAGATTGATACAGCAGTTACAGGAAGGTACCTACCTACCTGGGAGGTAACTACCTAGGTACATCCTACCGTTAGAAGGAAGTACTTACGTAATTATACCTTATGTACCCGGATTGCGGGGTCTACCTATGTACCTAGGTATCCACTAGGATTAAGCTGGTGGTGAACCTTGAAAAGTACCTAACATCCAACAACAAATAATCTCACAATAATCTTACAATAATCTCATATCGACGTATAGCTCCATTACAATACACATTAAACTACCTAAGGTAGCAGGTAATCAAAATATCTCTCATGCGAACGCTTCGTACCTCTTTCCAACAGCAGTCCCGTTACCTACTCCTGCATCCGTATAAATGGACAAGATATCGGTCGAATTATCGTAGTCCACCCCGCACCTCTCAGAAAACCCTTGGAACATGTCGACTCGTTCTTCAAGGTACTGTCCAAACCCTGCCCTCGAGCAAGTTGTACCCGGCCCATCGGCACAGTTAGGTAATGGTTGAGGCGCACTATTCACTAGTATCCGATAATAGTCACCATCTTCGTAACCATAACTACCTGAACAATTCAGCCTTTCGATAGCCGCGTTGCTCAGAAAAGGTAACACGTGCGAACTTTTCCACGCGCGCCGGTGGTTGATACGGTCCAGCGGCATCGTATCATTAATAGCCTCGCCTCCGCTGAACTCGGAGTTGTTAAACAAACCCATGGCAACAAAGACCATAGGAGGTAGCTCTCGATGAGTAAAGCTAACAAAGATGTCTTGCTTTCCAGACGATTCTTCTAAAAGTAGGCTTGCCGATGCATTAAGCCAAGGTAATCCCACAACGCCAGAAATCTGATTACCGTATCCCACGTTGTAGTGGTACATGATATCCGCCGTATATTCCCAGCCAAGCCAGTCGTCTGGCGTGAAGAGGTCCAGGTCGCAGAATGGGGAGCTGCCACGAATAACAGATTCGTACCCGCACAGTTCCATCATGCCATACACGTCGTTGGCTGTAAAATTAAACCCGGGGGCTATCGCATTCAGTCTTGCTATTATAGGCTGGGTGAACTTTTTGAGATAGACTCCTGATTGATCACTGCCAAACGACGATGAGTAGGCCGGGCAGCTTTTGTACGGCGTGAGGCTGTTCGCGCCAGCTTCCTCCGATTCGTAAATGCTCACGACGTTGATTCCATCTTCATTTAGCTCGAGACTCCTCGCGAACGACTCGGCTGATTTTTCTGTGCGCTCGGCGGACGACGTCCATATACGAGATGGCAGCCTGAGGTTAGGGTACCGGAAAGATAGCGTTACACCAAGTTGCGCCGCTTCTAGTCTACCCACGCGAGTCAACAGCTCTTGTTCCGCGTCCGTCAGCGGGGCTGTCCAACCGGCGAGAAAGCTGAGCGCTGGAATTTTGCTCCAGTCGACCGCGGTGTTGTTTTCTAACTTGGATACGAACGGGTCAATGTACGCTTCATAGTCGTAGTCGTTGGCGTATATTGCAGCATGGCGAGAGAGATAGACTGCACGGGACACCGAGCAACCCTGTGGAGGTGACGGCGACGCCGGTGGGTCTTGGGGCTCGAAGTACGGGGCTACGCCGCCAAGATGTTCTAGAGGGTTGAATTTATATGTGGAATAAAGAGACGCGGCAGAACACGGTTGAAGTATTGGAAGAACGAGCGCACTGAGCTGGAGCAGCTCTCTAACGAATGACGATGCCATTGTGCTCGTCGTAGAATGCGCGGTATCAGATAGAAAGGCTAAGGCCATGGAAGAGAGGCAGACCCTTCGTTTTTATCCCTCCCCAAACCACCCCGGCATGACTGATCTACTTGGACGACTGCATGTCTTATTTACATAATGCGAAATGACGATGAATGATGACGGTGAGGATCCAGGACCAGCGAACATTACCGTGTTGGCGTCATTGGACAAGGATTAGACAGGGGTTTAGCGGCCACTAGGGAACAAATTCAAAGGACGAAGAAGCTTATTTGCCCGTTTGCCCACATATGCTGTCTTCCCGTTCAAGCCGTCTTTTGTTCCTGGTTCTTGACGGACTGCTTTGTCTGTCCGGTCCTGCATTAGTGCACACTACCAGGTATGTTTAGAAATGCTGGCCAATGAAAACTAAAGCTTCTCTCTGCCTCCATTAAGCGGTGGGCTTGTCACTTTACACTATGCGGATCGAATATTAAGTGTTTACACATTATCACCTATATTGCTCCATACTTTTTTTTATTGGTCTTATCCCCTTAACTGGCATAAAATAGCAAAAACCTGATATTCGGTAGAGTACATGAAGTTTAACGCGATTGATTAAGACAAAAAGAAAAACCCTTGCAATATACCTCTATAATAAATATGATTGGCCAATCTAATAATATAGAACCAGTCTATCTTCTTTAGCCAATCTCGATGTATCAATACTGAAAATAGTGGGTTTGCTGTTTTATGCCAGTTGAGAGGATAAGGGCTATATTCGTATATGGTATGAAAACCCTTGTAATAATTTCAGGTAAATACTAATGTCATCTATAGACTAAACACGTATACTCATAATTCTAACAAGAGGTACTTTAGGCTCTTCATTCATATTTCCCTTCGAATAACCTCACTTGTCATCGATGCCTTTCCCTCATATGCCATAGACAGGATAAGTCTTATGAGATGAAATAAGTATATCTCGTGCCCGTTTTCGTGATACTTTGATTGATATGTAGTGGTAAAGAAGCTTATCTCGTTAATCATTATGCATAAAAACCTATCCATCTCCTTCCGAACGTCCCTAATTATCGAAATATTGATGGCCTTGAGCTTATCTATCAGAATCTGAAGCCCAGGGGTTTCTGAATCTGCTCGGCTCGTTGCCGAATCTTCTGCTCTCTCGAGCGTTAGAGTAGTATTGCCTATCGCGATCACCATCTGCGTCGTCACATTGTTGAATCCAGCCGGTATCCACGTGTATACTACGGTGATCGGGCCTCACGGCGACTACTTCGTCTCGTATTTAGGCCCGGGGCGGTTGCTGGCGTCTAGAGCCCCCGCCGCCGTGGCTAACGCTCCGGGTTCTTCTCCGGTTTTCTCTGCTGTCTGGCTTGTCTCTGCCTAGAGCATGCTTGACTTCCTTTTTTGCTTCCTGTGCCCACGATTCCTTTTCGCCGTAAAGTATGCCCTTGGGCCAAAGCTTCGAAGCAGCTAGCGAAGCAGCACCGATAGCACCGAGGAAAACTAAAGATGTTTTTAATACATCTTTCCTTTCATTCGAATGTGATGGTGACCGAGACCGTTGGTATCCCTGTTGGGTATTCGTGGAAGGGTTACATCGGGAACAGGATGATGAACGGGAATGTGAAGTCCGAGATAGAGATGGAGAGGAAGACGTATAACGAGGCATGACGAACTATAATATTAGGCCGTTGATATAATTGTCAAAGGATGATTTTCCCCTTCCTGTTTAAGAAACTAATAACAGGATGATTCGATAATTACTCGGTCAAGGCGTCCACAAGTTCAAAGAGCGAACGGCGGGCATATTGTACTCAGCATTATGTACAAGATGGAAGATATCGAGTAGCTAGGGAAGTTCTGCAATATGATGTAGGAGGCAAACTAGCAGCCATATATAATACCATATATAATACGTGAAGATCGCTTTAGAAGTCACGACAGAGTACACAAGGCGGATAGGACAGACGAATCGGATGTCGTGCTATTTAAATAAAAGGTAGATGTGTAGTACATCGTACGACAGTCAAGACAGGCTTTTTGGAAGCATTGGGCAGTCGTTCATATCTATCGTGGCCGCGTAGTTTGATAGGTTGTTATCGAACTCTCTTGCATATTAATTTACTAGGCACCCAACCCATATGCATATATGATATAATAAACATATGTGGTGTAATGGTGTAATGGTGTACGGCGGCAGAGGCGGAGAGGAGAATCCCATAATGGTGGTATGAGTTGTACGTGTAGTGTGCTTCTACAAGGTATGTCGGATCTACGTAGCTACTTGGAAGTTGATATTGGAAGACCGAACATGGTATGTATTACCAGAGGTGGATTTGTCTATGAATGAGTCTTGTTTTATATTTTATATTGTATCGCTAAATATTATAAGAAGATGATAAGAAGATGATGTACCTACACTAGAAATGTATGATGAGCATCGAAATACCTAGTGAGCTAGACCCACTATATAGAGGTGTTCAGCCACTAAAACTGCAGGCTATTGTTCACTGGGTCGGTACATGGTACCTAATGTTCCTAATAAATCATCCTAACAGTCGACGCGACTTTTGACGCGACTTAATTAATAAAGAGCTCTTAATAAAATTAATAAAGTTGAACTTGAACTTGAACTTGGTCCTAACAATTGGAAGATATTGCTCCACCTTATCATCTTACCAGTCACCTAATACTTTTAATTATTGCTACAATGCTTTGCTTCCGTCAAGTACCTCGATAATGGATTCTTCCCCGACGACAGAGAAGCCGTTTGATCCCTCCAAGCCTTTTGGGGGGCTCGTTCTTTGCTGCACAAGTATCGAGGCAGACCTACGTGTAAGCGATTCTTGACCGTGTATATTAATTATTAATTACCTATGTACCTAGGTAGGCATTCTCAATTCAATTCGTCTCAACTAATCGTGTCATTGTTTAGACGGAAATTGCCCAGCGAACTATCGACCTGGGCGGCATCCATAAGTACGACCTTACGCCAGATGTAACCCATCTTATCGTCGGAGACTACGACACAGCTAAATATCGCCATGTCGCAAGGGAGAGGCCTGACATCAAGCCTATGGCGGCCGGCTGGGTCGATGCTGTGCGGGCGCTGTGGCTGGAAGACAAGGAGTTTGACTTTGCTGCCTTGGAGGAGGAGTGGAGGCTGAAGACTTTTGAAACAGGCGGTGGTATCCCTAAAAGCCCGGTCGAGGAACAAAGAGAGAGGACAAGACTGATATGCTGCCTAACCGGATTCGAAGATAGTAAGTTGTCTATCTGATGAACCTGCGATCGGGAGCGCTGACAAGAAGAGATGATACGCGTGTCATGATAGAAGATAAGGTTAGAGCAAACGGCGGCGATTATATTGGTGATCTTTCTCGGCGCGTTACCCATCTTATCGTCTGCAAACCTGAAGGGAAGAAGTATGTCGCCGCGCGGAAGTGGGGGATAAGAACCGTCTCTATCGAGTGGCTACACGACAGTATCGAGCGAGGTATGATACTTAACGAAGAGTGCTACGACCCGACATTACCTGCGGATGAACGAGGCAAGGGGGCCTGGATAAGAAGGGAACTTAAACGAGGAGCCTCTCTGGGTAAGAGGATGCGTGACGGCACGACTGCTCCTCCGGGAGATGAGAGTAGAAGGAAGCTCAGGAAGACTGCGAGTATGAAGCTCACTAGCCAAAGAGATAATCTTTGGGGTGATATTCTCGTGGGCCAATCGTCGACCGATTTATCCAAGTCAACTGCCATCATAGCAAACGAGCGTCCGGCCAGCGTGCCCCCTATTCTTGCGGCCGACTTAGCAGGTCCCGCCATCGAAGATCAACAATTATCCAACAGTCGCATTCAGCCTCTTGACAGCGGCGTGTTTTCCTCATGTCGCTTTTATGTCCACGGGTTCCCCCGGAGCAAGCAGGAAGTTGTATGCCACCATATCTCGTCTCATGATGGGCAGATCTCAGAATCTGTTGAGGACGCCGCTTCAACTCGCCATAGTGAGCCACTAGATCGGCGTTATCTGATCGTGCCTCAAACATCGCAACCTGATACTCACCCTCAAATTCCGGAAGGAATGCACATCGTCACCGAATTCTATATTGAGCGATGTGTCCATAATAAGATCCTTTTTAAGCCGCGTGAACACGTGCTTGGACAACCTTTCCCGCGGTTCCCTATTAAGGGTTTCAGTGATTTAATAATATGCACTTCCGGGTTTAGAAATGAGCAATTAAACCAGGTGGAAAAAGCCATTGTTCAACTCGGCGCCAAATATTCAGAACGGCTGAACCCCCGATGTTCGGTACTAGTCTGCCCTTCTCTTGGTGGCGTGAGGAAACAGAAGCTGGATTTTGCCGTGCTGTCCAAGATCCCCGTGGTCGATGCTGACTGGCTTTGGCAATGCATTACCACGGGTTGTTTAGTACCATGGGAAAAGTTCTTATTCACATCACTCGCTCAGCAGGTCGTTACGTCGCGCGATGCTCCTGCAAATATGGTAAAGGGTAACCTGGGATCAAAATCGAACTTTAGGTCTAAGAACGAATCTAAGTCAAATCACCCAGCACCGGCGATACAAAGTGGCATCGATACAACAGCTTTCGATGACGATATCCCAATGCCTCAGCAGGTGACAACTCAGGAGCAGAAAACGGGCGAAACTAAGTTCGAAACGGCGCCTACTAATCAAACAGAAGGTACAAATCTTGAGCCTATAACTACCACTACGGCGCTCTCGGAGATGACCTCAAACGCACTTAATAAGTCACCGTCACCACAGAAAGCTACACCGGTACCACGCAAGTTAAAACGTTTCCCGACTGGAGGTGAAGTAAGCGACTCCGAAAGCGGGGAAGATTCTGACGCTTCCGTTACACACCTACGAGAACACGAAGATACAGTAAAGGATGAGGAGGAAGAACGGAAGCGACAGGCCGAACGAGCAAAAGCAGCAGAGCGCGAAGAGATGTCTAAACGATTAAACTCCCTTATGGCTCGCGACGGGATGGATCAGGAGAGCGACGGTATAAAACCGCAACCAGCGCCGCGACAACAGCGCCGGAGGCGGGAAATCTTTGGTCGTGCGGCGAGCAATGTGTCGACGGCGTCGAGCGCAAGTGCGGAATCGTTAACACATATGAGCAGTTCTAGGTCTAATCTCAGAAAAGCTGAGTCTTCAATATCTCGATTAGACTCGATGCAGGGTACAACTAGTACTTTTGGGTTTCTAGACAAGGTGATGCAGGAGAGCGGAAATAGCAGCCACGGGACAGAGAATGGTGATAGCCCGCCTCGGGCCACGCAGCTGGAGTATGACAACCCCGAAGCCCGCCAGCATCGGGCGGCTGTTGTGGGTCGGATGATGGCGGATAGTAAGCAGAACGATATAAATGGCAACGGACAGAGCCAGAAGAAAGATATTTTAGCGCCCGTAAAGGAAGATGGCAAGTTGGACGGCGATGCGCAAAAGCCTCCAGCAAAAAGGACTACTAGACGTCGGTGATCTTATTCATACCCGGATCGGATAACGAGGGTCAGGATTAATCGAATTGAGCGGAAGTGCTTGTAGTTATAAACCTCTCGGCAAGGTATCAGCATCATCGGATGAGGGTTGGATATGGACTCAACATAGCATATTCGCGATGGTAGTGTGTTCCAGAGTAGGAGTGCATTTACGCGCAAACGTGAATATACATGAATTTGATGTCAGTCGAAAGCGTGAGCTGAAACTCGTTGATTTTTATTTCGCTCCCCTATCCTTAAATTGCATGTTTACCTATTCAACTGGGTATCGATAATCTATCTCCCTTGCCCTACCCTACCCTACCCTGATCCTTCTAACTTCTAAGAATAACGCTACATCTTTGCAGATTCCGTGAAAGCGAATGGAGTACGTGGGATAAATAGGTATTTCAGGTAGCCAAGTTAAGAAACTGGCCAGCTAGCTCGTCGACTACAAGTGAGATTGCTTGTCCGGTCTGTGTTTTTTGTCTTCATTTAACCAAGCCTTCGTTTTCTCAATCTCCGATCTCTCGAGATATATCCTCTCTTTATCATTAATTTATATTTATCATCGACTTATCTGCCCTACGTTTTGCCTTCTATAAATAAGGTCTCCCCCCTTCCGCCCGTGTAGGACTCGAATAGTAACCAAGGTCCCTTTGCCTCACTCATGATATTCTCAATTTCAATGTAAACATGCCTCCTCCCGGCAGACTCTTCATAGTGTCGCCTCACTCAGCATGCTTAACATAGCAGCTGCCGCACCCCCGAGACCCACGGCCCGTATCGTCTCGTCTCGGGCCTTCTTCTTGGAGGTACGATCTTCTCGGAGCCGGTTGTTACTGCTGACGTAGTGGTCGTCGTAATATTCCCGCTCTCGTTCTTTCCTCGGAGCACCTGATGAATGGTACCTGTGGCCGTGGCTCCGATGGCGGTGCCGGTGCGGGTACTCGGAACGGCCCTCGTCGCGGTCCCGGTTTGAGTAGTACTCTTTCTCTCGGATTCGGTCCCCCCGGTCTCGGTCACGATCGCGGTCCGTATGTCGTTCTTTTTCTCGTCCTCCTGCTGTATACCTGTCTGAGCGATATCTCTTCTCGCGATCGCGATCGCGATCGCGATCACGGTCTTTTTCTCTACCTCCATCTCTATCCCTCTCCCTGTCTTTACTCCTCTCTCGATCTCGATCTCTGTCTTTATCCCGCTCTCGACGCTCCCGTTCGCTCCGTCGATATGAAGGTAGACTCCGTGGCAGAGAACTTGAGCCTTCCTCAATAATTTGGGGATTGGGGTCGATTCGAACGTGAGGGTCATCATTCTTGTTCTTGAGGATAGGCTTCGGCTTTACAGTGGCAGCAGGGCTAGTACCAGTGCCGGTATCTTTGTCTTTGCCCTTGTCCTTCCCGATCGTAGAGGCTGGTGGTGACACGATGTATGGGTATGCCTTGGTACTCTTTTCGTTCCTGTCCTTGATACTTTTACGGTCTAGACCGTCTGTGGCATCGTTATCTACTCTGCCTTTAGCGGAGGTCGAAGGCATGGTGGAGCTGCGCCGATGAGCCTGTGAGCGGGAGTGATGGTAATCATCCAGGTATGAGCCGGAGCGTGGATATGATTGAGAGTAAGATGAGGAGCCATGTGATTCTTGGTCTCTGTCATCGGAGTCTGTTTCCTCATACGATGATCCTGAGTCGTTACTCGAATCGTAGAGCGCGCTCACCGTACTATCTGTACTCCCCTTTCGTCGCCGACTACGGTTGTTGACGATGTAAGTTACGCCGTCGTTGTCAGTATCGTCGTTGCTATCCGTATCATGGCTGTTCTTATTTCCTTCCTTCCGTCTCTGCCGTTGTCGCCCTTCTTCAATAACGTCCCAATTTCGATACTTATCCGGATGATACTTATCATCAACCTTTCTTCCCTTTACACCATCGCCGCTTATCACAGTAGTCGTAGCAGGCGTATTACTAGTTCGCCGACCTCTCGCAGCACGCACCTCGGCAGTCCGGTGAGCAAAGTAGGTTACTTCGTCTCGGCTCAGTTCTCCTAGCACTGCCACAAAATCCGGCCGTGCTTCGTACCGTACCCCAGCACCAGCCAGCACATCGGGAGAGACTAGGCGTCGTGGGATCCGAGTCCACTTGGCATCCAGTGGGATCTCGCGGCCCTTGCTATCGGGCGCCAGCCGTGCATTTCGCTGCGTCGAAGCTATAAGAGCTTGTTGCTGATGTTGGCTTACATCGGCTACAGATACGGAATTCGGGCGGCGGGTCGGTGGTGAGCTGACAGCAGCTGGGGGAAGAGGGGGGCGGTGCAGGTGGGTCCCGAATGAGTCGGGGGCGGCTTGCGGAGCGGAAGACGGTAGGGTAGGCTGAGAGGCCGAAGGAGGAAGATAATTAGGTGTGGGGGAGATAGACATGTGGTAATTTGAGCCGGCCGGGTTCGGCGGTGACTGTAGATGCATGTTTTCCATCGCGAGAGCCATATTGGACTGTTTATCAAACGCCATGAGCTCCCGCGTGGACATGAGCGCCGTCGGCTCATCGACGCCATCGCCGCCTGGTGAGTAACGATCATAAGAGATATTCGTAGGATAATCTGGCATGCTGGGCGGTTTCGATACTTGTCGTTCGATGTTGTTATTATTGTTTGTGTTGTTGTTGTCGTCTTCGTCGTCCAAACGCTTCATCCTCATCGACGGAAATAGCTTCTCCTCATCGATGTTGGGCTGCAATTCTTCCGGGCTGAAATCGGCCGGGGTAGAATTCATTGGGTACGGAGTGATTTGCAGCCCGCCCTCTCCTCCTCCTCGAGGGCGGTAATGCTCCAGAAGTCCCCGCACCGAAGGCGTGCTGCCGCCGTTGGCGCTGAGTTGATTGTCTAACTGGCGGATGTAGGCTCGTATGACGTCCTGATGCATAACGCATGTTAATCTCGTTGTATGGGATTGGAGGGTTTGAATAGTGAAGGGGGTTGACTAATTTGACTAACCTGATTCTTACGCAACACGTCTTTAGAGAAACCTGCTTGCTCTAGCTCATCTCGAAACTGCTCCCAAAGCTCATCTTCGTTACCGTCGCTCAAATTCGAATTCGTTCGTTGGCATATACGAGACGCGATGAAATCTACCTTATCCTTGATAGAGTCGAGATCCGCACTATTCGTATCGACTAGGCGACGAGATTTGGACGGGTTATGAAGCTGGACGGTATCGAGGAACATGTCGATGTTTAGCTTCTGATTTTTGAGCTTGGTGAGAATTAAATTAATCATATCGCGTTCGCGGCTTTCTAAAATCGTCCAGCCTTTCTCTCCATCCATCTGCATTCCTCTACTAACACCATCAGCACTACCGTCATCGCTGCCTCTTCCATATTTCTTATCGAGTATGGTGTCTAGCTGCTTAAGCGCGAACTCTGCATCCTCGAGGATGGGCGTTAGCTGCCGCGTATATACAGCACTGCTGTCAACATTCAATAGCGATCCTGGATCCTCAGCCTCGAACTTTAGATGTTTTAGGACGGCGTGTAGACTGCGCACTGCATTTGCTGCCTCTTCAAGCTCGGGGTTTATTCGTGCTCGCTTGTACAACTTTCGTGCGAGCACGTCGACTTGTTCGATACTGGCGGGCGAGATACGCATACTAGCGGCACCACTTAACGGCGGCGCATCGCTCGGGTTGCCGGGTGTCATCGCGAATAGTGCGTCTATGATATAGAGAAGCGGGAGCAGAGTCCCCTTAGTTTAAGGACTGTTCCGTATGAAGGTAAGGTTGTGATATTTCCTCGTGAACTTATGTATATACTATGAATCTATACGCGTTTAAGAGAGGACGAGAGAAGGGCGTGAGATGAGATGATGTGTATCGAATTGCGTTGGGGAAAGAATTAGTGAATAATAGCAAGGGATGTTAGTGAAAATGGGATTCGCTGGCGACGATTCGGTTAACTAGCCAGAACTCGAGCTAGTGTTATAGGAAAACAGGGGTCTCTCAGGGCCAAGCTCGTCTTGGTTGTAGGCTGTTTGTTAAGACTATGTATGTACAAGTTTCCAAAGCCGAAGTCTTCGAAAATCTGTTTGCTGGTGTAACTAAGATATTTAAAACTGCTGATACGAAGAATACAGCATATAGATATGTCTTGTCCCACGTTAAAGTAGGAAAGTAACCATTTCTACGGAGTACGAGGAGATAATAATTTAACATTCCCGTCTAGTTTATTAATTCGTGCCTGGGAGAACCGTTATGTACTCTCATCACGAACGGCGAATAAATAATAATAATAGTAATAATAATTCCCCTCGGCTAGACTAGGATTATGGGTTGTACAATATACAAAACAACGATCACAACCGTTGAAAATCTATTATAAGGAATTTCTTGGAGTTACATTCGATAGACAGGAGATTGCCTGAAAGAGTAGATGAACACTCAATAAGTAACAGATCAAGTGAAGAAAGAAGTGCCGATTTCCTCCTTGGTCAACGAAGGCCGTAGATGAAGAAGGGAGTAATAGTGAAGGTGGCCTGGTTGGACAGTGACGTATGAGCTGATGAGAATTGGGCAAAAACATGTCATCATAACTTATGGTCCAGGGTCCAAGAGCGGCAGGGCTGTCCAATCATCGTCTATTCCTCGCCATCATCCTTGTAGGGGATTTCCGGGTGGCAGGGTGGCTCCTCTAGTGTAGTATTCTCTTGCCTCCACCCCGGATAGTGGAATAGAATACGGAATACATATCTTCTTTTCTTCGTACTGCTATGCAGCTATGTATGTAAGCCTCTGGTGATTCGCTGCGCCACCTCGCTTGGAAGATCTATCCTAGAGCATGACTGCGTGGAATTTTTCTATCGCAGCCACTTCTCCATATTCTGTCAGCAAATAGCATCGTTAACCTGCAGTCCCCATTGAATCTAGGTCTACATACCAGCATACGTAGGTAGGTATATAAGTATAATATTATAAGTTCATCGGTGCGACAAGGCTAAATCTTCAGCTGTTCTCTCTACGGGCGACAATTACCGACGGCCATGCATTCTCCGTCTATCGTAAGAAACTCGGTGGCTTATACATTGGTATGGAAAAGTGAAGAGTGAGGCAAACTGGGATAGAACAAGGCGAGGTTCTGGGTTAGTACATACGATCTACATACAGGACCCTCACCACTTGGTGCCCGATCTTATGCGGACTGGCGGATTATACCTTGGGCGGTATTTCGCTGCGTCAATCGCGTGATGTCTATACTGCATAAGACCAATCAGGGAAATGTAATCTTTTTGTACCGCTCTAGAGTCGTAGGTCGCCCTGCCATAGTGTACATTTTCTTAGGCTTAATATATTGTACTTGGTATAATTCGTTAGTTGACCGCGTTATGCTAAGTTAGGTACCAACCTAAGGTATGGACGTGCTTCGGTCTGAGATGTCTACGTTGTCGGCGCGGCTAGATACGTTAGTGTCGTCGCACGCTCTCTCTGGAGTTCACGTTAAAGAGATATTATAAGGAGTCCGAGAGCAGACCGAGAACGTTGCACGAGACGGGGCGAGCAAATGTGGGCAAACGGCCGTCGGGATCGTAGTGGATCCCCGTCGAGCCTAAGATTCGAGATAGGTGCGGTGTCACGAGCGCCCGAGGGTAGTGTCGTTAATAAGCACGCTTGTGTAGGCACACAGAAAATGGGTGAGATGCGGCTCAAAGTTCTAGCATAAGCACGTACGAATTTAAGTACGAATTTACTGTGATCACCAAGATGGCTAATAGTACTCTTGACCTAAGCTAGGCCATGATCGAATTTATAGCATAGGCTAGAGCTTTACGCTAGGTTAGAGGTAAAAGAGGTAAAACCAACTGATGTAATAGATATAGATAGTGCTAGAAACGAGATGGAAGCTCAGCTTTCAATGCTGATAGTTCCTACACCTGCTGCAGTGTTGATGTGATCAAGATAATACACAATAGCCTGTACGTACATGAATTTTGTCGGATCCGACAAGCTTCATATAGCGATCCTCTCTAGCGAATAATGGCCGACCTGCTGGCTCCTAAGGTGACCAGTTTCTCTCTGAGATCTCTCTATGATCTCACCGCCTGACACAATTTTTTGACTTGAAATTCGATCCTTTGTTTTCAGGCCCAGAGGCAGCGCCTGGGTGGTAGAGTCTTTTATGTGCAAAAGAATGGGCTTCATCTTATCCACCGCATCCCCCGTCTCGGGTTTCTTCGTCGCTTCGCAATACTTCACCGCCTCGCCAACAATGCCACGGAGGTAGACTACATCTTCTAGTCCTTCCAAGGCTGCGCTAACTTCAAGCTTAAGCGAGGCGATGAAATCTCCCGTCTCATCACCTGCAAGTACTGCATCGTTTAAAAGCCAGCCGCCAGGACCTATCGAGTCTACGCAGCGTCCAAGCAGATCTGCGAGGAGCTTAACAATGCCGTCAGGTGGTGCGTCAAGGGTCGAATCTCTTTCATAATCGGTCGTATCTAGGTAACGAGACGTCCATGCGCCCCTAACCAACTCGACCCGAAGGAGGTAGATGAGAGACAAAATCTCTTCCGGCTTGAATGTGACTCGCAAAGATTTGATCATAGAAATGCCTGGGCAATTACCAAGCTTTGCAAAGGCTACGCTTAATCCGTTGCCACGAATGCCCGCATCTTCATTAAGATATGTCACTGTCTTCTGAATCTCATCCTCGAGATCGTCTAGTTCCATGCCAATATTTTGACAGTCGGCCTCGGCCTCACCTTCTCCGTTCACTTCTGCTTTGTCGGTTGAGCCATTGGTGAGTAATTTCGGGGGCGGTTTCTTCGGATCTTGCACTAGCTCGAGACTCCTCATGATTGTTCGCACAGCAAGCAGCAATTCCACCGCCCCAAGGTTAGTGGCCGATATATAAGCGACGAGGAGCTCTAAAGAAGGGTCGACATCAGCGAGCCGAAGGACAATTTGCTCAGCCAGGAATGAATCCGCTTTTTCATCGTCTCTAAGCTGCCTGCGGAGCGCTGACTTCACATTAGATAAGGTCAGATGACCAGCGTCTACAAGATAATTGACGATGTCGCTCTGTGGCAACTGACAAATAAGCCGAGGGATTGTCGGGTCATCCGGAAAGGCGTCGTTCCACTGAAAAGCTCGACTAATAGCATATAAAATCCATCTCCTATCTACGGGAGGGTACCCTGCCCTCGTTTTCGGCCATACCCAAGAGGTCGTATTAGTTTTGGACGAAGCTGGCTCCTCCTCGTTCATGACACTCGGTGCACGGGCTTCGCTCTGGATTTGGATACTGAACTTTTGAGCTAATAGCCTTTCAAGACCACGGATATCATTTGCGTTAAGAAGAGCATCGGCTTTAGCTTCGTCTACCTTCCACGATTCCCAATATTCACCTCTGATAGAACCCGGCAAATAATTGGAGAATATAGACGTCTCTGTCTCTCCGTAGGAATCACGAACTGAAGGCCGTTTAGCGAGTTGTACGCCGCGTCCGATCGAATCAATTAAAAGACCCTCGGCACGGCGTTTTCTAGTTCGCAGGATTGGGGCTTCTAGTTGGATGGCGACCAAATTAGTATCGACAATAGCAACTGCGAGTTCTAAACGGGAGAAGTAAGCACCGAGAAAACAGGTTGCTACGCCTGCATCGGTGTCGAGATCGATAGGGACGGAATTTTGGAGAGACCGATAGACCGGATTATAGATGCTAAGATGAGTGGGCGTAGTGCAAAGTAGTGAGGTTTTACTAAGGCGCAGGAAAGATGTTGTCCCCGTGAGTTCCATTGTAGATGTGACTTTCGGAAGGCTAGTCGTTAGGTCATACACGTTAAACGTAGAACCGCGCAACTCAAGTAGGCTTCCGGATCGAAGATCGAGGCGGTACGAGGCTGCATTGGCTTCTTCTTTTACGAATGACGGTATCGGTATAGCATGGAGCTGGACAATACCCTGGCGCTGGGCACCGGCCGAGCTTTGGGACGATGGTAAAACAGCTACGATATGAAGATGACGACTTTGCTGTTGGCTTGAGCCGTGACTCGAGATGAGAACCAAGACTTCGGCATCCGCGCTTACGTTTTGCTTGATTTCAGGGAAGACGCTCAAGGCGCCATAATCTCCCTTAAATACGCCGTGAATAAGATCTGATAGCGGCACAGGAAAGCAAGAGTCAATTCTGAAATCCGCTTTCGAAGCTCCCGGAAGCTCCTGATACAACGATGCGGGTGACGAATCCCATTTCTTCTGTAATGTCTCGGCGTCAAGATAAGTCACTTTCCCGTCTGTGCGCACAACGAGAAGCCCATCGTCTGAGGTTTGATGGCCAGCTAGCCCTTGCGCAGCCGGCGCGATAATAGGAGCAACACATATAACTGGTTGGCCTGGATCAAGCGATGTTGATCTAGTAGTGGAGTGTGTATTGTCAGATACATCCACGTGGTCCTTGAATTGGATGATCTTGTGTTGGTGTGACTCTTTAGTGGCTGCGAACGTATATCTTGAAGTCTCTTGTGTTTCTTCTACTTTGCGCCGAATGGAAGCTATAGGACACGAGAAGAGGGACTGGGGAGGGACCGGATATGAAGTGACAAGTCTGGCAGACGAAACCTATAGAGTGTCAATATTTTGAGCGCATAATGTTTTTATGGGATTCTCACATTATAAATATTGATAGCTTCTCCATCAATGCCCACCGCAAGCTCGTGGCGCTTCCTCTTCTTTGAACCGGGTGCGCATCCATAAACTTCACTAACAACGTAGCGGCCTGTTGTTGGATCGAAGGGCCGAGGTAACGTAGCTAGCACGTATGGCTTCTGGATTTGAAAGTGAGAAGCCATATTTACCTCTTATACTTGCGCGACTAGAATTCAGAGGTGGGAAGCTATCGCCGACCACAGCAATAGATTGTGTTGTGAGCTGCTCATATGTACTTGGAGGAGCAAAGGACTAAGAAAAAAAAAAGTTGTAAAGTCGGACTTGGATATGAAAAAGCACCGACCCGACAATTAAGCGGCACCACTTAAAGTAAATGTATTCAGGTACCTATTGTATGTACAGCAGAGGTACTTTGTGGGGTAGCATTAGTGGATCAAAAATTCAATTGAGCAATTCAATGATGCAGTCGCGTTGAACGCGATTACTTAGACGCGATTACTAGAGTTATTCTAATTCATGTAAATTTAATAATGAGAAAGGTCACTCACTACGCACTCTATCTTATCACTCAATCACCACCTACTCGCCGACAGACAACAATATCCTACACTATACATAACTTATAACCTACGTTTCTATTTATAATATCCAAAGAATGATTAGGCACGCTGCTGTTTATTGAGTCTTTCCTTCGTGTCTACGGACGTGAGAGCTCTATCGATAGTAGCTCGTTGTGCTCTATCGCAGCTATCATTATTGCCGTCACAATGGTCGCCATGGTTGAAAATGGCGACGTTGTCGACCCTGGAAATAAGAAAATACATCCTTTTTTCAAAGCACCAAAGAATTATTCCAAAGATAATCCGTTCAACAATGTAACCCCTGTTACGCCAGACCCTTCCTGTAGTCCTAAATCGGCTGATGACAACACCGACTCAACTCCTCTGTCGGACAAGGGCAAGCGCAAGAGGAAACATCAGCAAACTGACAATGTCAGAGATATTCCTTTAGGTACGAGAGACCTAGTAGGGATGTGGTGTTGAGAAAGCATAATACTTACTAATAGCACAGGTTCCTCATCCAAGCCACCAAAGGTGCTGAAACTGAATCTCGCAACTGGAACTATCGGCTCTCCTCCAAGATCCCAACCGGCTATAAATAAAAAGAATGCGAAGCGCACTCGAAAACCTAAGACTTTTTTAGCTTCGATACGTTACGGCCAGGGTGACGATACTTCCCGAGCCAGAATAGCACAAAAGATCAACGAGATTTTAGCAAATTCCCAAGGGTTAGATGCTCTTCCCAATACACCCCCCTCGAGCCGAGATACAAATGAGCAGCCTAGCAGCGGCCTAGACATACAAGAAGAAGGCACCCAGCGAAAGGGTATTACCAAGTGTATACCAGGAGAGAAGGCATTTCAACCCGCTCCATCCAAGACCGATATAACACCTGACAAACCCACCCATCCGTTCTTTCAAGGAAAACCGAAACCTAGCACTGCTACAGAAGAAAGGGAAAAAACTAAGCCTACGACAACATCAGCAGTCAAAAGACAGGTATTTTTCAGCTCGACTCCCAGCTCATCAAAACATATTCGACCAGTACCACCCAAGTTCAATTTCCCGGCTCCCGGTACGAGCCACGGCAACAATGTCAAGGTACCAGGCGCACAGCATCCGGCTTGGCCGTCGAAAGAGACGGCACACGTACGGGGCGATATACCCCGACCTTACGGGACTTGTGAAGATGTGTCCTCTGAATACCTTCTGAAGAAACGAAAGGCGAAAGGGCAGCAAGTTCGAATTAGCGAATCAGAATCTATTTTAAATGAGGTTGTGTCGAACTTAAATTTGAAGCAGTTGGCTGGAGAATTAAAGGCTCACGACAATGACGAGTTTCATCCTCCTCCTGCAGTCTTACGAATTCCTAGAAGGCATTTCGAAAGTGGAAAGAATCTCCAGGCGCGGATTTTTGGCGAATTGAAAACTCTCCATCGATATGGCGATGATCCGAAGACACACCCGGCAATCGCGCACGCCTACAATTCTATCGAGAAAGGTTTGTCCGCTTTTGATAGGTCGACTTGTGAGACGAGCTCTTGGGCACAGAAGTATGCACCCTCATCAGCGGAACGAGTGCTCCAGAGCGGCCGGGAAGCCGAGTTACTACGCGATTGGTTAGAAAACCTAAAAGTGTTGGCCGTGGACACTGGTACGATAGATTCTGGAACAAAGCTCAAGCCAACCGCCCCAACGAAAGGTAAAGGCAAAAGAAAGAAAAAATCAGATGATTTCATTGTTTCCAGCGACGAGGAAGCAGATGAACTTAGCGAGATATCAGACGCGGTAGGAGACTACTCGGCAATCAGCAGCCATGGTAATGCGAAGAAGACAATTATGCGGTCTGGTTCTCATCGAGACTCTCGAGATGGTGGTCGCTTTATTAATGCTGTAGTTCTCAGCGGCCCGCACGGTTGCGGCAAAACTGCTACCGTGTATGCCATTGCTAAGGAGCTTGACTTCGAAGTATTCGAGATTAACGCAGGGGCTAGAAGGAACGGCAAAGACGTCCTAGAGAAGGTTGGAGATATGACACGGAACCATCTCGTCCAGCGTCACCACAAAAGCGATTCGCAACGAGAAGGAGTAGTCCCCGAAGACGAGGTAGATCGGGACCTAAAATCTAGCAAACGAAGCACGATGACAGCTTTCTTCAAACCAAACCCAGATCCAGCGCAAAGGCCAGTCAAGTCAGCAAATTTGTCTGGCGTAAAGGAGGTAAAGAAGCCTTCTAAACCGCAAAAGCAGTCTCTAATCCTGCTGGAAGAAGTCGACGTCCTCTATGAAGAGGATAAACAATTTTGGACCACAGTTATCTCTATGATTTTACAATCTAAGCGTCCTTTTGTCATGACCTGCAACGACGAGTCCTTGGTTCCCCTGCAGAGTTTGAACCTGCATGGCATATTCCGCTTCTCTAGTCCGGCCAAGGACCTAGCTGTCGACTTACTACTTTTGATTGCCGCGAATGAAGGTCATGCCCTCCGACGACACGCAGTGGAAACGCTCTACGACTCACGCGGCCATGATCTCCGCGCTTCTATCACTGAGCTCAATTACTGGTGTCAGATTGGAGTTGGAGATGCGCAAGGAGGCTTCAACTGGTTTTATCCTAGATGGCCTAAGGGCAGCGATGTTGACGAGGGAGGAGATACCATCCGGGTTATCAGTCAGGATACTTACCAAACTGGTATGGGTTGGTTAAATAGAGATGCTGCCGTTAGTAATTCGTTTCTTCGTTCGGCACAGGAGGAGTTGCACCAGCAAGCTTTCTGCAACTGGTCTTTCGATGCGTATGAATCGTGCCCATACGACGATTTTGTTTCTTGGGCGACAATAGCCACCGAGCGAGGGTCGTCCGCTAAAGAACGGCTTGAACTTTTCAAGTCAATAGAATCATTTGCCGGCTTCATGAGCGATGCAGATGTAGGCTCGTCAGATTTCTCGGATATACCTAACCAGGTTTCTATGGACGCCTCGACCCCCCATATTCCGACAAAGACAAGAGAAGATTTCATTGTGGGTCGGCAGTTACTTGAGGCATTCCCTTTGGTCCGATACGACACGACGGGTCTAGACGTGTCCACAGCCTTGAAGGATCTTAGTAAAAACAAGCTAAGGGATGTTCAGACGCTTGACGGGACCAGAGACGTATGTAGACCATTAGGCGAAGCCCAGATCACCACCAAACTAGAAGCCTATCTCAGCGACCCGCCGCGTACGGAGCCGGCCGTTGTGCGCTTGGATTATAGCCTCGCCTTCGACCCTATCGCCGCTTCGGGGAAGAATATAGCTGGGGGTTATCTTGAGCCCTCAGTATTTGACGGAACCATGAAGACGATCAGCCTTGATATTGCGCCATACGTACGCGGCATTGTGGCATACGATCAGAGGCTCCAACAAGAAAGGGTTTCTCGCAGCAGTCTCCTCAGCGAAGGTGGACAGCCAGGAAGGAAGCGCATGCGCACAACGAGGAGCGCGTACTCAGCAATAGAGGGCGGCGCCCGAGCTAGTACAAGGCGAGAACGATACTTCACAGCAGATATCAACCCACATCTCGTGATGCGGACAGGCGGTAGAGGATGGGATGCAATCGCATATTTCGCTACTCGCAGGCAAGATACCGCGGGCCGTAACGTACAGGATTCCGGAGAACCTGAGAATGATGACAACTCCGACTGAACTCAAGTTCTGTCTGGAGAATTGTGGCTTCATTTATATATGTACATAGTTCGTGACCATAAACGTTTTACACAACGTAATGCATTAAAGGGGCGTTTGAGCGCTGGGTGAAGTTGCGTTCCAAAGGAGGTTGGCTTGCTACAAACCACGGATACGGCTATCATAGTTCATTCACATAGATCTAAGATCACATATATAGGTATACGACGAAAGAAGCCGCAACGGCTTTTATTTATCTGATCCTCAAAGTACCTTTAGGTGTACTGGAATCTATTGTGTCAATCAATATATGCCTATCCCTCTATTTTTCAGCAGGCCCATGGTCTATCAAGTGTTGCCGCCGCCGAACATCATGATCTCAGTATAAATGTAAATAGGTACGTAGCGTAATATATCGCATGTCCTAGATAAAAGATATTACCACCTAGGTACCCAGTATCCAGAACCCCCGTAAGATTTGATCGTCTAAGTTGACTTGCGTTGCTCTTGATACTGCCGATGTATCTTGGCGTTAAGTATTAATGAAAATGGCCCAGGGCTCACCAAGTAGATTCGAGTTATACAAGGTAACTTGCGGGATCTTTGCTCCTTCAAACCTCAATACGTCGAAGGGGAATAGTAATAGGTACGTAACGTAGCATAAAGCCGTCCTGGTTATGACAAAATTTCAAGGGGTATCTTGGTTGGCAGCACCTTTTCGGCTCCTACTTTTAGCAACGAAAGCAACACACACGAGCACGCCTGCACTCGCAAGCCCGATGCCCATGTAATATGCCCCTCGGTATCCTTTTAGGATATCTCCTGGGGTTGTCCCACCATTGTTGACTTGCGTCTCGACCGTACCTGCGAAGCCTAGCCCTAACGAAATGCTGTAGTTGACTACGGTATTAACTAAGCTCGCAGCAATGCCTTGGTGCTTTCGTGGTACCGCATCGGAGAGTATAAGGGTCCCGGCGGGGAAGCTCATGTCCACTATACCAAGAATTAGTTACTTCTGGTAAGGAAGTTGGGGCCCAAATTATTTGTGAGAAATATCAAGTCCTTGATTAGCATAGGAGTGGAAGTACTGGTTCCCAAGATAAATAAAAAGGGGTAAAAAAGAACTGCCAATATTACTTACTCCCCCAAGGCATGACAATGCCAGAGACAAAAAACTGGGCCCAGTAAACCTGCTCAACAGGGCAGGTCGCGAGGATGATGATACCCGTCGTAAAGAAAACAAGAGCCATAGTCATGACCATAGGCGGTTTAAGGCGATGTAGAGTATAACCCGTGAAGAGGGCAGCGAAAATTCCGGAAATAACGGTTGGAATGAACATGGCCGTGGCCAACAGGGGCGGTACTCTTCGAAGAACGAGCAGGAATTCCCAGGAGTAGAAGAACCAGATGCCAAAGCAAGACCACCCACATGTTATAGCAGCTAAGACGAAGGATACTTCGTAGGAGAAGGCATTAAAGGGGATAAGAGGGTATTCAGCGAATTTTAGTTCAAATACGAAGAAGGCGGCAAGAAGTAGCAATCCAACGATGAGCAAAACATAAACGTAAGGCTTATCCCAGCCTACAACTGGGCCCTGATTCCACGCAAAATTGACGAGGACCAGACCACCCACGCCGAGGGCTGTCCCTACAAGATCGAGCTCTCGTAGTATATTCCTCAAGCCTTTGGGCTGGGCGTGATGCCTGTTCGAAGCTTCCGGGATTACGTAGTAGCCTATGACGACAGTTGCAGCGAGAACAATGCCAAAAACCCAGAATGCCCAAGGCCACCAGGCAAGAGCGAGGATAGCAGCGAATAGGGAGCCGATGACAGAGCCAGTCGGTGCCATTGCGCCGAAAATGGCGAATACCATCTCCTTACGTCGTCCGGGTGCGTACGTAACACCAAGGATAGCCAATCCGTTCGGAAGGATGATAGCGGGACCGATTCCCTGTAGAACACGACCGAATATAAAAAGGACGTGATTCGAATAGACGGAAAGCCCACAAACTATGGACCAGACGGAATACCAACCCATACCGATAAGGAACAGGGTCTTGTGACCGAAGACATCGCCCAGCCTTCCCGAGAAAAGGATAAATGTGCCTATGGTTAAGCTATAGCCGGCCATAAACCAACTTAGTTCTCCAGGATTCGTGATACCGAAATGTTCACCGATGGTGTGGATGATGCTTATGGTTTGACCAAGGCCACCCTCTTTACATACAATTCATTAGCTAGAGCAAAAATTAAGTCGTGGATTTCACCGTAGTGGAAGCGAGGGACGTACGCGTAAAGAGTTGCGCAAGGCAAATGACAAAAATGAATAGGATTTCCCGAGGCAAGGAAAGCGTTTCGGCGATAGACTTGTTCGTATCAGTCCTCGCCAAATCTCGACTTTTAGTACCCTTCTCTTCTTCTACCTGCTCATCCATCCTCCTGCCACCGCTATCCTTTTCATCGCTGCTCGTCCAGGAGTCGTCTTGGGTTGGGGACAGGGTTCCGGCTCGGCTAGTCAGAAACGGACCATCCGGGTCGGAAGTTATACCAGACTGTGACGGCACGGCGCCATCATGCGGCAGCCTTACTGGTTCGTTGATAATATTATTCTCTTGGCTCGTAACAGGCGCCGCTGTGGCACTAGAAGCACTAGAGCTAACACCACCGTGTCCGCTAACCGCCATCCTCGTTAGGTGGATCTAGTAGCGTCTTAAGGTTGGCGTGCTTAAGATATTGACGAGTTCCGAGGTAATCCTCAGGACCGAGCTGCCGTAAAATATAGTACATAAAATTGGACGTACGAGAGAAATCTCCCGGGCGTATGAAAAGAGGAGGAGGAAGAAGAAAAAAAGAGAAAAAAAAGAAAAAAGAAAAAAGATCACTATGCGGCCATGCTTACATTTGAGCTAGGCAGGAGAGGAACTATTTTTCGGCGCCAAAAAATTTGACAGGGCCATCTCTCGTCAGAAGCCAGGAAATATTAGACAACATGATGTTAGATGCCCACATCGTGGATACTTCATAAGCGATTGGTAAGTTCTTCGTACAGGGGAGGCAAGAAGTTTGTTTACCTGCCTCTTTTTCATCCTTTTTTTCATGTTTCTTTTTTCCATGTTTCTTACAAGGATCACCGTGAGAACAAAGAAGGATCTTACACGCATTAGGTATTGTCGATTCCATGCATGTATCATGGAAACCGATAGATAAGGTTACGAGTTGATGGACTTATTATGTACATAGTACTAGCGCTTACTCTTACATACATTATGTAGGTACAATTGATAAAGGCCTGCTTACGTATATCATGAATGCCGCAAGCATAATACCGGCCCGGACCGGATCTTACAGCTCGACCCTAAATCTAAAGCGGTTTAGTCGTACCTAACTAACTACCCATTCATACCTCTTTTCTTTATGAACTCTTCTTTATTACCGATGTATGTCGTTCACGTGTATGTTAAAGTCTTGAAATAGCTATCAAGGATATTACACAAGATGTTTAACCTTCGATACCTCTATAAGAGATATACATAAGGTACTTATAAATAGACATACTATGTAAGTACGTAAGTACCTAACGTCATAATTTAGAACTATGGTATTCAATAGTAGGTACTCTCTTCAGATGTGATCGGAGTTCAATTACTTGGCATACGCAGGGATAGATGCAAGGACCCTTAATTGCAATGATTTTAAGAGTGACAAGGGTGGGTAAGATTTCTCAACAAACTCCCGGCCCTATGAATAGGTTATAGGATTCTCCCCCGGCGAGCAATCTTACCAAATACCAAATATATATTTACGGATCAAAGAACGTCCATTTAATAAAAGGCCGGGCCCCCACCCCCACGTAATCCGTACTAAAGGGATTACAAGCCGCTTTCAGACGTTTGTTTGACATGTTAAAAGCGACATGGTTAATTCAACGGATGAAGAATACTGAGTCGGCGCAAAAGCAATTCCATACCTAATTTTCGTCCCAAGAAGTAAAGTCCTAAATGATTCTCGGGATGCCACATTACATTCGCTATCGAGAATGTCGCCTATGCCGAAGAGACGATAGGTTACCGAATTCAAGTATAACATATCTCGGGATACCGTTTACGCTATCCCGTGGAAAATGCGAGCTACCGAGTGAACGGGATCGTACATGGACACCGTGGAATGCCTCACCGACAAACATGGATTTTTTACCAGAGCATGTGCCATTAACATGGGATTGATAAGGTATACGGGACGGAAACGCTCCAACCACGATCGATAGACAAGTCGGATTGAAACCCGATCTTGATCTCATGCAGGCCTCTTCGACGCAACCTACCGGTGTGACGGATGCGTTTACCACGAAACACGTGTCGGTGTATCGCTCCCCTTTACTAGATCAAGCCTCGGCATGCCTGTGACACCATCTTCTGGGTAATTCTCTTGGTTACTGTTTACATTTCCGACCAGCCTTTAGTGCCCGGATAGACCGACTGGGAAGATGGGACGAAGCGCATAACTGCCTTGTAATGAGCCTGGGCGTATTGGAGCTCCTCTCTTAGATTCCGGTACTTCTCAAGAGACCATGTTAGAAATATCTGGCAGGTTATCAAACAGCTCTGCGAGACTGATAATTGGGTCCTATTTACGCCATTCTTCCAGCAGACAACCAGAACATAACCTCCTATCTACCTGGGTAGGCGAAAAAATCAATCATTACCTTTGGGCACTATTACATCTATTGTTATATGCACCTAAATTTGGCTCCCTAGTCATGGCGAGTATGCTGGCGGCTACTTGCCGTGATATCACCAGTTACTGATGAGGCCCGTATTACAGGCCTGACGACCTCCCGTACGAGCCGTAACAAGCAGAACGCCTCTTCGGGCGAGGACAGGCTTTTGCATATCTCCGGGTTTGGCAAAGAAGAAAAAGGGTTGCTGCGAGGCGCACGAGATGATGGACGGGCTATATTAAAGGTTAGGACGTCCCGCCTTCAGGTCTAGGAGTGTTCAGCCAGAGTGACAGTCAGAAAAGGTAATCTCTATATCTTCCTCTCAATCATATTTCGGAAGAGTTGAGTCCTATTTGTCTATATATATCCCCCTCTATCATCTTTCTGTATCTTGAGCACGGTGAAATATCCTTGAAAATGACTACGCCAGACGATCCTCAGGCCAAGGTTTATTCTCACATAAACGGTAGAGAAAACGATATCCTAGCTAGACTAGCTGTGGCCGAATTATGCAAGGGCTGGCCCATATATCGCGATGCATCGGAATGGAAGAATTTCCGCTCCCTTTTCTCTGATGACGCGTTCGTTTGGACGAGTTAGTAGCTACCCTTTGATTTTAAGACTGGGAACATAGCAAGGTTAACTAGTCTCGTCCAGCATGGAGTAAGCGTCAGCCCATTGACAGCTTTATTCAAAAGTCGAAAGAGGGAAAGTCAAACGGCGACTTCATCATGCATCGCGAATGCGGTACTCTCGTAGAGCTCAACTTGTCGACGCTCCGAGCAGTTGGCAAGATGAAGGCAACTATAACCCAACGATTTAAGATGGGAGAGAGCGGCGGCGTAGGACTCGAACCGGTCATATTCGACGTGGACTGCGACTGTCGGTTTCACTTCTTCTGTTTCCGTGACTCGGATGCCAATGCTTGGAAAGTTAAGTACGTCAAGCTAATATACGAGAAAGACAAGATTGTTCCTGTCGACGGCAAGGCTTCTCCAAGCTTCCCCAAGGACGCACTCGACAGGTACCCAGAAGGGTATAAGTATCTTGGTGCAGCTCAAAGCATACTCGGACACGATATCGACGCTTCTCTCCCAACTATTCAAGGTCCGGAATCTGGGTCTTTAGATATAGCACGGTTGGAATTATACGAGAAGATGGAGCAATGGCTCGATGGCGCAGATGACATTGACCTTTCAACGAGTCACGGCCGCAGAGAGATCAATGGGAAGGATACACATAACGGGCAAAAATGATGAAGAGGAAGATTGAAGACCGTATGATTCACAACCTAAGCTACCCAATATGGAGTGTGGCTGGACGTGGCACGGATACAGCTTGATGGTACTTGAATATTTCTAGAATTAGCCAGGGATCAAGATTGTTAGAAACATGATAGCTAAGAATGTCGATAGACGAATTGGATTAAGCATTACACGCATGATAGATTTATTACGGCTAACCTAGGTAAACTATCCTTCGTCCGCAATACGACAAGACTTTTATAATTGACTTGTTTTCCTGGAGTTATATGAAAATGTAACCACCTTATTAGAGAACTATTCTTAGCCCGGACAAGCAATACAAGTTATAAATTTCGACAATCTCTCTTTCGACACATCGCGTCGTATACGCGTCCAATGCGCACCCGGTCAGTAATAGCGTCGGCTGAGATGTTACTATAGAGGTCGATGTATATAGATTACGCCAAGCTCGTCGTATACTAGTTTAAGGCTTGGTCTTAGCTATACGATGTTTGAATGACATGAAATTCGCTGCGAGGTACCAATAGGGATTTATGACACGGCTGTAGTAGCTCATATGCCCTTGTTAAACAGGGTGCCATGAGCCTCAGTAGGTAGAAGGACGGAACAGTTTCTACGTACGAGAGTGGCAGGTTCTTATACTTAGCTGCAACGTTGTACTCTATTCAAGTGTAATGCTTCCAGTATAGTTGGCAATGTCTCAAGTTGCATTCAAAAAAATGAAACTTCTGTAAGTGAACAAAATTCATCGTCGTATTACATTACCCTACCGAGAAGCTGGACAATTGGGGCTATGTAAGTTTTATGTAGCTCCAACCCTCTTGGCATCACTTTCATTGAGCGCCTCCGCCAATTGTGCATGGCCTTGCCGATAACCGAAGGATTCTTGAGCTGAGCATGAATTGGCGAACTGCGGATTATATAGGCTGTTTTATGACAACTCGTAGAAGACAACCAATCAGAGCACCAGTCTATAGTGATATATTCTATTTGTAGATCCATTGACGATTCCTTGTAAGGATGTTAACGGCTGAGATCTTCAAAGCCTCCCGGCGTGTCATCAGGTTCAGCCGGTAGTCGATCATGATATATAAGTTCTAGAAGTCTTCGCTCGAAAGTTGTAATTCTTCTTCATCAGCACAGCAGACAACTTTCGTTTTACTACCCACAATCGCTTCATCAATATCTAATCAACATCAACCCCAATCGAATCGAATCAAATCAAATCAAACAAAATGCTCCGGAACAACAGCACCTCGTTTTGGTTTGGCCTTTGCCTCCTGTCCACCTTGGCCAGTACCGCTGCTGCAGGTGGTGCCGTGCTGAGGCGAGATGACTTGCCGACACCCGTGGCGGCGTCCGAATCAACCGGAACTACTTGCGAGAACCCTAACCAGACGACGGGATACCCAGACTACAACTCTTTCTGCCAATGCCCCCCTTACAGCCCCGACTCCCCGGAATTCGGAAACCCGTATCTCGGTCTAGTTAAGTGCGACACCAAGTGCATTCCCGCCGTCGCCTCTCAGACCTTGATTCGACCGGAGAACGACAGTCTGGACTCTTGCATGAAGGCTTGCACCGGATCTTTCGAGAAGGCTAAGCGTGGCGAGCTGAGCGAGAGGCAGGACGGTGACTACTGGTTCTGCCACGGTGTGAACTTCGTTCAGGGCGAACTTTGCGAGTTTATTGGCTCGCTCGGCTCTACTGAGTTTGTTGAGGGCGGGTCGGACTGCCTGTACATCAACGGCCTCGACTCTTGATCACATACTTACGGCACAAACGCTTGCGACCCTTATATTTCCAACTTAATAACCGGAAGCATATACGCCGAGTAGGCAGTCCCATGTTGCTCCGCGGCCTGGTAAACGAAGCGACTATATTTCAAGATTGGGTATATTGTAGTTTTGTCTGGGCATCATGCTATTTACATATCGGTGTGGGAGGTTAGAATAGACTTGGCTACTTACCATAGCCGAGAACGACATTAATTTACACTCCTTACTTATAGTCTCCAACTAAGTGACGAGCCTCACCACTCTTTTTATCACGTACTTAGTTTCATTCTTGGGCAGTAAGTTCCTTTTCTAAGGGATTAGGTAGTATAAATCAATCTTTGAACTTTCATCCCCTAATATGTCGTATTTTGTACTATCTAGGAACATCAAGAGAGCACTTCTGTAATGTAAGTACCTACCTTCGAACAATACATGTACACGGATTTAAAGCAATAAATTTACCGGGTTAATTGCTTGACAACGGAAGTAATTTGTCCTTTTACTTGTGTTTGATATGTAACAGATAATAGAAGGATAATTTTGCTATGCCCCTTATAGCTGGTACAGTACGGACGTACGTATAATACTTACATACGGCTAGCTAAACTGCTTAAATTCTTTACAATATTCTTTTACAATGGTTTAAAAACTCCCACTAAAACGATGGAATAGTATCATCTGCGCAATCTCATGCGTGGTCTCTAGCGAGTATGGCGTCTTAAAAACAGATAATGTAGCAGAATTCTATCAGTTCCTGTGTTCTTGCGGGGGTAATAAAGGGGATTTTGAAGAATATGCCACCCTCTACAGTACCTATTGACCTCATCATCTACAAGAATCTTGGCTTGTGATGAATTCGTGCTTAATAAGAGAGGTATGCGTACCCGTCAGGATTCTACTTAGAATCCTGACGAGTACATCTTTTTTGGCTTCTATGGGTATACATACCTACATAGAAGTTAGCCGTAGCGGGTAAGTCATAAACATAACTGACGTCAACGCTATCAGCGTCAGGGCATGGGCGTGATCGCAAAACTATATCTACTATGTAAGGGGAGCATAGCGCCCTCGCAAAAGGGTTACTAGTTCAATGCCACTATCCTGACGTTCACTCTATGTATGACATCCACCACGGGTATAAACTATGGCAAATAGCCAGACACTCCCGAGAAAAGGAAGACAAGGAGTTACAATCGTTACACTAGGTAGGTAAGTATTAACTATAAGACGCACCTCGCGATTATTATTATAATAAATCAAACGAATACCTGGGACCTACGGGACCAACAACGTTGGAGTCTATGCGAGGAAGGATTCACCACAGCTACTTTTGAAAGGTGAGACAAGGTCGGCGGACTTTGATAATTCGATGGCAGTCCTATTTTTACTTCCAAACTAAAAGGTATGGCCCGTAGTAAATTCACAATGCGTCACGAGGTGGAACCAAACTGTATGGAAACAACTTCGTTGGTCCGCAAGGAACTCTAACCTAACTAATGAGCCTACGGCTCGTATACACACTGAACACATCCTTTTTTCTAGATGTCTCATCTAGTCCCGACACAATGGGTAAGCTACGGCCTATCTCCTCATAATATAGGACTTACGAACTATTCCATTATCTAACTAAATTACCTACTGAATGTAAGACACTCGCCCTATTCCGGAACTACTGAATCGGAAGCTACATTGATTACCTTCGCTTCCAGTGAAATATACCACTCTCGCTTTATGCCAGGATATCTTTAAAATGCATCGGAACTGTAGGTGTGGTAGGACAATAGCCTCATAATATCTCGATAACTACCTGTTAACTTCAGGTCTAGAATATTTCTTAGACGACAAGGTTCTGAACTAGACTCATGACAATTATCACATATAATAGAATAAATAAGATGATAAATAACGTAGCCGGGGGCCTTTCATTCCGAAAAAGTGAAACGAAGACTTTAGGGTGAGAGAAGAATGGCACTTAGGTACTCCCGGATCCTAGCAAGAGGCTTGCTTAACTTTACCCTCATGACTAGTGAATGATTTTGTACGTTTGGGTTTCTTTGGGCCTATCCGTTCCACCGTGCGATAAACTCGACCACATGTTTCCTATGTAGCCGCGGTTGGTGGCTTTGGTGCTCTTGGCGCGTATTCGAAACTAACCCAGATAGCATACCGGGGTATAGTCGGCGGAAGACTTATCTTGGGGCTAGAAGAGCATTGTAAAAAGCGGGATTGAAATATTAAACAAGGCGTGTATTCAAAATCAAGTTGTTAATATCCTCTTAGTACAATAAGTCCAAAGAATTCAAACGCCAAGCCGAAGCGAGACATAATTAATCAAAGAGACGTTTCCGACTATTAGCAACTGGGATTGTATTGCCCGAAATCGTACGTTTAATAATATGTTAGGAATCATAAGTATTCATATTTAGCTTCTGCTGAGTAGTCATTGGATGCCTGTTTGGCTTGATTCTTATTGTTGTATGTAATTGTAGAAATGGTGGGGGCGGTACGATGTGATCGATGTGATCGATGTCTTGGCAGGCAACATTTTTGATCATGTCTCACATACCCTGTACGACGGTCCGTTCTCTACTTAGTCTTTTATTTTATTTTATTTTTTTTGTTATATACATAGAAGCACGTTTGCTATGTAAGTTGGAGCGTACGGGGTTCGAGATCGGTTTAAATTACGCTTCCTGTACTAATAAATACCGAACAAATCTCGTCATTACATAGGTGGCTTAGGAGGTACACAGGTAGGTAGTTAAAAGATTTCCGACTCATGTTAATGCGGGAACCCGATATTAAGGCGCTGGACTACATGTCAGCGCTCAGTACCAGTCGCAGCACCCCGATTATCGGTGATGACGACAAAGCAGGCTGTGAAGCCTCGCGGGCTGCCGAACGTTCCGCATCTATGTTACCCAATCTAGAATGTCGCGCATGCCGCATGAGTCAGTTCAAAATAAAGTTGAACGGGCTGAGAATCGTCGAACCGCAAAGAAGATATTAAACTGGCTCTACATACATACAGCGAGACTGGTTCTCCGGTATTTTTACTTTTTAGATCGCTGCAACCCGCCGACCCGGAAATTCGGGGAACACACGGCATTTCTCATGGTTTCCCATGGTTTCTCTTAGTTTAGGCCCTGATGGAATATTCGTCTAGTGATCGGAAGAGACGGATAAGATAGCGTATGTCTTGCCTTGCCTTGCCTTACTTTGCCTTGCCTTGCTATTTTTACCGGCTCCTGAAATCTCCGACTTCCAACAATAATAATGTCATGACGGATGAGTCCGGCTCATCTTCATATGTAATGCGGTGTGACTTGGCCTCTCGGACCAGGACCGGAAATGCCCATGTCGTTTCCGACTCGACTCGTATGCATTGTATTGTACATGTCAGCATGAACTGCATGAATTGAATTCCCCATGAAGAATTACAAGAATTACACTAAACTAGCCAAGTACCAAAAGCTGTCGGCTACGGTACTGTACGGCACTGCATATCTTTTTACAGGGATCTTACAAAATAATCGCTATTTACTGGTTCACGGCTTGCTTGCTTGTGACGTGGGGGAATCTGTAGTGTATTTAAATGCTCACATGATTGATTGGTATAAAAATTGAAATATATTGGCCCCTCCACGAATTCCTGATTTGGGATGAACTTAAGTGATGAACCTGAGTGAGACAAGGATGTAATCGGACTGTCGCATTTTGTTTTACGCATGTTGTTTTAGGTATTTATCTTCATCTTAAACAGCAATAAATTATCTTTAAAAACTGTCATGAGAGTGTTGTCATTTATATCAGCGACTTGTCGGTTATGACTTGTGGGTGTGCACATGATGAAGACACGATAGAACTAGAATACTACGCTGTGAAAAGATGAGTTCCCTTAGTTAAGCATTTGGAATTTGGAATCTGCATACCTACACTACCAGACAGCAGACTACCTACCATGTAGTAGATCATATATACGTACCTAGGCAAATGCCGACTGCGCCGCCAGGACTAGTCTTTAACGATTTCAAGGCTTACCCTACTTGTATTAGTCTAAACAGCATTAGCAGGGGTTTACCCTTGGAAGTAATACATCATAGGAAACTCATCTGTAGTTAGCGCCCATCATTGGCGTCTTATTAGTGACATACCGTCATCTGCTGGCTAACCTGGCTAACTTGGTCAACCTGGTCAACCAACCTTTCCTCAACATCGCATCAAACTGTCAAAAGGGTATATTCTAACAGCCATCCCGCCCACTTCTCACCGACAGGAAAGAAATCCAGCGAATAATGTCGATATCATATCCCCAATAATTGCTCAACACCCAGCCGACCACATCATACTACCTACCTACATACATACTACCTCTCCTTGACCGCATCGAGTTCGCCCTAATTCACCCGCATTTGTATTTTGTATTATATTGTATTGTAGTTATTGTATAGTACAAGTCTTACTTCCGCTGCAAACGTTTCTTTCTCACCGTTGCGTTCCAGTCAGATACTACTTTCTTATTACCTACCTACCAGCCTACATACCTCTTACACGCATTAGGCGGGGACACAACGTGCGTATGGTTCGCAGCACATCCTGGACTTTCCAACCCAAGGTGTTTCCTTCTAAGCGGCTATTTACTTTTTCGTCTCTACTCTATTCAGCAGCCCGGCCAGCCATCTAGCCCTGTCTATCTACCTTATTTATTGCCTGTCACTTATTGCCTATCACTTACAGTTGGGTCTCCCGCCCCCAATGTTAATCATGACTTGGTTATGATTCACCTTGTTGTAGGTTCTACCCTCCTTCCCCTTCTCTAATACAACATCATCGTACTGCTCTTTTCAGCCTACTTTATCCTCCCTTTATTTTAGATTTTTTTTTTCTTAGCCTTGTGGCCTACTTTTCCTGGCCACGCTTAACCTACGATGCCTCTCAACATCTAATTTCTATCATCACACGCGCTCCTGCTTAGCACAAGTTGTCGCCGCATGATTCGGAGCTATCCCGTTCGTCCGCGTCGTGCAATCCCCGCTGGCCTGGTATGCGCCTTGCTAAGCATATCTTGAGCACGCATCCGACTTAAACAAGTAGACGACGGGAGAAGCGTTCGCTCCCCCTTGTGCATTCTTGGCGGCCAAATATTTTTTAGTTCTCTATTCCTAACAGCATCATCATGGCAGACGTAAGCGGCCCAGATCGCCCGGAACAATACGCATACCCCGTAGCTGGGAACGTCTACTATAGGCCGAGGTCTTCAGAACGGAGACACCGCCCAACTCCGAGCCTACCCACCCCGCACATCCGACCACGCCAGCGTCGACCTCAGTCTATCCATATCGTATCCTATCCCGCCGGCTATACACCTCCCGACTTAAGACCGCCCCCTTTTATCAAGTCCAAGTCGTCTAAATTTAGGAAGGATAAGAGTAATAGAGCGGAAGCCAAGAAAGAAGACCCATCATCGGGATATAAAAGCCCACCACGGCGGGTAATCGAGAGGGTGTTAGGACCTTTAAAGCTCCACTTCTCTCACTACGCGGCTGTGGACAATCCTACTTCTCCTACTTCTCTTACTGCGCCTACTGCGCCTAGCGCCTCCGGCAATTCGAGACCAGCCCCGAGACCGTGCACACCTAATAATCTTCGTGTACGACCGCAATCCATGTTTGTGTTTCCTTCTTCCACCACGGCACCTTCAATGTTAGGAACTTCTGTCATGACGGCCCCCACTCAGTGGCCAACGCTGGCGGCACCCTCGCACGCTTCGCATCGAAATAGTATAATATCGGTGCGTTCAGCTAAAAGCATAATGAGCTCGGTAACCGAAGTCCCAAAACCGGTGGCGAGCGGAAGCGGAATTTCGTGTTCTATAATCCTAGCCGAGCCAAATGTTTTTCTTACCGGGTTCGAACACGACGGCCAGCCTCGGAATGATGCAGCCAACTCCACGGCACTATTGAGGGGTAAACTGCAGCTGAACGTATCCAAGAACGTGAAGATAAAGTCGATAACCCTTAAGCTTCACGGCAGAGCCAGGACGGAATGGCCAGAGGGTATCCCGCCGATGAAGGTTGATCAGTTCGAGGAAGAATCGCTTAGGACTCAAGTGCTAGCATTCTTCCATGCCGCGCATGAGACGGGGGAGACCGAGTTTGGGAACCAGTGTACGTATTCGATTCGGGGGAACGCCGAGTGCGCTGCCGGTCGCCGGGGTGCATCTCCTTCCCAGTCGACAATCTCTTTAGCCTTGAAGAATAGGCCTATTGGTCACCTAACAGCCCGTGATTACAAGCGATTATCGCTTCAGTCTGTGCAGTCTCGTAGCTTCGGTAAGGGCGACACGCCCAATCCAAATATCGTGCAGCAGAAGACATACAAAGTATTCTATCCTGGCACCTACGAGTACTCTTTCGAATTGCCCATCGACCACCATCAGCTCGAGACTACGAAACTCCAATTTGGGTCGGTTAAATGGGAATTAGAGGCCATCGTAGAGCGAGCCGGTGCCTTCAAACCCAATCTCCATGGCGCCAAGGAAGTTTGCATCGTGCGCGTTCCGGATCAGCTATCTCTCGAAATGATAGAACCCATCTCCATCAGCAGGCAGTGGGAAGATCAGCTACACTACGACATAATGATATCGGGGAAATCATTTCCTATCGGTACCAAAATCCCTATTGCCTTCAAACTGACGCCGTTGGCCAAGGTGCAGGTTCACAAGCTGAAAGTGTTTGTGACCGAATCCGTCGAGTACTGGACAAATGATCGACGGGTCACTCGGAAGGATCCGGGACGGAAGATATTACTGCTGGAGAAGTCGGCGGGGAAGCCTCTGGACAAGCAGTTCGAGGCGTCAGATGTGAGGGTCCTGAGCGGCGGCGAGTTGACCCCGGATCAGAGACACGAGGCGCGCATCGCGGCCCAACGGCGGCGGAGTATGGAAGCGTCGAGGGCGCATATGGCACCCGAGCCGTTGCCCGATCCCACGGACAACTTGCTGGGCGATCTAGATTTAGGGTTGGAGGCTTATTGGGGATCGACGGAGATCGAGATGAACGTCCAGATTCCAACCTGCTCGCAGATGGCCAAAGACAAGAGCTTACGGTTGCATCCCGACTGCAGTTGGAAGAATGTTAACGTATACCACTGGATTAAGGTATGATTGTCTCCCAACATCTCCCCTACTAAACGTGTCGTATAATGGCAAGTGTGTAATTAACCCTTTACAGATTGTCATGCGCATCTCTCGCCTCGATCCCGATGATCCAGCAGGCAAGCGGCGTCGGCATTTCGAGATTAGCATCGACTCGCCTTTTACCGTCCTTAACTGCCGTGCCACACAAGCCAACACCGCTCTGCCCGAGTATTCGGGCGCCGACCAGCCCATGTATCGCCAGCAGGCGAGCTGTGGTTGTCCCGACGCCGAGATACTCGCCACGAGCCCTAGTCCTGCGTCTAGCACAGGTACAATACCCTCCGTCGAAGCCGGTGTTAGCGTTGCCGGTGTCGATTCTCCCGGAATTGTACCGCCCCCAGCCGCCCATGTGCAGCAGCATCCAGCAGCCAGCTCGCAGCCCGTGCAGAGACAGTCTCATATGCCTTGGGCGCCGCGGCCTATGCATCTCCTAAGGTGTCCGAGCTTTAATCCTCCGGCTTTCGACGAAGACGAGCCGCCGCCACCCATGCCTACGCCGCCGCCGCAATACGACGTCGTCGTCGGAACACCCAGCGTAGACGGTCTAGCCGACTATTTTACGAGGTTGGCGAGTTACGACGACGGCGACGGCGATTCAGATAGTGCGGACGAAGCAGTCGTCACGCCTAGCAGACTCACAGAGCGGAGCGGACGGGTTAACGTACCTCATCCGAGAACGCCGGGTGGGAGGATGGTCCCGAGCAGGAGCCTGGAAATTCAACGGCCGGCAATACCTATGACGCTGAACATGGCTGGGGGTTTGTTAGAGCGTAGAGGTTAATGGGGCCCCGCCGATCGTCCTTGCTAGGATAACACGCAAGGCCGTACGCCGCTCAGTGTTTATAAACGAGCTTACGGTTTTCGAATTTGACCTACGATTACTATCATCGGTATTGGAGTACTGGATTGATACCCTAACAAGGCAAATTGGGAAAAGTTTCATTTGAATTCTCGCTAGAGGCTTTCCGGGATATTCATTCTCAACGGGGAGGATATAGATATGTTGATAGAATGCATTACCAGCGGAAGAATGAGGTTGTATGACGCACATAATTATTGGTGGCACGAGATGGCGTTCGGGTTGCATTGTCGGCAGAGGCATCACTATTCCTAGACTCCTGCTTATCTCACATGGATTGGGCTTGGTGGGTTGCATGACGGTATATATCGGTATGAGGTGGTGGTAGTGGTAGTATTAAAAAATACCTAGCTGCCTGTCCTGATTTCGGATTCGATTTAAGTTTGTTACACTGTGCTGTCATCGTAAGAAATTTTTGGTCTTGCCGGCGTAGCTTATCACTAGGAGGCAATACTTTGCACGGGCATACCTATATTCAACTAATGATAGAGAACTATCGGGCTCAACTTACGTCCAGGATACCAATATGCCTAGCCGAATCACACCTGGAAACGGATAGAAGTATACGGAACCAAGCCAAAGTTCCTTCTCGTACAACTAGGGGGGTTGGATCGTAGACTTTGCTAAGTTACACACGATCAGACGGTGAGATGCCACACGTTCGTCTAGCATTCTCAACTGCCGAGCCAGGGTACGCCCAACTCTGTAGAAGATAGAGTACTAAGAGAGCCATTCATCCCCATAGTGTTTAACGCCGCCGCTGCCGACCCGAGCTCCAAGCTTTACTGCAATGACTACAATAATGAGGGGATCAACTTCAAATAGCAAGCAGCCGTTAAAATTAGTGAATCAATTAAAGATGCTGGAACAAAGATCAATAGTGTCGGTATACAGTGCCATCTACTCGTTAGTTCCATACCTAGGTATATAACTGAGGTGGCTTATATAAATCTCAACATCCGCTTCGGTATCTACGAACTTCTCCCGGACTGCTAGCATATAGTACCGTCAGCAGCATCCTACAGGCAGAGGCAACTAATGACACTGGAATTACAAGGACGGAAAATGTTGCAACGCCAACAGGCACAACAATCTCGAAGAGCACCAACCCCGTTTCCGCTTCAGGAGCTTGCGTTGCGTCAAAATAGCAGCAGCGCGGTGGTAATGGTTTCACTAGATGTAGGCACCGCATATACCTCTAGGCCCATCTACATTTGTTCTAATAGCTATTATTCTCACTCTCTATGAAAATGTTGGCCCGAGGCTGGGTATCATAAACAGGACTGGTAGGCGTCTTTGGATGGAATAACATGGTCGATGGCGTCTTCCGAGTATAATTATATACATAAACTCTTCGTATCATAGCACACATATTTGATAAACTTTAATATTATCACATTGTAGATGATTTATATTAGATTAATTACGAATATGCGATTTTGTTAATTTTATATAAAAAATGGGTGCTTTTAACACGGGTGGCGTTAATAACAGTGCTCCGACTTACATCGGATGAAACGATGGCCCCAGTAACGGTGCTCCGATTTGCATCGGATGAAACGATAACTGAGTCAGACCGGTAGCCATTTGCTGTGCCGGAAGTAAAACTGTCTGAAGAGAAAGTGTATCAATCACGGCATGGGTTAGACCTAGCTTGCGAACATGTGCTTGTGCTGGCTTACGTAGCCAGCGCAAGTATTCAGTAATAGGTAATAAGACCATTTATAACGCAGGTTACGAAGCTTATAAATCATATAATAGCGGGCTTAACTCCTAAACAGCGAATAGACTATACAGGTTTGAAACCATCGTGGCTGGCTAATCCAGCATTTTAGGAGATAAATATTCGGAGCGATACGACACTAATCACATATTTTGGCAATATTCCCGAAACCCTACCCACTAATTATTGGAAGAAATTCTTGGAAGATTGGAATTGACCGAGAAAATCCGGTCGATTACCAAGATCCGTATCCGAACCCGAATCTCTACCTAAGGATATATATATTCTACAAAAGGCTATGGTTTCCGGTGATCATATAACATGATCAACCGAGCCATAGCCTTCCGTTTTCCATTCAGCTTTTCCCTTTCAACCTCATAGTCCTTGATCAACAAGAGAAACAAGATGACTCAACCATCGCGCCTCTTCCAACCGCTAAAAGTGGGAAATGCAACCCTCCAGCATCGCCTAATAATGGCACCCTTGACCCGTTTTCGCGCCAACGTGGAGCACGTACCTCTTCCGTTCGTGAAGGAATACTACGAGCAGCGCGCCTCGGTACCGGGGACTCTACTCATCACTGAGGGAACTTTTATTACAAGGCGTGCAGGAGGATATCTTAACGTCCCAGGGATTTGGTCCAAAGAGCAGATAGCAGCGTGGAAGGAGATCACGGACGCCGTACACGCCAAGGGCTCTTACATCTACGTACAACTCTGGGCGTTAGGCCGCACTGCGAACCCAGACGTCCTCAAGGCCGGCGGTGCCGATCTTATTTCCGCTAGCGCCATACCGTATGAGGAAGGCCAGCCGGTCCCAAGAGAACTAACGATCGATGAAATACGGTCATTTGTAGCCGATTATGCACAGGCAGCTCGCAACGCGGTCGAAGCGGGCTTTGACGGTGTCGAAATCCATGGGGCCAACGGATATCTAATCGATCAGTTCATCCAGGATGTGTCTAATCACCGGCAGGACCAGTACGGCGGTAGCATCGAAAATCGCGCCCGTTTTGCAGTCGAGATCGCTAGCGCCATCGTGGATGCTATCGGTGCTGAAAAGGTTGGGCTTCGTATATCCCCTTGGTCCAGGTTCCAAGGAATGCGTATGGAGAACCCGATTCCACAATTTACATACCTAATCCAGGAGCTGAAGAAGCTGAAGCTGGCGTATCTACACGTCGTCCAATCATCAATCATCGACGAGAACGCAAGCTTCGAAGCTACCGAGAAGATTGCGTTTGCAATTGACGCATGGGACAATACATCTCCTGTACTCATCGCAGGTGGCCTCCAGTCAGATAGTGCGAAGAAGATAGCAGACGAGCGATTCAAGGATAAAGAAGTTGCCATAGTATTTGGCAGGTATTTCATCTCTACTCCGGATTTACCGTTTCGAATAAAGAAGGGTCTACCCCTGAACCCTTATAACCGCGGTACCTTTTACACTCCAGAAATCAAAGAGGGATATACAGACTATCCTTTCAGCGACGAGTTTATTAAAGCGTCCGGCTAGGTGAGAATATCCTAGGGGAAAGCTTGAACCGGGTTACTATGCGAGGTTTCACGACCTGACGCTTCAGCTGAGTTATAGGCAATATGGACTACTGAACGAAACACACTATATTTGCTCTGGGTACTTTTAAGCATCCTATCTACGGAGGGCTATATAAGCTTAGCTTAGGGGTAGACTATTTCGGATACGCGAGAGGAAGGATGTAGACCACGCCATAAACGTGACGTTAGCCACGCGAAGGTCCTGGGTAGAAGTATTAAGAAGGAAGCTAAAGAGATGGGATTTAGTTGAAAACCCAGAGTGTACTATAAAATAAGATCAACTATCAACTACCAGTTATTGTTGTAAATAACCAGTCCGCCACTTATATTTGAAATCATCAAGGACCCCGAAGACCTGCGCTATGATGAATTGCCTGCTTAAGGATAACCCTAAGCCGGGAATATAGCCTCCCCAGTCTCTTCGCCATGCCACGACCCCAATCACCATCTATACCTCTTAACAATACGTAAATTCTACGAGGTCGAGGAGTAGGTCCCTTCTAGCCCATTTACATGGTTGGATCGCATAATGCATGCAAATATGTCCCGGACGAAACTTTAAGTATAGGAATCAAGATATATAACGGGTAATTACAGAGTGAGGCGGTCCAATAGCATAATATGAATTGGACTCGTCCCAAGGGTCCACTGGGAATACGTAGAAGGCCATTGGTTACCGACAAGAGTATAGCAGCATATCAGCAGAGATAGACAAACGCTTATAAAAATGTATAGCTGCGACTATAAGACGTGAATCGGATACTCTCTTGGATCTCGAGCAATACGCCACGGATCACATGGAGAACAGGAAGAAGCGTCTATCTTTTCTACGGGGTCTGTATAAATTATAAGATAAGATAGGAGCCATTTGTCTAAGCCAGGCTTCGCCATGATTGTTAAGTGGTGAAAGCAAACTTGATTGATTGGCTATCCAGGGTTGCTTCCACCGTCTCGGGTATGCTGGACGTGTCTTTCATTTTGAAAGATGAGACACTTACTGGATACATCTATCTATTATAGGCGTCTTCTACGTATGTCTACTTTTATCCACAGGTATATATATAAAATCATCTGTTCGTGTGATATTCTTCCGTCACCCTCGAGCGCATGGCCGTATCACTTTATATACTGCTTCCCAAGCTTAAAACACGGTACGGACTCTTAGACGCACCATTAACGGATATCTTAGATAGGTACGTATGCGGAATATTTCTAAAACGTATTTCTATTTCGCGAAAACCTTTGCTCTCTTCCGTTTACGTGGGCTAGTAGGGTTGGGATGAAAACAGTACGACCGCAAATTCGAACAGCTGACGGGACGTTTAAGTCTATAAATAAGTATTACACTTTTGGAAGCAAACTGTATCACAACTGGATGCTACCTTACCTGGCGGTGTCACCAGTGACAGCGGTTCTTCTCCAACTAAGGTTGAACCAAGCAGATGCTGGCCACGGAAGACCAATAGTAACAGTACACGCTTCGGAGGATTTTATATATTTTCATTCGTTTGTTTCGTACCCACGCATTAACTTCCGACAGTAGGCAGCAGAGATGCTTTTAGGGGATGGTCTACCTCACCGACAAAACTTAGCCTCAAATATTCCTACAAGAGACGCCTTACCAGAGGATGGGTTCTTCTAATCTGTACGAGCCTGAGGTCCCGGACTACTATGCAGATCTAGGGATACTACAGCAGGCTAGCCTTCAAGATATTAAGGCGGCTTTTCGAAAGTTGGCGAGAAAGTACCATCCAGATAAACAGGCTCCTGGCCAGTCTATCGATGCTTATGAATTTCGCAAGGTTCGCTCCTATAAGCTTACGGTAGTGATAGTTTATTTCTAACCAGGTTTCCATCTGTAACATAGGTACGGGAGGCTTACGAATACTTGACGGATAAGGACAACCGGCAGGCATACGATGCTTATTACCCTGAACTACGGGAGAGGTGGGCTAAATATAAGGCATGGAGAGAAAATGAGCATAGGTTTGAAGAGGAGAGACGGGCCGAACAAGAACGGCGAGCCGCTAGAGCAAAAGCAGAAGAAGATAAAAAGGCGGCAGAATCTGAGAGAGTACGTAAAATGAAGGAAGAAATAAAAGCCGCTATGGAAAGAGAGAGAAATGAAAAGATAAGAAAGGAAAAAGTAAGGCAGGCTGAAGAGCGCTCTCGGGAGACTGCGCGAAGAGCTCGTGAGCAACAAGAACAGGCCGCGAAAGAAAGACTTCGTAGGCAAAAGGAAAAGGAAGCAGAGAAGAGATCGGAAGAGGCAGCAAGAAAAGCCAGGGTCGAACGAGAACAAGCAGCACGAGAACGCTTGAAGACCATTTCAATTGAAGAAAAGCAAGAAGCTTCTCGTCAAAACTGGGCTAAGATGCGTGAAGCGGCAGATCAAAGAGAAGCAACAAAGCGACAACAAACCAGGCCCGAGCAGTCCAGACCTACGCAACAGCGCGAAGAAGCTCGTCCCCGATACACCTGGAGAGAGCGAATGGCTACGAAAGAGCAACAGGAGGGGGCTTCACGAACTGTACCCTCGCGGGTGCAACCGGAAAAGGCTGCACGAGCTACGCCTCCAATGCCCCATACGAGGCCGGGTCTTCGACCTCAGCCTATCTGGAGAGACAGAGTTGTTAGAAATGGACAAGAGGGGGGCCCTCCACGGACTGTACCTTTGCAGCCTTCTAGGAATCCCACGCCCCTATTTGCTTGGCGAGAGAGAGAAGCGGCTAAAAATTCCAATACTACTCCAAGAGCTGTATAAAGTGTATAGAATGATCTTCTCGCGGGGTGTAATGTAGCGGTACCGAACCTCTATATGGCACGAGGGGTATCTTAATTCGAAGTATTGTATTCGTGCCGACAACTAGCAGGAGATATAATTCACAAAACGTGTTTACTGAAAAGGGGTCCACCCTTGGGGTAACGACTGAGGTAATTTCCGAATGTAAATTAAACTGAAAGTGGCATGATATTACTCTTGTAATGTGGAAGCCTTCCGTACCGTGATTGTAGTCACCTTGATGTCATACCATGAGGTTTTACAGATGCTTCGTTCTCATAACTCGCTTGTTGTCCGTGCCATTTCCCCCCTGAAGCTATTCTTACCTTTCAGGCCCCGTATGTGCCAAGCCCCCCTGAATGATTAACAGAGCACGAGGTAACAATATCATGTTACAGTTACCATACTAACAAAACCGCCGGTCTTATTGATTGAAGCTTCTAGATTAAATGATGAATGACTCAAAGGACAAGAATGCCCACTTGCTAGCAGTGGCATCTATACTATTGTTACGTGATGTGGCAATTAAATTTACACTACCTACCGGCGAGCTGACGTATCTTGAATAAAAGGCGCCTTCGCAAGTGCATCTGCTTGGACTTTCCAAATTTCTTTTCCCAACGCCATGAGCTCCAGCCCGAAGTCGTCGAGCAGCTGCTCCACACCAAGCTCGCCGTCCCATATCATTCGTTGATACTCCTCGTCCGAGCCGAATGTGGCTACTTTCCACGTAGCTTTCCAAATATCGACTGCTCGAACAGCCTCGGGGTGACAGCTTTGGACGTCCGTAGCTACCATATAAAAGGAAGAACGTTTGGCGTGGCCTGATTTCGGCTTCAGAAGTTTTACGGTAGAGAACTTGTAAAATCTCCACAAAATATTCACGGTGTCCCATGCCTCAAGCTTGTGAAGAAGAACAATCATAGTCCCCCCTGGTCGCAGGTGCTCGAGCCCGAGAGCCAACTGCGTGCTTGACAACCTCTTCGCTTCTCGCCGCTCTCGATACGGGGCCCGCGCATGTGTACGAAGAACCTGACCGTCGCAGAAGGCCAGGTCAAAAAGTTGGTGCAACTCGAGCTGACGTGGTAAGAAGCTATTAGCATCGGGGTGATCCTTAGGAACTTCCTCAACCCCCATCTCCGCCGCGAGCATAGTGACATCGAGATACCTTATCTCAACGTTCGACGTCACACGGAGTAGGACTTTGTGGCCGCCATCGGATGCAGGTAAGCTAAAGGCTAAGGCTCTAGAAGTCGGACTTTTGCTCAGAGCAACTTCGAGGAAGCCCCCAGGGGCCATGCACATGTCGAGGATGCTTGGATACGGTGAGCCGTGTTGTACAGAGAAGGCGCCGGTAGATCGATGAATCTCATGTCCAATGCGTCTCATCAAGTTGAAGAAGTACGCAGCCGTCCGCTCATCAGACTTGTCGGCGTTCTGTCGCTGCTTCTGAAAGAAAGAATCTCCCTCGGGATTGTCCCATCCCTATTTAACACATAAGTATTATTTACAGAGTTTATGCTTATGGCTACTGACTCGTTGCCGGAGCTCGCTAATTTCTCGAAACTCGGGGCTCCTATCTAGTAAGTAGTCCTTAATGGCTTCGCTTGGGTTCGCATGAGAAACAGGTGGTTCATCGAGCTTTTCAGGTAGCGCTGGAGCCCGCCCAGGGAAAAGGAGAGAGCTCAGGGACTTGAGGGCTTCGCTAAACGTGGTTACTTCCATAATGAAGTTGAAATGTTATACAAAGAGACGGATTTATCTGGCGAGGCTTTGGGCAACTGCAGGATTGAATATAATGGAATCATTCCCTATGCCTTCCAGAGACAAGAAGCATGGCACCGTCCGCAATAAATATCCTTGGGCATAGCTGCATATGTGCACAACTAGTCAGGTGCTACCTCTTGAAAGCAACCGCCCCCCCGTACCACTAACTGTGTATGTTAGGTAACTCCTGACCATTGAGGCTGGTGGATGTGGTAGTACGAACGCTGTTGGTCGCGGTCACCATGTCCATCGGCGTCGAATAGATTTGAGCACTGCCTCCGTGATGGAACGCTATACCAACAAGCTTCAATTACGGATAACGGAAGTAGAATATCATTATTATAAAATGGATTTATTCGCCTTGGTACCTAGAAGTACCTACTGCATAGAATCTGCCTCGAATGGGAAACGCATCAAGATTGGCTTCCCATAAAATGAAAATACGATCCATATCATTAATAGGAGGCGCAGTAAACCAGCTGCTACATGGCAACTAAATATCCGTGCCAAAAGATATAAGAATTCACTTCATCTCAGCCTCAGTAAGTCCATTTACGAATTTATCTACAAGTTTTCTCTCTTCATCCTGGTAAGCAGCGAATGAGCCGGATCCCATCTGTTCAACGATTAATCTTGCCTCCTTAATTAACTTTTTCGTCTCAAGTGCCCTGAGTTTACGAAGGGTTATTGTATCGCATTTTTTTTTTCGCTGGGGACCCACATCACCTTCCTATTTGGCCCAAATAGGAAAATAAGACTACTAGAAATGGAAGTGCCCTGGTCATTT